CGTGCTGCTCGCACTAGTGGTCGCAGTTCGCGTCAGCGTCCTCCTCCTGTTCCTGGCACGCACCGGATGTCTCTGCGTCCGTCCACTGCTCCTCTGCGTGCCCCTTTGCCCTCTCCTCCTGAGTCCTCTCTTCCTGCGCTTGCCGACCCTGAGTCGGACTCTCTTCGTGCTGCCAGTCCTAGTGTCACGCGTCTCCTTGCTACTGTTGTCACTGACCCCTCGTTTGAGTCCACTGCTGCGTCTGCTCTTGTTGCCGAGCTCGTCGACTTTGTTGCTCGCTGTCGTCTAGACTACGCTGCTAGTCTTGTTGCTGAGTCTGCGTCTGACTGTCCTCCGTCCGTCGGGGGTGAGTGTGCTCTTGGCACGGACATCCTTGAGGACAGGCAGGAGGAGTTTCAGTGTCTGGCTGCTGCTTCACCTCATCTCGCGTCTGTACTGCTTGCCCCTGAGGGAGACCCGGATGCACTAGACATCCCGACTCCGCGCTCTTACGCGGAGGCCGTAGAGGGTCCCTACTCCTCTCAGTGGCAGGCAGCTATGGATGCAAAGATGGCTTCCTAGAAGTCCACAGGCACCTACGTTGACGCTGTCCCCCCTCCTGGGGCGAACATCGTTAGTGGGATGTGGATCTTCAGGGTGAAGCGACCGCTGGGCTCTCCACCTGTCTTCAAGGCGCGGTACGTGGCTCGTGGCTTCAGTCAGCGGCAGGGAGTTGACTACTTTCAGACCTTCTCTCCCACCCCGAAGATGACCACTCTTCGGGTGCTGCTGCACATAGCCGCTCAGCGCGACTACCAGCTCCACTCTCTGGAGTTCAGCACTGCTTTCTTGCAGGGTAGCCTGTATGAGGAGATCTGGCTGCGCCGTCCACCTGGCTTCACTGGGACTTTCCCTCCTGGCACCCAATGGAGCCTCCGACGGCCAGTCTACGGTCTCCGCCAGGCACCGCGTGAGTGGCACGACACACTGAGGACTACACTTGCGGCTCTTGGGTTTGCTCCCTCTACTGCTGACCCGTCGTTGTTTCTGCGCACCGACACTTCTCTGCCGCCGTTCTACATCCTCGTGTACGTCGACGACTTGGTCTTTGCCACAGCGGACACTGCTGGACTCGCCTATGTGAAGTCCGAGCTGCAGAAGAAACACACGTGCACAGACCTGGGTGAACTGCGCAGCTACCTTGGCTTGCAGATCACTCGGGACAGAGCACGCCGCACCATTACCTTGACTCAGTCACACATGGTGCAGCAGGTCCTTCAGCGCTTCGGCTTCACGCACTCCTCGCCTCAGGCCACTCCTCTGCCAGAGCACATGGCTGCAGCGACCAGAGCACATGGCTGCAGCGAAGAGGGTGTTGCGCTACTTGTGCAGTACGTCGGGCATGGGGCTAGTGCTTGGAGGGCGGAGTCCAGTGGTCCTCACTGGGCACGCGGACGCTTCTTGGGCTGACGACCAGGCTACGCAGCGGTCGTCGCAGGGTTACACCTTCAGTCTTGGTTCCGGCTCTGTTTTGTGGCGGGCTACTCGCTCGTCTTCTGTTCTCGGCTCTAGTTGTGAGGCTGAGATCTACGCCGGGGCCATGGCTGCTCAGGAGCTTCGCTGGCTCACCTACTTGCTGACTGACCTTGGAGAGCCGCCTCGTTCTCCTCCAGTGCTGTACGTAGACAACAAGGCCATGCTGGCCTTGTGTCAAGAGCAGCGCCTGGAGCACAGAACGAAGCACATTGCTCTCCGCTACTTTCTTGCTCGTGAGCTGCAGCAGCGTGGTCAGTTGCGACTTGCGTACGTGGCCTCTGAGGCCAACACTGCTGATGTTTTCACCAAGGCACTTCCGCCTTGTGATCATCAGCGCTTCTGCACTCAGCTGGGACTTGTCCCAGTCTTGCCTCACTTGCTCACCTCTTGATCTTACCTTTACTCATGCATATATATATACCTAGTCTTGCTTGTTTAGACTTATATATATATGTCTCCTCCTGCATGTGAACTGGCCTTGTGGCCTTGACCTTGTGCTCGGACTGTGTGGTGACGTTGTGATCCACCCGGATGCATGGTACAGTACCGACCCCCAGCAGCACGAGCGGGCCGATTTTCTCAACGAGCACAGTGGGGACTACACCTGGGAATCGAAAAGAACTACAACGCGTGGAAAATCTTCGACGTCCACTCCAAGGAAACAGTAGGAGCACGTGACGTAATTTTCTAAGAACGACTCACGCTCCAGACATACCTTGCCAACCTGCACGAAGACCAGGATCCCACAGGTGGTTTTCGTGGTGACCGAGCCTTCGCCTCAGCAGCGAACGAAGCTGACTGGGACGAGCAGAATGTGGACAACACATCAGAAGAAGCCGGACCTCTTCCATTCTGCTCCGTCGACGTTCCCATGGACGAAGACAGCCCTCGCGAAAGTGCCAACGCCGAAACCTTCTACCATTTCGTCGACAACGGTTACGTAACACCTGCGACAGTCAACACCAACGAAGCAGAACGAGTAGGACCGAACTTCATACACGATCCAGAAGCGGGAGATGAAGCAGCTTATCCCGAGGACGCAAATCTTCCCCGCTACTCACTAAGTGGACTGCAGATTCTCGGACTCGTCACCGCAGTCCACGGCACCGCCACTCCTAAAGAGCCCGCGACGGTTCAACAGGCTCTAGGGGGGGAACATAAGGAAAAATGGCGCGAAGCCATGGACAAGGAGCTGAAGGCACTGGAGGAACGCAACACGTGGAAAGTGGTTCCTATCGGCGTGGCACGGAACAAGACAGTGCTCACCGGGAAGTGGGTCTTCCGTGTGAAGACAAAGGCTGACGGCACCATCGACAAATTTAAGGCACGCTGGGTCGTACGCGGCTTCGACCAAGAGCACGGACGCGATTTCACCGAAACATTCGCTCTAGTCAGCCGACACACCTCGCTACGCATCCTTCTCGCGATCGCCGCCATGAAGAAGAAGAAGCTGCGGCAAATCGACGTCGCTAACACATTCCTCTACGCACCTGTTGACGCAGAGATCTTCGTCGAGCTACCACACGGCTCCAGCACGGACTCGAACCACGTCTGTCAACTACTCAAGTCGCTCTATGGCATCAAGCTAGCTCCGCGAGTATGGCAACAATACCTACACGCTCGCCTCATTCGCATCGGCTTCAAGCAATTGCCGCACGACCAGGGCATGTACCGGCTCACGAAGGATACCGACTACATCCTGCTAATCGTCTATGTAGACGATCTGCTCTACATCGGCTCAACTGACGGCATTACAACCTGGTTCGAAGGGGAGCTACAGCAAGACCTCACACTCACGGTCTCATCTACCGTTACACAGTACCTCGGCCTCAACATCCGGGAAGAGGAAGACGCTATCTACCTCAGCGCCGCGAAATACGCCGACACCATCGCCAAGCGTTTCGCACTCACATCGACTGTCATCTCCACACCGTACCGCTACACGACAGCAAACAATAAGGAAGGCTCCGCTCTACTCAAGCCCGCCGGCATACGCGACTACCAGAGAAAGCTGGGCTGCCTTCTCTTCGCAGCTGTCACCTGCCGCCCAGATCTATCCTACTCTGCAAGCCAGCTCGCCACCCATCTCAAGAAGCTTGAAGCGGAACATCTGGCGGAGCTCGACCGCGCTCTTCACTACCTTGTCAGTACCCCGACGGTCGGCATGACTTACCATAAGAACGCAACTACAACGCCTAAGCTAATCGGTTACGTCGACGCAGATCACGCGGGCGACTCCGACAACAGACGATCGCGCACCGGCTACATCTACCGCCTCAAACCTATCGGACCTATCTCCTGGCAATCGAGCAAGCAGGAACTAATTGCTCTCTCGTCAGCTGAAGCAGAATATATTGCACTCTGCTCAGCCACCAAGGAAGGACTCTAACTTCGCGAGCTGCTGGAAGAAGCGAAGTTAGCCGAGTTACCCAACTTTACCCTGTTCTGCGACAACCAGTCGGCAATTCGCATCGCCAACAAGAACGGCTTCGCGAACAGGACGAAACACATCGCTCTGCGATATTTCTTCGTGAAGGACGAGATCGAGAAGGGAAGGCTCGAGCTGTCATACTGTCCCACGTCCGAGATGGCAGCTGACTACCTGACCAAGAAGCTCGGAAAGCAGAAGTTCGAATACTGCATGCTGCTGACTGGACAGAGCCACGTCAGCGACACTCCAGAAGCGAAGGGGAGTGTTGGAAACAATCGGTCCTAAGCGCCTCTGTCGTGTCGAAACACTAGGGCACAAGCGAAGCAAAGCATATCGAGGCACCAGCGAGTCAACCCTCGGAGGTTGAAGTAACTGCTGGAGGTTACGCGAAAGTCAAAGGTCAGCGACCTTTGACCTGACAAATACAGCGCGACAGCAAGGACACACAACTGACTCGTTACAGAGTAGTTGCCCGAGTCGTCACTGTATCGAACCGCAACAGCAGCAGTAAAGTAGTTATAACTGTGTCTTTTCATATTCCCTGTATTCATATATAATCTTGTATCTCTTTGTTTTAATCAACTTACTTTGCCCCCACATACTAGCGCAAGGTGGTTCACAACTCTTTATTAACGCTTCCGCTACTACACCAACTCTACCCAGAGTTCACCCCTGCAAAGATCCTAAGGGCTTTTTTCAGCCCAACAGCATCGACAATCCGCCCGCCACCTTCGCACATCGCACCCTGACCTCACGGCTCGGCGGGTAACCCGCGCTCCGGGCCTCCGCTTCGACACTTTTTCCCAACCTCAGTCCCAGGCCCGTCGCGCGACAACCACAGTCCATTACCGTTACCACTGTAGTTTCGCTATATATTCTTCACTCATGCCTTCGCTCATTGTACTCTTGCTTCGATAGTGCAATTCTCGTTCGTTCACTCAATTGCACTCGTGATATGAAAGATAAGCATCCATTGCATAAGCTTACAATTCAAGAACCCTAATGGTACAAAATAATCAACACAATTTCGCCTTCAAAACTTTGTTGCATCCTCCTAGGGTGCACTGACCACCTCCTCCCTCTCCTCAACGGCCAGCACTTTCAGCAGCAGACTAGCTTTCACCATAGCAGGGCCCAGTTCGCCCTCCACCAGTTCCACCTCCCCCTCGCTCATCCCTTTCCCCGCCTCATCCACAGCAGCCCTAAACGCCTTCATAGGATCCCCCACAGTGTCAGGATATTCCTGAAAGAAGCTCACAGCCTTGGCTGCACGCAGGGAGGGGAGGCACTCCACAGCCTTAGCTCCGATGCGCATGCCGTTGGTTAGGTGCGTGACCAGGAGAGTGAACGTGTGGGTGAAGAGCCGGAGGCGAGCAGCGTCGGCAGGGGAAATGGCAGCTGAGGCAGCACCACTGCTGCTAGACGTTGAGGATTTGAGGGAGAGGAAAGAGGGGGTGGGTTGGTCCTGCTCGCCCTGCTCCTGGCTGTTGTTGGTCGAGGCTGATGCTTTCTGACCCAGTTGCTCGATCAGTCGCACGTAGGCAATGGTCTCAGTGGTGGCAGATGCAGGTACTACTGCTTCTGCTGCTGCTGCTGCTGCCTCTCCTCCTCGTGCAGCTACCTCTGATCCTGCTGTTGCTGTGGCAGCACTCACATTAGAAAGAGCGGCGATATCGCTCCTTAAAGCATCGCTTCGCGTTAGCCCCATTGCTGGACCCACCAAGCTTAAAGCCCTCGTGGCTCCTGACACATCATCCCCACCATTACCGCCAGACTCCCCGCCGATATTTCCGGCGGATTTCGCACCGGTTTTCCCGCCAAGGGCTTGGAGCACGGCCCTATCAAGAGCCTCGTGCACGTGCATCTGATCGACTAGGTATTGTCCGAACCTCTTAGCTCCAAACCTCCATCGATCGAACGACGGCAGCGGCGGCTCACCCTTCGCCCGCGCAACAGAAAGCTTCCCCTGCGACTCGAGAACCTGCAGGTGCCTCACCAGGCGTTCGTACAGGTCTACCTGCGGCGCGGGTGCATCTCCCTCTGCCAGTTGTTGCCGAGGCTGCTGATCATCTTCGGCCCGAGCTTCGTAGCCTTGAGAAGTAGTGCCGGGAGTGAAGCTTTTCACCTTGAGATTGCCGATTTCGTCCGGACCTATTTCCGACGCTGCCGAACCTGCGGCCTCCCAACCTTCCACCCGGACGAAGTCTACGCGACCCTTTGCTGCTGCGCGCTGGTCTACCAACGGATGACCACGTGTCGGGGTCGGGTTGGAGGAAGACTTCTCCTCCAATTTCTGCACTAGACGCGTGATTTTCGGATCTTCTGGCACGACGGCGGACGGTCCAGATATCGACCCATTTTCACGCGGTTTCTTGGTCCCCCCAGCAGTCTTACTGCCCTTGGATTTAGCCGGCGACTGGTTCGACGGGCCGCCGGACCCAAATCCCTTACCCGATCCACCCGCTGCTGCGTTAATTCTGACTGAATGACTTCTGCTAATCGGAAACGCGGTTCTGCTCGAGCCTGGAGCATGATGAAGAAATCTGCTCTCGGGACGCGAAAGCTGATGACAACAGGGGAGATTAACGAGCAATGACGCCATGGTGAGAAATAGTATGTGCCCAAATTAGGTGCCGACACGACAAGGAGATGCCTTGAGAATGCTCGTTTTATGAATGGATTCTTAGCAAATTATATCACCCACGAGAGTGTTTTCCAAAGCGCCAAATCTCATGACCATCTTCCTCGGTGTTTGCGAAGATTTGCAAGGTGTCGAAATGTTACCAGCATATCGTCGCTTCTTCGACGCAGAATCGAACGGCAGGAACCCGTCGTCGCAGAAACGAAACGGCCAACTGGACGGAGACGGGAGGACCTTGGATTCGGGCCCATGAACCTGGTCAGCCTATAGTGTAGCCAGGAGAGTGCATGAACACAAAATACACTCACGTAGCAACGTTCCTTACATTCGCCGTTTTTTTTTTTTTTTTTTTTTTAATAATCTACGGTATGCCTTGTATTACGTTTTGGGACCTCTGGTAGATGCAACCAGCCTGCTTATCTGTATCACAAATAAAACTCGTCGGTATGCATCGAAATTGTAGTTATCAGCCCATCATTGAGCCAAACAGTGAGGCATGAAGAATCTGGCTATCATGGCTGATGGAGGCGGTTTTCCACAGGTGAAGGAACTGTGCACGCCAGGCAGGGGGGTACCACTTATTAAATATGTGCAAGATATGCATGTCCAAAGGATATGCATGTATGCATGATACACAGCACAAGAGGCTATGCAGGAAGGTAGTATGGCTACAAAACGGAGGAGAGGAGAGGACCGGACTAGGTTGAGGGGGTTGGGCGACAATAGCCACAGAAGTTGCTCAGAAGACGGATGCAGATGAGAAGGCAGGCATAGATACATGTATTGAGACAGCTCAAAAAACTTTTATCACGGGACAATATCTACAGAAGTTGCTCAGAAGAAGGATGCAGATGAGAAGGCAGGCATAGATACATGGGGATGAGATCGTACCTCTGCAAGGCGGGAATGGCTAAGGTACAGGGGACGACCACGGCGCATGTACGCGTCATCCTGAGATCAGCAAATACACCACAATCAAAGAGAATTGTTCCATTGCAATTACGGCATCCATGTAACGACCGGGCAGATTGGTATGATATACAACAGTTTGGGTGAGCAAAAAGTCACGCATACCGGGTCTAGAGAAATGGGTGGAATCAAATGCATCGCCATTTGCCCGATAACAAGCAAAGTAGGACAAGGCACCTGGTGGGTAACAACAACCGTGCCCTTATAATCTGCGGGCCAATTTTTTCAAAGTTGGGATCGAGAGACGCGATTGGCCAAGATTTTGGGTGGCAGAGTCAAAGTGAACCGAAGTTAGGAAGGTTGAACCAATTTGAGTCGGTTGTGAGCGGTTGAGCCAAGAACAAATTCGGGGGTTCTTGGCCCGCAGGTTTTAGAGTCAACTCAGAGTTCCTCTCACCTCTCCATGCGCGTCGAGATAGATTCAGATGAATAGAGCAGCGCATATGTGCGCACCGTGTATCAACAGCAACAGCCATATGCTCTGAGCCAGCCACCCCAAGAATGCACTCACCTCTCCATGCGAGTCGAGATAGATTCAGATGGAGAGAGCAGCACATATGTGCGCATCGTGTATGAACAGCAACAGCCATATACTCTGAGCCAGCCACCTCAAGAATGCACTCACCTCTCCATGCGAGTCGAGATAGATTCAGATGGAGGGAGCAGCACGTATGCGTGCACAGCGTGTATCAACAGCAGCAGTCATATGCACCTGTGCTTTCTGAGTCGACTTATAGCTCCACTCACCTCTCCATGTGAGTCGAGATAGATGGAGAGAGCAGCGCATATGTGCGCATCGTGTATGAACAGCAACAGCCATATGCTCTGAGCCAGCCACCTCAAGAATGCACTCACCTCTCCATGCGAGTCGAGATAGATTCAGATGGAGGGAGCAGCACGTATGCGTGCACAGCGTGTATCAACAGCAGCAGTCATATGCACCTGTGCTTTCTGAGTCGACTTATAGCTCCACTCACCTCTCCATGTGAGTCGAGATAGATGGAGAGAGCAGCGCATATGTGCGCATCGTGTATGAACAGCAACAGCCATATGCTTTGAGCCAGCCACCTCAAGAATGCACTCACCTCTCCATGCGAGTCGAGATAGATTCAGATGGAGGGAGCAGCACGTATGCGTGCACAGCGTGTATCAACAGCAGCAGTCATATGCACCTGTGCTTTCTGAGTCGACTTATAGCTCCACTCACCTCTCCATGTGAGTCGAGATAGATGGAGAGAGCAGCGCATATGTGCGCATCGTGTATGAACAGCAACAGCCATATGCTCTGAGCCAGCCACCTCAAGAATGCACTCACCTCTCCATGCGAGTCGAGATAGATTCAGATGGAGGGAGCAGCACGTATGCGTGCACAGCGTGTATCAACAGCAGCAGTCATATGCACCTGTGCTTTCTGAGTCGACTTATAGCTCCACTCACCTCTCCATGTGAGTCGAGATAGATGGAGAGAGCAGCGCATATGTGCACGCCATGTATCAACAGCACCGGCTGTGTTGATCGCACCACCTCGAGACTGTTGAGACGATACAGCAGTGCTCCTGTTTCTCACCTCTCCATGCGAGTCGAGATAGATGGAGAGAGCAGCACATATGCGCACACCGTGTATCAACAGCACTAGCCATGCTCTTTGGGAGGACCCAAAGGCCACCTTAATCCTCACCTCTCCATGCGAGTCGAGATAGATAGAGAGACCGGCACATATGTGCACTCCATGTATCAGCACCAGCTGTGTCGATCGCATCACCAGGAACAGACCCGTGCCTCCATTCTCTGCACAGGGGGTTGGATGGTTCACAGAGAAAGGGCAAGCGTATGTGTGCACGCCATGTATGATCACCAGCTGTGTTGATCGCATCACCAGGAACAGACCCGTGCCCCCGTTCTATGCATGTAGGGGTGGACGGCGATGGTAAAAAATACATATAATGTACATGATAGGCCCACTGAAATATCAGGCTGCCCAGCATTACTTTAGAATCTAGAATCCTTGCACACGAGAGGTTTGCGACCTGTACGGACGCTGCTACCGGGTCCCGTCTGGCCGCATTCTCTCGCCTGCTCAGGTCTCTTCACACTGCGCACCGCCTCCCCCCCAGGTAGCTGCGTCTGGCCAGGTTGCTGCGTCATGCTCCTGTCGGTCACTCACCCACCCGTCAGTCCTGTGGCACCACCGTCTAGGTCACCCTTCACTCCTACGCCTGGATAACAGCTGGGATAAGCCAAATGGGTAGATCCAACTAGGACAAAGGAATAGGATGTTGATGGCACACATGTAGGATTCCCAAGTGTAGCGACACAAAACACCCACCTCTCAGCGCGTGTCTGTAGCACTCCCGGTGCCCGTCCGAGTGGCAGCAGGAAAAGTGGTAGCAGAGCAGCTCGTTTGTAGCACGCACACCTACCTAAAGAACAAAACCCACCTCTCAGCGCGTGTCTGTAACACTCCCCACGCCCGTCCGAGTGGCAGCAGGAGGAGTGGTAGCAGAGCAACTCGCCACAGCACAGGCACACAGCGGGGTTGGGAGGCTCCTGGCCACAGTTCCTGCACACCTTGTTCATCGTGGACAAAAGAAGGTCCTGGGAGGGAGGGGAGTGGAGTGGATGATGGGTGGGGAAGTGGAAGCACATGCTGAAAGCACAGCGGGGTTGGGAGGCTCCTGGCCGCAGTTCCTGCATGCCTTGTTCATCGTGAAGAGTAGCAGGTCCTGGGAGGGAGGGGAGGGCAGGAGAGGATGGTTCAGCACAGGCAGACAGCCGGGTTGAGGGATTTCAAACTGCAGGTCCTGCACACCTTGTTCATCGTGGATAGCAGCAGGTCCTGGGAGGGAGGGGAGTGGATGGGGGAAGGAGCACCATCGAGAGTTGCAGTTGTAGTAACAGAGCAGCTTTCCCCGCAGCACAGGCAGACAGCAGAGTTGGGGGGTTCCAACCTGCAGTTCTTGCACGCCTTGTTCATCGTGGATAGCAGCAGGTCCTGGGAGGGACAGAAGGAGAGGATGAACAGGGAAGGCACCTGCTAGAAATCTCCAGGCTTTGAAGTGTACCAGCAAAAAGCTTCTATATTCCAATGCCTCACTACAAGAGTTTGATCATGTGCCTGTAAGGCTTTCTTTGGCGATTGCATGTTACCTGGTGCAAAGTACCTGGTATAACTTAAACATCACAACAAGACAATTAATCGGAAAATACCTGGTAAATCTCCGGCAATGGGTGGAAGGATGGCTGGGTGGGGGCTCTGACCAGCCGAGGTGGTTCCTGCATGTGTGAGGATGAGACAGGCATTAGTATGCATGGAGACATGCGGGCATAGCAGAAGCATGCATACATTTAATTATTCTAGCATGCATGCATGAATGTATGCACACATGGCTGGACGGGTGCTCTGACCAGCTGGGGAGATTCTTGCATGTGTGAGAATTCGAGGGATATTGGCATGCATGGAGACATGCACAGTGCATATAGAGACATACATGATACATCGCATACAAATATGCAACACGGGGGTTGATTCAGAGTGCCTGTCGTTCAGTTTGACATTCTGAAGATAAAAGGTGTGAAGCATGTGAAAGAGGAATTTGTTGGTGCGGCGTCAAAAGAACCAGGCGATTGGAATGGTAAGAAGTGGGCATTCACATCTGATAATGAAGGGTACGTCTATAAGAGGAGAGGGTTGTGGAGAATCCAGTATCTGTAATTGCAGAGAGGAAGGAGAAATACAAAGTGATGCGGTTGGTGAGGACAAAGCGGTTGATTCGGTGGCGATAGGTGGCCAGATGGCGGAGGGGGTATTGTCTCGGATACTCGAGTGGCAGACGTCGAAGGATGTGCTGTCACTCGAGTATCCGTGACAATACCCCCTCCGCCATCTGGCCACCACTCGCTACCGAATCAACAGCTTCGTCTTCACAGACCTTGTCACTTCGTACTTCTCCTTCCTCTTTGCTCAGAGATACTGGATTCTCCACAGGTGACCCTCTCCTCTTGTTGACTGACATACTCTTTATCTCCAACACAAATGCTCCCTTCTCACCATTCCGATAGTCATGTTTCTCTAACGCTGCACCAAGCAGCACCTCATATTCCTCCTTCACCTGCTTCTCCCCTTCCAACTTAAGAATGCCAAACTGGGCAACATGCATTAAAAAATGTACATCATGGGTGTGGCATGGGGTGGATGTGTTTGTAATGTAAGTACTCACTGATGGTAGGTTCCATGATGCAAACATGCGGCTGAGGTGCCACGGCTGGCTGGATGATGCTGCAGAGACGCAACGAGAAAAGGGGATGGGGCACGGGTGCAAGGGCGGAGGGAGAAAGGGAGGATTAGGACGGGCGAGAGGTTCCATTATGCAAACATGCGGCTGAGGTGCCACGGCTGGCTGGATGATGCTGCAGAGATGCGAGGAGAAAGGGGGATGGAGCCCGGACGAGTGGGAGAAAGGGAAGGTTAGGATGGGCGACAGGAGGTTCCATTCCATGATGCAAACATACTGCTGAGGTGCCACGGCTGGCTGGATGATGCTGCAGAGACGCGAGGAGAAAGGGGGATGGAGCCCGGACGAGTGGGAGAAAGGGAAGGTTAGGATGGGCGACAGGAGGTGTCACGGGGAGTTGGTGAAGCGTGAAGGTAGGGTGAAAGTTGTAGGGTGAAAGGTAAAAGATGAAAGGCGACTCACCTTCACTGTCGGCAGAGGCCATTAGGCGAAGCATAGAAGGTGATGGGTGTATGCATGGGGAATGTTGAGCAATGGAATGAGCGGTGAAGGTTCAAGTGCAAAAGGTGAAGAGTGAAAAGGAAAGTCAAAAGTTACAGATTCGACTGGATGAATGAAGTCAAGGAAGTCAATGAAGTCAAGGCCTCACCTTCTGGTTTTTGAGAACTCTTAATGAAGTCAAGGAAGTCAATGAAGTCAAGGCCTCACCTTCTGTTTTTGAGAACTCTTAATGAAGTCAAGGACTCACCTTTGCTGCTGGCGGAGGCCATGAGGCGAAGCACAAAGGGTGACGGGTGAATGGTGATGGGTGAAAGATGAAAGATGAAAGGGTGAAGGGAAAAAACTAAAAGCGGGGTCATGAGGCGAAGCCAACGCCTCACCTTCACTGTTGGCGGAAGCCATGAGGCGAAGCACAGCGGTCACGGAGGGAAGGGCAAGCGAGCGGCGCAACCAATCAGCGAGCAGCACTTGCGGGCCTGCAGAGGGCAGAGCAAGCAAGGAAAGAAGGCCGAGGGGACGTGAGGCGAGCAGAGATTGCTGGATGTTGAGAATTCTTGAAAGGCAACTAGGTAAAAAGGGGAAGAGGCGAGCAAGAGAAGCCGAGGGGAAGTTGGGCGAGCAGACTTGAAGGCTTTCAGGCCAAAAAAGTAGGGGTTTTTTAGGGCGAGCAGAGCGGAGCACTGGGCAATAACATATGGGGGTTGACACGTTTGTAAAGCTCTCTAACATTGCAGCTCTTACTCAGATTCTTAATTGCTTTAACGCGGTGATCCACAAGCGGAGGCTCTCTGAGTGGCATTATGCCAAGGTAGTGAATCTGGTTATAAGGAGTACAGGGTTTTAAAGGGAGGGAGGAAGACAGGAAAATGGAGCAGAGGGGAGAGAGGAAGTAACGTGGAGAAGAGACAATAGGTAAACAGTGTCTTTGAACGCGTTTGTGTATCAGTGGAATTAGAACGCATGTCTTTTAACTTGTAAACTAGATTCTGAGACGCCTCAACTCAAGGGACCATGGTTGAAGGTGACTGTTTAGAGCACGTGGGTGGGGAAGGGAAGAATCCATGTTGGAAACGAACGTACAGAAGACATAGGGGGGTACGGCACGTTGTTGCAGGGTGTTTTTGAGAATTCTCAAAAACACCCTTCAGCATCATGAAGATATAGGGGGGTACGGCACGTTCGTTTCTTTGAAGAATATCCAGAGATATTCTTTGTACCGATAACAATGACAACACACCAGGATGTAGGCTCGGCGGAGGTACGGCAAGCAGCAGGCCAGGACACCCCACTCAGCCCACTCCTCGCCTGCAGGTTCGGAAGCAGCAGCGGCAGCAGCGGCGGCGGCAGCGGCAGCAGAAATAGGGGTGGGTCGGGGAAACATCCCGAGGAAAGGAACAGAGGTACGGGAGGAGGAGGAGGCACGGGAGGAGGGAGTGGAGGAGGAGGAGAGGGAGGAGGGGCGGAGGCGGGAGGAGGGCTGGAGGGCGGCGAGGGATTGTGTGATGGCCACACAGAAAGAGACAAGGAGGATGGCTTGTGTCGTGGCAGCAGAGGGGCGGGGCTGCTTGGACTGTTGTGGAAGGGTGGGGTCAGGAGTGTGGTGGGAAAGAAAAAAAGAGGTGAGGTGAAATGAGCGCAACAGCAAGAGTTACTTAAGACAAGTGACAAGAACTACCTGGATTTTGGAGAAAAAAAAAGGCGCAGAACAATATCAGCAATCATGGCAGTATTAGACATACGCAAACCTTAATCTGGATAAATTTGACAGAAGCAAGCCCGTTTACCTGAATGAGCGACAGCAGAACAGCAAAGGGATCAGCAGCAACAACCGGCCGGGACAGCAACCCCAACAGCACACTCCAGCTCGAATCCACGCCCATATCCATCCGATCCTCCTCCTCCTCCTCCTCTTCCTCCTCCTCATCCTCTACACCAAACTCTTCTTCTAGCTCTCGTAGTTCCGCCACCATCTCAGCAGGTGTGATTCCCTCTGCCATCAATGCTTGCAGCAGCTCTGGGGGGATCTCTAGGCCACCCGGTCCCATTGGTCCTATTGGTCCTCTTGTCCCTCTTGCCCCTCTTGCTCCCCCTGCTGCCCTGCCACCTCTCCTTGCTCCTCCTCTTCTTGTCAACGCTACTCCTCTTCTTGCTACTCCCCCGCCTGCTGCTCTTGCTCTGCCTAACCTTGCTGCTGCTCTTGCTGTTGCCGCTGCTGCTAATCTTGCTGTAACACCACCCGTTGTTGCTGCTGCGTCTGCTGGTGCTGCTGCGGCTGTGGTGGTTGCTGCTTGCCCTGTCCCTCCTTCCTGCACCTGTGTCTCTCCAGCAGCAGCAGCAACAGCAGCAGCAGTGGCAGCAGGAAGAGGAACAGTTTCAGCAGTAGCAGTCACAGCGGTTTCAACATCAGCAGCTGCTGCAGCAGTAGCAGTCACAACAGTTTCAGCAGCAGCAGCTGCTGCAGCAGCCACAGGAGTAGCAGCTTCAGCAGTAGCTGCAGTAACAGCTGGAGGAGCTGGTGTGGGGGCTGCAACAGAGGCATCAACCAACACAAACCCCTCTGATGCAACCCCCCTCTCCTCATCCCCTGCCACTCTCCCTTCTTCTGCCTCTTCCCACTCCTCCTCGCTCTCCTCCTCGTCCTCCTCCTCCCCACCTTCATCCCCTCCTTCCTCACTCTCCTCCACTTCTTCCCATTCATCATCCTCCTCCTCCTCATCCTCCTCCTCACTCTCATCATCCCCACTACCACCCCCGAGACCATGCATAGGAAACGACATCCGTCCCCCTCTCCTCCTCCCTCCCCTTACTTCTCCTCCCCCACTTCCTCCTGCTCCTTCACCTCCTCCTCTCCGTCCTGCTCGTCCTTTTCCCACCATCCCCTCCTCCCCAGCCCCCCCCATCCCGCCAAATCGAACCATAGCCTCTCGAACGCTTGAGGGCACAGTCACCGGAGTAGACGCCTCTCCCAACCTCTGCCCTCCACTGCCAATTGCCCCTGATCCCTCTTGCACCCCCTCCCACTCAAACCCATCACTTCCCTCCTCCTGTTCGCACTCCGCCTTCTCTCCTTCCCTCTCCTCCTCTTCACCTCTCATTTCCTCATCCGCGTCTTTCTTACTCCCAACCTCTTGTGCCACAGACTTCCCAACATCTTCTCCCTCTTTCCTTTCTTTCCCCTCTTTCGCCTCATTCCCCTCTTTCTCCCCATTCCCCTTCCTGGGTTGTCCCTTTTTCCCGTTGCCCCCTCCTCCTCCTCCTCTCCCCGCTCTCCTGCTGCTACCTGCCCTGTCCTTCTCGTCTTCCTCCTCCTCCGGTTCAAGATGCAACCACTTGAACAGACTCGTGCACTGGTGATCCACCACCGGGGCTGGCAAGCGGAAGAGGAGGAGAGAGGGAGGAGAAGGATGTGTTTTGAGTCGGTTCAAGATGCAACCACTTGACGTGCAATTCTCACCTTAAGATAGATTGCACACACACACCCCTATCCACACACACACCCCTACCTCCAGCCATGATGGTGTTGCTGACCAGAGCCAGGTGCGCCAGTCCATCCAGAGCCATTTCGTGGCCCTTGTCGTCCGAACCCTACAGATTCATTGTGTAGGCGCCTCACTAATCCAACCCTCAGATACACACCCTATCCACACATAGACACGCGCCCACCTGCTGCCATGATGGTGTTGGTGAGCAGAGCCAGGTGCGCCAGCCCATCCAGGGCCATCTCATGGCCCTTGTCCGACCTCTCACCCACACATGCTCGCGCCACTGCTGCTGCTGCTTCTGCTGCTTCCACAGAAGACAAAGGAGGAGCAGCCGAGGCATCTGCAGCAGGGGTTGTGGCGGATGTAGCGGCTGTAGCAGTGGCCATGGCCTGCAGGGCGGCGTGTCTTGTCTCCACCTCGTGATGCACGATGTTGAGAGCGAGCAGTTCCCACACGGACTGATGGGGTGGAGTCAAGGGAAGAAGGAGTAGAAGAAGAAGTTGGGAGAGAAAAATAGCGGGTTGAGCCTCAAAACACACTCACATGAAACTTGTCCTTAAGGGGAGTTCACCTATGACTGTCAGAAGTGATTCTCAAAAGAAGTTCATATGAGCTCCTGTCTTCGGGTTTTGCATACATGGCATGATTCGATACGACATACGACATGGCATGATTCAATACGACATGGCGTGATTCGATACGACAAGGCATGATCCGATAAGGCACGGCGTGATTCAATTCGACACGATATGATACGACACGATATGATACGACACCTCACAGTACAATGCGCACCTTCCAGACGTATCCAGGAGAGGTTGAGCGCGAGGGCAGCAGACGGATCATGGAGTTCTGCAAGTTCCATATGAGCAGGAAGACAAACAGAGGAGAAGGGGAGAAGACTGGGCAACGGGAGGGAGGAGCGATAAGGAGGTTCAGCGCGAGGGCAGCAGGCGGATCATGGAGTTTTGCAAGTTCCATATGAGCAGGAAGACAAACAGAGGAGAAGAGGAGAAGACTGGGCAACGGGAGGGAGGAGCGATAAGGAGGTTCAGCGCGAGGGCAGCAGGCGGATCATGGAGTTCTGACAGTTCCATATGAGCAGGAAGATAAGAGGAGGACAAGATGAGGCAGGGGGGGAGAAGATGGGGCAGGGGGGGAGTGAAGGAGAGGAGGCTGGACAGGACAGCAGCACATAAATAATAAATCATCGAGAGATGCAAGGTCAGGTGAAAAAGCTAACAGGATTACGCACTTGAGTTTCAAGACAGTTCAGAGCGCCAAAAAAAAAAAATCATTCGACACTATCCTCACATGCTCTGCCTCCATTCAAAGTCTTCCCCATGTGCTTGATGAACAGCCAAACTCGACACAGACACACAGACACACAGACACACAGACACAGGGCCACACAGACGCACCTGGCTGCAGAAGATGAAAAGGAAGCCGCTCATAGCGGTGCTGGTCAGCCAGAAGCGGGTCCACCACACCTGCTGCCGCTTGTATGCTCTGAGTCCACTCCAGAACACATTTACCCTATGCCTCGCACACACACACTAGGAGATGCACAGGGACAAGGAGCCGTGTACCTGGCTGCAGAAGATGACAAGGAAGCCGCTCATAGCGGTGCTGGTCAGCCAGAAGCGAGTCCACCACACCTGCTGCCGCTCCTCCCACTGCACCTCCTCCCTCTCCTCATCCACACACCTCTTTAACACTCTCAACCGCTCCAACACCCTCTTAAGGCTCTGAGTCTCCCTTTCTTGTCTGGTTGAGCTTGATTTCTTGACCACAGAGGCGCCAGCACCAGAATTAGACCCAGCAGCTGCACCATCACCACCACCACCAACAACAGCGGCAGCGGCAGTAGAAGTCGGTTTTGGAAGCGCCTCAGAGGAAGGTGGAGGGTTAGCGAGGGGCAGAGTCATCCTGACGTCTGGCAGCAGCAGGTTGCCGAGGCGGCGACACACAGGGCACAGGAACTCGCCTCGTGCCAAGTCTATCAGCCCACGGCCTGATCATTGCACGCAGGGGAAATAGGGAGGGAAGCGGGTGAGAGGGGAAAACAAATGGGGGGGGGGGGGTTGGGAGGGGGAAGTAGCAGCAGCAGCACCAGCAGGAGAAGCAGCAGAAGAGGTCACTGTTTGCGACGCCTCAAAGCACGGGTGTGGCACTTCTGAGAATTCTGAAATTTACTTTTAAGAATTCTGAAATTTACTTTTGAGAGTTCTGAAATTTACTTTTGAGAATTCTGAAATTTACTTATGAGAATTCTGAAATTTACTTTTGAGAATTCTCAAAAGCAGCAGAAGAGGTCACTGTTTGCAACGCCTCAAAGCACGGGTGATGAGGGCATTTTTTAGGCGCCTCAAAGGTCTTTTTTGAGGCGCCTTAACAGCACCAGCAGGAGAAGCAGCAGAAGAGGTCACTGTTTGCGACACCTCAAAGCACGGGTGGTGAGGACAAAGCAGGCAGGTTGTCAGGCTGGCAAAATATGGGGGGCCCCCCAGCCAACATACAGGAGAACACTTGACTTGGTTTGACTTTTGAGAATTATCAAAAGTCAAACCAAGCCGGCAAAATATGGGGGGCCCAGCCAGTATACGAAGGAGAGCACTTGACTTTTAGCTGGCTAGCAGCTCACCTTCATACGGCCGATCCACTCAATCCCTGTCCACTAAAGTTGACATGTAGCACTCGAAATGCATCTGGCTTCAGTGCAAAGAGCCATTGCCTTCTTGCCTTTTAGCTAGTTAGGCAGCTCACCTTCGTACGGCCGATCCGCTCGGTCCCTGTCCACCAGAGCTGACATGTACTGGTTGTAGCACTCGAAATGCATCTGGCATGAGGGGCAAACACAGAGGCAAGCAGACAGGCAGGCAGGCACCATCAGCGCACAGAGAGGCAGGCAGCCATAAGGCTACACCCTCGAAACCCTCAACGGTCAAGCCGAAATCGCAAAACCCGAAACCCTGACTGCAGTGGGAGCTGCAGAGATAAATATACACCTCAAAACAAATATGCACTTCAGTGTAGTTACACCACAGAGAAACACTAGACAAGTCGAGCACATATGATAAGTAAACAAGCACAAAATCCACCTGAGGGAAACAGAGACCAACCTGGAGCCAACAGAGACCCACCTGAAGACAACAGAGGCCCACCTGAAGGCAACAGAGGCCCACTTGAAGGCAACAGAGGCCCACCTGATGGCAACAGAGCTGCACCTGATGGCCGCAGCATCGGATGTGAGAGGTGACTTGTGTGTCCAGTGCCCTCTCCACCTGCACCCCCACTGTCCACTCCTTTATTGCTTGCAGAGGCTCACCTGGTGGCCACAGCAGCGGATGTGAGATGTGACCTGCGTGTCCAAAGCACCCTCCACCTGCACCTCCACTGTCCACTCCACTTCCCCTGCTGCTCTATCACTCGCATTCCCTGCAGCTTCTGCCCTGGCACTCGCATTTCCTGCTGCAGGTTGCACTGTGGTATGCCCCTGCTCTGCTGCTGCTGCAGCTGCTGCTGCATGCTTGTTCAGCCCCGAACTCGATTCTGCTGCCTCAGAAGCAGCAGCAGGCCTTTCCTGTTCTTTTCTCGGCTCGGGAACAGCAGCAGCAGCAGGAGCACCAGCAGGAGGAGAAAGGGTAGGAGCAGCAGCGGCAGCTGCGGCAGTTGCGGCAGCAGTAGCAGCAGCGGGGGTGATACGCTGAGCGCGGGAGTGCATGATCGCAGGGAGCTTGTACGGCTGCGCGAGAGCCACCCACCCAATGGGGGCTGTTGGGGTGGGGCGACACTGGGGATGGGCAGGGAGGGGGAGAGGAATTACGGAGAAACACATGAGCGGACAGGAAGGCTGAGCGCGGGAGTGCATGATTGCGGGGAGCTTGTACGGCTGAGTGAGAGCCACCCACCCGATGGGGGCTGTTGAGGTGGGTCGACACTGGGGGGGAAGGAGGGGTGGAAAGTACGTACGGAAAATACAAACATGAGCCAGTCCCAGCAGCAGCAGCGGGGGTGATAGGCTGGGCGGGGGAGTGCATGATCGCAGGGAGCTTGTACGGCTGCGCGAGAGCCACGCACCCAATGGGGGCTGTTGGTGTGGGGCGACACTGGGGTTTTGGGGTTTAGGAATGGAAGGGGAAGGGGAAGGGAGGAATGGAATGTGGGGGAATGAAACAGGGTGGTGGTAGCTTGCATGGCTGAGCGAGAGCCACGCACCCAATGAGGGCTGTTCGGGTGGGTTGACACTGGGGTTTGGGGTTTAGGAATGGAAGGGAGGGGAGGAATAGAATGAGGGGGAATGCAACAGGGTGGTGGTAACTTGTATGGCTGGGCTAAAGCCATGCACCCGATGGGGGCTGTTCTGTTGGTGTGGGGCGACACTGGGGATGGGCAATGGAAGGGGAGGAAAACATAAATGGGGAACATGAGAGGCAGTCTCAGCAGAAGCAGCAGCAGAAGCAGCAGCAGAAACAGCAGCAGAAACAGCAGTAGCAGCAGTAGCAGCAGTAGCAACAGCAGCAGCAGCAGCAGCAGTAGCAGCAGTAGCAGCAGTAGCAGCAGTAGCAACAGCAGCAGCAGCAGTGGGGGAGATAGGCTGGCTGAGCCCGAGAGGAGATGTGGCAAAAATGCCATCTTATCCCAGGGTATGGCTTTGAGTCAACTCAAAAGACATCCCCAAAACCGCGTAGTAGCAACCGAGATTTACGATGAACAGCTTTTTGAATCGAGAATTCTCATAATGTGCCGCATCACAGCACCTTCTCATCTCTCTCCATCACAGCACAGCACCTGCTCACATCACATTCTCACTGGCTCAAAGGATGTGAAAGCAGCAAGTACTTTGCCTTCCTCAAACTACCGCTGGTGCTGCTGCCGCTTCACACCACAGTGCACTCCTTCTCACCTTGGCATGACAGAAACCGCACAGGACTGGCTCAAACGTCGTGAAAGCAGCAAGGCAACCCGGTGCTACCCTGCTGCTACCCTTGCTTTCCTCAAACCACTTTTCAGTGCCGATGGTGGCACGGTGCTGCTGCCAGCCACTACAAGGTGACTTTTGAGTCAACTCAAAAGACACCTCCGTGCTACACTGCTGCTACCCTTGCTTTCCTTACCTCAAACCACTTCTCTGTGTGCCGGTGGCACGGTGCTGCTGCTGCTGCTGCTGCCACTACACATTCCATGCTCAGCTCACTTTCTCACCTCGGCATGACAGAAACCACACAGGTCGGGCTCAAAGGAAGTGAAAGCAGCAAGAGACCCTGGCGCTATCCTCGCCTTCCTCACACCACCACCCGCTGCCACTGCTGCTGCTGCTGCACCTCCCAGTGGTGCTGCTATGCCCGCACCCTCCCCTCTGCCCCCCTCTTCCATCTTGCCTTTTCCTTTCTCCATCCTACCCACACCTCCTGCACCCTGCACACCAGTTTTTCCACCCTCACTTCCTTCTGGACCCCCATCCACCTCCATATCCTCCCCATCTGCTTGCCCCGCCTCATTGTTCCCCCCTGCCTGCCCTCTCTTCCTGCTCCGCGAAGCTTCCCTCCCTGCACCACCCATTCCGCCCCCTTCCAATCCCCCCCGCCCTACGTCACCTTGCTGCTCACCCATTTGATTACCATCTCCACCCCTGTCACTACCAACTGCACCCGCAGCCCCCCTTGCCCAGGCCCCATCAATATCCATGCCCTCCATTGCTCCTACTGCTGGTGCTGGCTCTACTGCTACGTTGCTGCCCGTTGCCCTGCCACTTTCCCCTGATCCTGCTGCACCTGCTCCTGTCCCATCTGATCCTGCTCCACCCTTCGTCTCTCTCGTCCTCCCCTCCTCCATCTCATCATCTTCATCATCGTCTGCTGCTGCCAGCATCTTGGCAAACGCGCTCTGCCTGCACATGCACGTGTGGGTTTGAATTGGAATGATGTTGTCATTTATGTGCGCATGTTGTAGTGGTTATTCTAGAAAGAGTTTGATGTGACTGAGAACATCAATTCAGAATTTCTAAATGCCAACAGAGGAAAAGAAAGAAAGAAAGAAAGAAAGAAAGAAAGAAAGAAAGAAAGAAAGAAAGAAAGAAAGAAAGAAAGAAAGAAAGAAAGAAAGAAAGAAAGAAAGAAAGAAAGGAGCAAGGGAAGAAAGAAAGAAAGAGAAAAGGACAGGAAAGGAAAGAAAACAAAGGAGAAGTTCAAATCACCTCCTGGAGCAGTCCACACCACATTCCAATGTGCATTACTCCACAACCCACAACTCACTTAGCAGCGGATTGAGACATGATAGCCGCCTGCCGCTGCCTCTTCTGCTGCCTCTTCTCCCTTAAAAAAGGCATACTTACAGTCTCAGACAAAACATGTTTCATGCCATGCCATGCCGTTTCGTTCCATCGACTCACTTAGCAGCGAATTGAGCCATGATAGCAGCCTGCCGCTGCCTCTTCTGCTGCCGCTTCGCCTCATCCGACCCCATCCCTCCTCCAGCCGCCCGCGACAGGCCCCCTGCTTCTGCTGCTGCTGCTGCTGCACCTGCTCCTGTTGCTCCTCCTGCTACCGTGCCTGCTGCAGTTTCTCCTGCTCCTGCTGCAGCAGACCCAGGTTGCTCTGCCTTGGACTGGACACACAGGAGGAGATAGAAGGAAGGGGAAAAGGGGGGAGGGGTGTATGTGAAGCGGAGGGAGGGAGGATCGGCAAGGGTGAAAGGGCAAGGAAGTGGTGAGGAAGGGAGCGAGTGTGAAACCAAGCAAAGTGTTTGCAGGCAAGACTTTTGCCTCTCACATCATAGCATTAATCACCAGAATCCCCATTCCCAGCCGCATACCATCAGTCCGTGATGTGCTTGTGAGTCAACTCAAACATGCAGGCAAGGCTTTTGCCTGTCATATGATAGCTCATAGCTTTAATCACAATCATCCCCATGCCCAGCAGCATACAATCAGTCCGTGATGTGAAGCACCATTACCACCTCTCCCTTCTCGTCATGCAGCAAGGTGACAAAAGAGAAGAGAAGAAAAGAAAAGCAGTGTCACCTCCCCTGGTGCCTCATGTGGTCGCAGGTTGAGTCTGGTCATGAGCAACGAGATCACATGCTCTATGGCGTCCTTGAGACCTGGCGGTGAGAAGGAAGAGCGAGAGAAGAACCGTTAGAGAAGGCGGCAGGCAGGAGGAGAGGGCGAGGAAGAGGCAGTGGAAAATCTAATGCCAGCCAGTTTGCAAAACATATCAGCTTTATTGGGAAAATAGTCTCCTGAGATTGAGACTTAGAAACATCAGCTCTAATCCCAAGGAAACATAGTCACCCGTTTCCTTGGGATTTCGAGGCATCTGAAAACTCACGATGGTTATCTGTGTTCTGAAGTATGCTCTTAAGGGAGATAAACACGTTCGGAAGCGAGTCAAAGGGCGAGATCCGCCCCTTGCCCTTGCCACCTGCCCTGGCGCCTGCTGCTCCCCGTGCATCCCCACCGAAGGGTAAGCACGATATGACTGCTGCTGCTGCTGCATCGTCACCCTCTGCAGCAGATGGTGCTGCGGATAAGGTGGATGGGAGGCATGACAGAACTGCTGCTGCTACCTCGTCCTCTGCTGCTGCTGCTGTTGCTGGAGCAGCTACGTCAAAGTCACCATCAGGACTAGTATCAGCACCAGCAATTTCAGCACCAGCAGCAGCATCGCCAACACCAGCAGCCGCAGCATTGGCAGCAGCAGGAGGAGGGGGGGCAGGAGAAGCGGCAGCGGCAGCGGCAGCAGTAGCGGCATCATCCAGGCTTCTTGCAATGTCTAGGGAGTGGCGGGAGGGAGAGGAGCGGCGCGAAGGGGAGGAGGAGGAGCGGAAGAGGTCGAGGGAGGAGCGTGAGGGGGACTGCGAGCGTAACTTGTTGAAGTTCCTGGAAATTCCCTCCAGCCAACGAGGTGAGCAGCTCACACACGCAACATCATCATCTGGAGAGGGGAGGGTGGAAGAGCAAAGGGTGGGTGGGAGGGGGGAAGGTAAGAGAGGGGTCTGCATTTGAGGCGCCTGAATAACAGACCCCGGAAAGTTTCTTCCAGCCTAAGAGGCGAGCAGAGCACACATGAGACATCACCACCATCTTTTGAGACGTCTCAAAAGCCAGCCTAAGAAGCGAGCAGAGCACACATGAGACATCACCACCATCTTTTGAGACGTCTCAAAAGCCAGCCTAAGAAGCGAGCAGAGCACACATGAGACATCACCACCAACTTTTGAGACGTCTCAAAAGCCAGCCTAAGAAGCGAGCAGAGCACACATGAGACATCACCACCATCTTTTGAGACGTCTCAAAAGCCAGCCTAAGAAGCGAGCAGAGCACACATGAGACATCACCACCATCTTTTGAGACGTCTCAAAAGCCAGCCTAAGAAGCGAGCAGAGCACACATGAGACATCACCACCATCTTTTGAGACGTCTCAAAAGCCAGCCTAAGAAGCGAGCAGAGCACACATGAGACATCACCACCATCTTTTGAGACGTCTCAAAAGCCAGCCTAAGAAGCGAGCAGAGAACACATGAGACATCACCACCATCTTTTGAGACGTCTCAAAAGCCAGCCTAAGAAGCGAGCAGAGCACACATGAGACATCACCACCATCTTTTGAGACGTCTCAAAAGCCAGCCTAAGAAGCGAGCAGAGCACACATGAGACATCACCACCATCTTTTGAGACGTCTCAAAAGCCAGCCTAAGAAGCGAGCAGAGCACACATGAGACATCACCACCATCTTTTGAGACGTCTCAAAAGCCAGCCTAAGAAGCGAGCAGAGCACACATGAGACATCACCACCATCTTTTGAGACGTCTCAAAAGCCAGCCTAAGAAGCGAGCAGAGCACACATGAGACATCACCACCATCTTTTGAGACGTCTCAAAAGCCAGCCTAAGAAGCGAGCAGAGCACACATGAGACATCACCACCATCAGATTTCTGGAAAATCTTCACTATTAGCAGGGTCTTCATCCGTCTTGCCTTCATCATCATCATCATCATCATCATCATCATCATCATCATCATCATCATCATCATCATCATCATCATCATCATCATCATCATCATCATCATCATCATCATCATCATCATCATCATCATCATCATCATCATCATCATCATCATCATCATCATCATCATCATCATCATCATCATCATCATCATCATCATCATCATCATTGTCGGAGTTGCGGCTGCACTCTTCTTTGCCTTGATTCTCCTGCTCTGTCTCTCCTTCGTTCCCTCTATTGCCTCAGCCACTCTCGAAAGTGACGAGACTCTCACCTCAATGGTCCTCCCTGAGTGGGTGTCACCAAACGCAAGGCTAGAGGTAACCAGAATCCACTATACGAAAGGATAACAAACGGAAAGCATTGTGTGTGTGTGAGAGAGTGAACTTACCTGTCCCTTGCTCGAGCCGTGCATTTCTCAATGTGCGGCTCGGGCCTGGGTGGGTTTGTTCCCATTGGTCGCGAGGATTTCACCCCTTGGTGATCTCCTACCAACTCCGCGTCAATTTCCCAGCCCCCCACCTACTTATCCTTGAGGCTGCATACACCAAATACAACACATCACTACACCCGTCCTACACCTTAATCATACTGGCACCTTATATGCACAACCGTGCATATTCGGTGACAGCTGTCGGAGTTGCGGCTGCACTCTTCTTTGCCTTGATTCTCCTGCTCTGTCTCTCCTTCGTTCCCTCTATTGCCTCAGCCACTCTCTGCCCCCTCCTGTGCCCGTGCTCGAGCAGCTTGAGCGCGGGTCACAGGACCAGTACGCTGAGGCCCTGTTCCCCTTATCACTGCCGTGTTCGTCTGATGTTCCCGCAGCTGCGCCCCCGCGTCATTTTCCAAGACCAGCACTCCTGATGGGCGGACCTCCTTGACTTTCCAGCGCACTGTCCCCAATCCCACATCTAGGGTGTCCTGCTTGGCCTTCTTCAGATACACTTCCTGTCCTTCGCTGATGGCCCTTGCCGCTCGGCCCTCCCCCTTTTGCTGCCTTTGTTCATATCGCCTGGCATCTCTGAGCTGTGCGGTGCGCAGGTTCTCCAGCGCGGCTGGCATCATGTAACGCATGTACCGCGCCCTCACCTCGGACAGGGCTACCCAGTTCTTGATTGTGCCCGCTGTCACTGTGTCTGTCAGCACCCGTGGTGCCCCCACAGGCAGGATTGGGTCCCGTCCGTATAGCAGGCTGTATGGGGAATGATCCTTCAATGCTGCCTGCTTCCCGAATCTATACCCTGCTGCGATCCAGTCCAGCTCCTCATCCCAGTCCCTCTTCCGCTGCTCCCCATAGGCCCGGAGCCCTCGCTTGAAGGTCTGCACTGCTCGCTCAGTCAGCCCGTCGCTCTGCGGGTGGTAGCGAGAGGTCTTCCGATGGGTGATGCCCGACTCCGCCAGCAACTTCTTGAACTCCCCCTGGAACTCCGTTCCCTGGTCTGTAAGCACCTCCCCACATGCCCCAAACCTACACACGACCTGTGCCTTGAAAGCTGCTGCAATGTGCCTTGAGCTCTTGCTGGGGATGGCTCTCACCTCCAGCCACTTGCTCACATGCTCCACCATGAACACGATGTACTGGTTCCCACTCCTGCTTAGGGGCAGCTCCCCTGCCAGGTCTAAGGACCATCGGAACCCTAGCCCGCAGATTGGCAGTGAGTTCAGCTCTGCCTTGGCCTGCGTCAGGTTGGCTTTGCTCCTCTGACATGCCTCACACCCCTCTACCCACTCCTTCACCTGTCTGCGCATCCCTTCCCACCACCAGCCCGTCTTCAGCAGATGTACGGTCCTCTCATGTCCGAAGTGTCCCAGCTTAGTGTGTACCTCTTTGATTATTGCTTCACGGTCCTGTGGCGCTGGCACCAGCTTCCAACCGTCCTCTGTCTTGACCTGCAGCTGCTGCTGGTACCACCTGTAGTGGTGTCCTCGTGCTCTCACTCTGTCAGACACTGCCTCGTCTTCCTCTGTTTCTCCCCTCACCCACTTCATCGCCTTCTCATCCTGCCATATGTCCGCTGGCCCCTTACTCCCCTTGGCACCGACTTGTTCCACTTCTCTCGCCAGCATGATCAGGGTGTGCGCTGGCTCCTGCTCTGTCCCCTCCGTCCCCTGTGTTCCTTGTCCTGTTTCCAGCAGTGGTGGATTACGGGAGAGACCGTCTACGTGCTGCAGCGTCTTCCCCGGCCTGTGCCTGATCTGGAAATCATATTCCTGCAGCTTCACGGCCCACCTGGCGTTCCTTCCCGTCAGCCCTGGTGTGGTCATCAGCCACGTGAGGGGCTGATGATCAGTGACCAAGGTGAACTCGCGGCCCTGCAGGTACACCCTGAAGTGCCCAACTGCCCACACTGCCGCCAGTCCCTCCCCTATGTATGAGCTATACTGCGCCTCTGCGGGGTTGCAGCTCCTGCTGGCGTAGGCTACCACCTTCTCCACTCCCTCCACCCCCTGGCACAGTATTGCCCCCATCCCCTGGCTGCTCCAATCGGTGTAGAGGACGAAAGGTTGGTCTGCTGTTGGCAGCCGTAGCACCGTCGCCGTCTTTACGGCTGTCATGAGGTCTTGGAGTGCTACCCTCTGCTGCTCTCCCCACTCCCATGCCTTGTCCTCACGCAGTATCCCATTCAGCACCGCCGCCCTCTTACTGAAGTTAGGCACAAAGCGCCTGTAGTAGCTGAGGAAGCCCAAGACCGCGCGCAGCCCTGACTTGTCTCTAGGTTCCCTCAGCCTGTCCAGCACCTGTACCTTTGCTTGCTGGATCCCGATCCGTCCCCCTGTCACCTCATACCCTAGGTACTGCACCGTCCGTTCCCCCCACATGCATTTGTCGGGATGGCATGTGAGCCCTGCCTCCTCTATTGCACTCAGGGTCCTCTCCACGTCCTCCAGATGCTGCTGCTCGGTCAAGCTGAAGATGACTACATCATCGATGTAGCATGCTGCATGTTCAATTCCCCGCAGCACCGCGTCCATGACTCGTTGAAACACCGCCGAGGCGTTCCGTAGGCCGAAGGGCATGTATAGCCACTCGTACAGCCCGTCCGGTCCGTGGAAGGCTGTCTTCTTCACATCTTCTTCCCTGATTTTTATTTGATTGAATCCCTGGCGCAGGTCCAGCGTCGTGAAGTACACCCCGTCGGCCATCTTGTCAAAGAGCTCCTCCGCCATCGGCATGGGGTACCTGTCCGGCACGGTGATCTTATTAAGATCTCTGTAATCGCCGCACATCCTGCGGCTCAGCACCTCTCCTGTCAAATCCTTCCTGGCTGCCACTACCGTCGGGGTCGCGTACTCTGACTCTGACCTTCTGATCAATCCAGCTTCCAGTAATTCCTTTATTTTCTCCCTGCAGATCGCCTCATCCCCAGGCGGCATCTTTCTTCGGCGGTGGAACACCGGCTCATCGCTGCTCAGCTTCAATGCCATCTCCTTGATCTTGCACTTCCCCAACTCCTGCAGGGTGAAAGCGAAGCCCCTCCTGTGCCTAACCAGCAGTGCCAGCATGGCTGCCTTCCCTCCCTCACTCATGCTCTCACCTATCTTCCACTCATGCTTTGCTTTCGGCAGGCAGGCCCATGCCCCCTGCCTCACCGTTGCTACTGTGTTCTCTCCCTCCTTCAGTCCCCAGCGCAGCACTGTCTCTCTCCTCATCCGCTGCACCAACCACCTCATCACGTACCCATCCATTGCGTTCCCCATTGCCCGCCTCCGTTCCTGTTCAGTGACGCCAGGGGCTGCTGTAGCGTTCTCCTTGTACCCCATAGCCAGCTCCCTCTCCAGGGCCGTGGGCTCCTCCCACCTTCCCTTCCCGTGGTCGAGCACTAGTCCTGGGCCTGGCTGCTTCCCATCCATCTGGTACCCTGCTGCCCCCTCATATGACACTAGCGTAGGCAGTGCTTGCCTCTCCTGCCCCACTTGATTGCACGGATAATGTCGGCTGTAGCTCTTCTTATACACTGGTGCTGGCGTTCGCCCAGGCTCCAGTATATCGCTCAGCTTCCGCCCCCCTGCTCTCCGTACCCCCTCTATCTCCTTCTGCAGGTCTTCTGCTGGCACCACATTCTGCCAGTACATCCTGAGCCTGTGTGCGTAAGCTCCCATCCGTGTCGCGTCGCAGCTCACTCCCTTTCCCACCTGTCTGGTCACTCGCTCCCTTACTACTCGTATGGGCTCGCGCACATCTCCTTCCATGTCTAAATGCTCCAGCAGGTAGGCCACCCTGCTTTGTTGAGCCTGCAGCCACTCCAGAATTTTGAACAAGTCCTCCATCAGTTGTGTCCGTAGGTCTTGCTCACCCTTGCCCTTCCCTGCCCATGATACCCCTTGGCATTCCCATCCCGCCACCAACAGGTCCACGTGCCCCCAGCTCGCCACCTCAGCCTCTGTGATGGCCCGTACATCGTGCACTCCTCTACTCATTGCTGCCTTGATCACTTCTTCCTTCAACAGCTCCGGGAACTCGCGGTGCAGCTGCCATGCGTGATGCTCCGCCATTTTCCTTGCTTCTGCCGCCTTCTCTACGTAAATCCACTGCTTCACTGCGATCCCGTTCCGCACCACTGCTGCCAACCCCGCCCCTATACCCCCAAATAGTTCCACCAGGCGGATAGGTTGCTGCCAATCAGTCTGCTGGCTAGGCTCGTCCATGAAGCGCATCCTCAGCTCTCTGCCCTGTCCCTTGCTTGTCGTGCTCTCCTGTGCCCCCTGCTTCGCTGTCATTTCCTTCAGATCCGCCCTGTAGGCCCGCTTCGGCTCTGTCTTGACGAACTGCACCGGCAGCTGTCCCAGTGGCTCACCCTTCCTCCACCACCTGGTCCTGAATTCCACCGTCTCCCTCCAGAAGCAGATGGTCATGCCCAGTGCAAAGATCATCTCCGTGCCCACCAAAACGTCGAAATCTTCAGATTCTGAGATCCCGCACCTGATCCTGACCGGCGTTTCGTGCTTCTCTCCTTTGAGCACCGTCAGTTCAATTGGAGTCCTTGTACATGGCATCCACTTTGACTCTCCTCCCTCTGCTGTCATCACCAGCATCCCCTTCACTACATGTCTGTCCGGTGCCCACAGTCCCAGTTTCTCGGTCATCCCCTTCCCTAATATCACGCTCTGCGCGCCAGTGTCTATGATAGCCGTCTTGGCCTTCTCCCCTTCCACCGACAGCGCGCCTCCTTGTATCAGCAGCACGGAAGTCTGGCACGCCAGCCGCTCCTGAGGGTGCCGTGCTGCTGTGCACCTCTCTTCTTTCGCTTCCGGTTTCTGTCCTTTCTCTCGTTCCTTCCTCACCTGCTCCTTCCGTGCATCCCTTCCCCCGCTGCGCAGCCCCATCTCCTCCCTTCCTCTCCATGCCATGTATGCTGGCTGCTCCTCGTGTTCCGCCTCATCCTCCGCTCTTCCTGCCCAGCTCATGAATGCAGCTTCTTCATCCTGCTCTACATCCTCCTCCTTTTCTTTCTTAGCGTACATCCCCGCTTCTGCCTCGCGTCGTGGTCCCATTGCCTGCAGCTGAGCCTGTAGCTTGCCAATCTGCCTTTCCAGGTCCTCTGGTGTCCTCCTCGCTGCTCCCTCCCGCTGATAACACTCCCTCGTTGCATGCCCTCCCTTCCCACAGATGTCACACTTTGGCGCCGTTGGGCATTCCCGCCGCCGGTGTCCGGGCTTACCACAGGAGTCGCAGTTCTTGCAGTCTCTGCGCAAGTGCCCTGGCTGCCCGCATCGGTGGCACGTCCGTGTGTCAGTCCTGTTATCCCCTCTTCCCCCTCCTCTTTCCTTTTCTTCTGGTATCATGGCTGCGGCCCACGTAGGTCCTCTGCCTCGCTCCACTGGGCGTTGCCGGTAGGCTTCGAGCTTCCTCTGGGCCATCTCCATCTTCTCTGCTAGCTCGAATACTTCATCAAGCGTCACGTCAGCCCCCCTCTCGTACACTTTCAGCCGCAGCCCGCTTCCCAAGGTACCCTCCAGGCCGTCCAGAAACTTACTCACGAGCAGGGCCGTGTCCGCGCAACTCACATCCTCTGCCAGGTTAACCAATCGGTTGTAGTAGGTGAGTAGTGACTCGCCCCGCCCCTTCCTGAAGTCCTGAAACTCTCTTATCTTCTCCGCGGTGTGGCCTGGGAACTGCCGTTTCAGCCGTCTTAGGAATGCCTCCGTGGGGTCTTCCCCATACCTCCCTGCCCTCTCCAACAGCTCATCCATCTTCATCCTGTACAATGTCTCTGCCTCCCCTTCCAGTGTGTTCGGCAGGCTCAGGAAAAAGTCTACTGAGTCCATGCCGCTCCTCTCACATCGGTACCGCACATTGCCCACTTGCATGAGGTAGTTCTTCAGCGTGGGCCCCGTGTGCTGATCTCCTGAGAAGCGTGTAGGCACCTCCACCCTCATGCCCACGGCCGTGCCTCCCCTTCCTTCTCCCCATGCCTCGCTCGGCCCTCCCACCGATCTCCCTGATGCTCCCCTTCCTTTTGCCCGCTGTAGGCCCTCCCTTGCTTCCTTGGCTCGCTCCAGGCTGTGCACCAGCCCACTGCTTTCTTCTCTATCGCCATGTTGCTCCCGCCCTCCCTGTCCGGCACATCTTCCGTCGTGCTGCCAATACCGGCCAGGCGATCGAGACCCACCACCGCGCCTCCCATCCCTGCTCTGCTGCCGATGCGGTGAGCGATATCCGCCTCCCCGGCTTTCCCCATGACGCAGGCGCCAGTCGGGCGAGTGCGCCTTGTCTCCCCACTTCTCTCCACGGTACCGTTGCATGTCCGGCGAGCGATTGCCTCCTCCGCGTCTCTCATCACGCGAGTAACGAGGCTCTGGCGAGCGCGAATCCCCTCTGCTTCTCCCGTCGCGATTTCTCCGCGGATCTAGTGAGTGCGTGCTGCCCCCGCGCCCACTGTCCCGGTGTTGCCTCGAATCTGGCGAGTGGTATCCACTTCCGTGTCTCCTCTCATGCAGCGGCCACGGATCTGGCGAGCGCATGCCGTCGCCGCGTCCCCCTTCACGAGTGCGCCGCGGATCTGGCGAGCGCACGCCGTCGCCGCGTCCCCCATCACGTGTGCGCCGCGGATCTGGCGAGCGCACGCCGTCGCCGCTTCCCCCATCACGAGTGCGTCGCGGATCTGGCGAGCGCACACCATCGCCGCGTCCCCCATCACGAGTGCGCCGCGGAATCTGTCGAGCGCATGCCGTCGCCGCGTCCCCCATCACGAGTGCGCCGCGGATCTGGCGAGTGCACGCCGTCGCCGCGTCCCCCATCACGAGTGCGCCGCGGATCTGGCGAGCGCACGCCGTCGCCGCTTCCCCCATCACGAGTGCGTCGCGGATCTGGCGAGCGCACACCATCGCCGCGTCCCCCATCACGAGTGCAGCCGCGGATCTGGCGAGCGCATGTCCGTCGCCGCGCCCCCCATCACAAGTGCGCCGGTGATCTGGCGAGCGCACGCCGTCGCCGCCTCCCGCGTCGCATTGCTGACGCAAATCTGGAGAGCGCGAGCTGCTGCTACGCCTCCCGCTGCCACGCTCCTCTCCGTTGCGCGGCGGGTTTCGAGCACCGCTCGTTCCGTCCGCCTCCACCGCGCTTGTCTCTGCCGCCACGCTCGCCTGCGCGAGATCTGCTTTTGTTGCTTCTGCAGGCACGTCGCGCTGCTTGCTCACGTCCTCCTTCCGGCCGTCGGCGCCGTTCTCCGCCGCATCGCCGTGCTCGGACTCCTGCGAGGTGTCCGCCGCGTCGCTTTCTTCTACTCCGCCAGCGTTGAGGTCTCCCTCTCGGCCCGAAAACAGTCCTTCCAAGCCTCGCCCGCGCCTCCGATCTTCGCGACGGCGATAACTTGCATCCGGCGAGCGATACGCTCCCGTCTCCTGGCGATATCCCAGATTGCCACCCCCATGGCGCGTTTCCGTCCGCCACGGATCACTCCTCACCATGGCCAATTCCGATCCGCCGGCTCTTCCTTGTGCAGATCCTTCCTCTCGGCGTTCATGCCCGAGAGGCACCTGATCCGCCCGAAAGGCAGGCCTTCGCGGCGATCGATCTGGCCTCCGCGGAGACCGCTCCAGCGACCGCCCACGCTCGCGGGAGTGTCCGCGCCGTGAGCGATCCTGCTCATGCCGACTATACGTCCGGCCGTAACGCACATCGTACCCGTCCATGCTTGCACGCACGCAGAATGCTTTCTGTTTGTTATGAAAGTGACGAGACTCTCACCTCAATGGTCCTCCCTGAGTGGGTGTCACCAAACGCAAGGCTAGAGGTAACCAGAATCCACTATACGAAAGGATAACAAACGGAAAGCATTGTGTGTGTGTGTGAGAGTGAACTTACCTGTCCCTGGCTCGAGCCGTGCATTTCTCAATGTGCGGCTCGGGCCTGGGTGGGTTTGTTCCCATTGGTCGCGAGGATTTCACCCCTTGGTGATCTCCTACCAACTCCGCGTCAATTTCCCAGCCCCCCACCTACTTATCCTTGAGGCTGCATACACCAAATACAACACATCACTACACCCGTCCTACACCTTAATCATACTGGCACCTTATATGCACAACCGTGCATATTCGGTGACATCATCATCATCATCATCATCATCATCATCATCATCATCATCATCATGATCATCATCATCATCATCATCATCATCATCATCCTCATCATCATCATCATCATCATCATCATCATCATCATCATCATCATCATCATCATCATCATCATCATCATCATCATCATCATCATCATCATCATCATCATCATCATCATCATCATCATCATCATCATCAGCAGCAGCAGCAGCAGCAGCAGCAGCGGCAGATGAACGAAATCTGACTATCTGCAGTGCAGTTGCTCCAAGCCCCACCGCCCCCACTCCCACCGAAAGCTGTTTGAGAGTTCTCACTCATCCTCACCTTCATCATCATCAGCAGCAGCAGCGCCAGAGGAACGGGATCTGACAGACTGCAACCGCTCTGAATCCCACTCACTCTCCCCACCGCCCCCACTCCCACCACTGCCACCGCTACCACTGCTCCCACTGCTGCCAGGTTTCTTGGTCGAATATAAGCCGGGGGGATACACGGGAGGCCGGGAAGGGGAGGAGGATACTGGTGCGCCCAGCACCATAGCTTCCTTCCACAGCCAGCTTGGGTTGGACCTGAAAAAGGGGGCGAGAGGCAAAAAGAACACACAGAAGATGAGATGGGGGGGGGGGGGTACACATGAGGCCTATGTTGGCAGATACGATTTGGGAAGGCTGGCGTACCACGTATATACGCTAGCGTATATACGTGGTACGCTAATACGCTCTGGATTTGCGAAAATACGCCCGGGCAGCCCGCGGGAAAAAAAATCCGAAATTGAGAAAATTCGCGACGACTTTGCGGCTTCGCGAATTGTTACCGCGAACTCGCTCAAGCACCCAACCCACGTCCGAACTTCGAATTTCAAAATCCAAACTTTCCCACCCACTCAACCACACACCACCCTACCCAACCTCTCAAACCCAACCACCCCTTTCAAATATTCATCACTTCGTGAGCATTTTTAGGTCGACGACTTCCACAATGCTCTTCAATTGACTTCCCGCAAGTCTCGTCTAGCATTCTTCCCCGTTAGTTAGACGTTCCGTAGTCGCGCGCCATGGCGTCAAGCTTAGCTCCTAGTAGTTCGACGAGCAATGCAGCCTCTGTTTACAGCTCTACTGCCCGGGAAAAAAGTTTTACCTGCCCGCCCAGCGTATTTTAGCGTATCAGCAGTACGCCAGCCATTGCGTACCGTGTATATACCCAGCGTATAATACGCTAGCGTATTATACGTGATACGCGTATTTGCCAACGTAGCATGAGGCTGGGAGGGGAGGAAGAGACTGGTGCGCCCAGCCCAGCACCATAGCTTCCTTCCACAGCCAGCTTGGGTTGGACCTGGAAGGGGGATGAGGGGCTACGAGACACATGGAGAGAGGGAGGAGAGGAGCGATTGAGCAGGGATGGACCAAGGGGAGGAGGAGACTGTTGCGCCCAGCACCATAGCTTCCTTCCACAGCCAGCTTGGGTTGGACGGACCTGGATGTAAAACTAAGTGCTAGGGGAAGCAGAGAATTAGTGAAAGAAAAGACTGTTTTTGAGGCGCCTCAAAAATCGTCCACAGCCAGCTTGGGTTGGTCGGACCTGGATGTAAAACGAAGTGCAAGGGGAAGCTGGCCCCTGCAAGGAGAATTAGTGAATTAGTGGAGGAAAAGTCCGACCAAGCATGGAAGCAGAGAGAGGAAGCGGAAAAGGGGAGACAAGAGAGGAGATGGGAAAAGGGCAACTGGGATTGGGGCAGCAAGAGGGAGCCTGGAGTAATGTGATAGGTGAAGGCTGTTGGTGCTAAATTCACCAAGGGAGTTACACACTGGCATACCCCACCCCACCCCACCCCACCCACCTGGCATCAGTAGCAGCGACAGTCACGAGCTGTGTGGCAAGGAGAGCGATGTTTTCTGCTTGCGTGCTGTGGGCTGGGTTGCGGGAGGCGAGCAGGTGGGCGGCGCACGCAACAGCACAGCGCACCACAATGTGGCATGGCTGCAAGCATGGAACAGGGGAGGAGTAGGTCAGTCGGGTGAGGGGTTGGCGGGAACAAGTAGCTGACGGAAACAGGAAAGGATAGGAGTCTAATTATTGCAGAGGCGTGCTGGGGAGCAAGTAGCGGAGGTATGGGCGTGCAGAGGTATGGTTGGGTGGAATGAGGAATGGCAAGATTCCTCCTGGCCGGTTCGACCGATGCTGAACGAAGAGCAGGGAAAGAGAGTTCACCTCGGTGTGAGCCATGTCTGGCAGCCTATCAAACGGCGCCATCTGTCGCTGCGGGCACTGCACTCGCCAGAAGCGCACCTTGGGCGCCAGCTTCTCTGCCCGCTCCTGCACACATGCACACACACAACACACATAGCACACACACAACACACATAGCACACACACAACACACATAGCACACACACAACACACATAGCACGCACATGGAGGTGGGGAGAAAACGGAGAGGGGGGGAAAGAGTGACATCTCAAGACTCGTAAGCGCACTTTGGGAGCCAGCCTCTCTGCTCGCTCCTGCATGCACAGCACGTACATGGAGATGGAGGTGTAGAGAGGGTATTTTTAAGACGTCTCATAAACACCCTCTCTATACACGGAGATGGAGGTGGGGAGAAAAAAAAAAAAGTGCTGTTTAACACTATGAAGCACACCATGCGAGCCATGCGCCAGCTCATCTTTTGAAAACTCTCAAAAGCGATACCATGGGCCCCACCCCAACCTATGTGCTTGTTCCCGCACACATACACACACACGGGCTAGTGGGGGAGGTGCGGTTGAACGGTGTGGGAAGAGTGGAGGACGAGAAGAGTACGGGATCAGGTTGAGAGGGCCATATTCGCCTTCCCCATCCACACTCACCTGAGCCTCCTCTAGCTCTGAAAGCGAGAAATGCGGGAAGAGTGGGTCAAACTCCTCCCAGCAGGCGGGCTTCAGCTGGAAGTAGCCGCGCTGCTGCAGGCGCCTGGGCACGTGGTGCTCTGCCACGTCTTGGAGGACCGCACTGAGGTGCGGTAGACTGGCAAGAGAGGAACCAAGTTGTTGCGAGAGCTGCGAAAAGGAAGTGGGTGGACACAGGAGGCAGGAGAAGGGAAGAAGAATGAGGTGTCTCCTGCCACACGCTGCTGCAGGCTCCGCGGCACGTGCTGCTCTGCCACCTCTTGCAGCACTGCGCTCAGCTGGGGGAGACTGGCGAGGGAGGATTCCAGCTGCTGGGTGAGCTGCGGAAGGGGCCAGGGGACATGGTACACCAGGGGAAAGAAGACAGTGAGGCCGCCGCGGCACGTGCTGCTCTGCCACCTCTTGCAGCACTGCGCTCAGCTGGGGGAGACTGGCGAGGGAGGATTCCAGCTGCTGGGCGAGCTGCATAGAGAACAAGGGGAAGAAGGAAAGAGGAAGTAGCGAGTGGGCCTGTGTAGGCGCATGGTGCTCTGCCACGTGGCATTTGTGAACAGGTGCAATTGCTTGAAGGCTGTGCGCTGCAAAACCAGCAAGCAAGAGAGTGGAAATGGCGAAAGCTGCTTTCGAAGCTCATAATCGATGCAAGACGAGCGTAATATGGATGTGACGGATGTTACGAGAGTGCAAAAAATGCACTGTTGATCAGAGCATGTGCATGGTCCTGAAAGACAAGACACTACATGTGGTGAAGGGTAAGACGCTATGTGCGAGGTGTAAGGAGTGGGTGGACGTACATCGCTGTGAGTGCGGTCACGCACTGCAAGCCACTGGATCACATGGTACCGCAACACATAGTCCTGAGATTGGGAGAGGGGAGAGGAAACGAGCAAGAGGAGAAGCGCAAATCTCATTAACTTGGTTGCAAGCCGCCTAATGACATGGTATCGCAACACGTGACCTCGCAAGGAGGAGAAACAGGTCGGCTGAAGTGAGACGACATTTGAGCCTCAGAAGGCGTGGTAATGATGCAACATGCATGTAGTCTCGCATTGGATAAAAAGGCGGGGCAGGTGACTGCGAGGTACACATAAGGTGAGGCGGGGATCCCAATGCATCTTTCTTTCACACTCACCTCTGGGAAACCCGTGTGCTTGGGGTCTCGAATGATCTGCACAGGCGTCAAGAAATAGGAAAACCAGGCATGAAATGACCCATGTATGGGCGTGCACTCAACTCAAGCATAACGCAAATGTTGTGGAAGAGTGATAGAAACGAATGGATGTAGAACCATATGGAATACGCATTTTGAGGCGCCTCAAGAGTGATAGAAACGAATGGACGTAGAACCATATGGAATATGCAAAGAAAGTGGGTGGAACAGAGAGCACAATGTACATGAAGCACCACTCAGCAGCGCTGCATGCACTTTAAGCAACGTACTCCACTGCACTGTACCACTCAGCACCGCTCACCAGCAGGACAAGCTTGAGCAGATCAGCCAATCGGCTGAGCTCTGCTGCTGTCCAGTCAGCACTTGGGGGGGCAGATGACGAGGATGATGACGTGGCAGAAGCGCATTGGATGGTTTTGCTGAAGGTGTCATGAAGCTGAGAGAAAAGAGGGAGGGACGGAGCAGAAGTAACGACAGGCGAGTGAATTCTGGGGCTCATAGAGGATGAGACGCATATGCACAGGCAAGGCTTCAGCCAGGCACAGGCAAGGCTTCAGCCAGGCACAGGCAAGGCGTCAGCCAGGCAAAACGCAGGGAGGCAGCCATGCAGGCCAGTAGCCTAGTGGTCAGGTACTCAATCAACCATGCAATCTCACCTCACACTGAAGTGCTTGACAGCTGAGGCGAGCAGGTCAGCAGGAGAATCATTCGAAAAGAAAGAGACGAGGCCCAGCAGCAGCAGCAGCAGCAGCAGCAGCAGCAGGTCAAGGTGCATGGCAGCAGGAGAAGGCTAGCAGGCGAGATGAGCTTGGGCTTCAACCATGCAGCACACACAACTCACAGTGAAGTGTTTCACAGCTGAGGCGAGGAGAGCAGCAGGGGAATCATTTGAAAATAGCGAGACGAGCTGCAGCAGCAGCAGGTCGAGGTCCATGGCAGCAGGAGAAGGCTAGCAGGCGAGATGAGCTTGGGCTTCAACCATGCAGCACACACAACTCACAGTGAAGTGTTTCACAGCTGAGGCGAGGAGAGCAGCAGGGGAATCATTTGAAAATAGCGAGACGAGCTGCAGCAGCAGCAGGTCGAGGTCCATGGCAGCGGGCCAGTATCCCCCCCGATACACGCGCTCCAGCTTGCTTAAGTCCTCCCCCTGGTAGTGCCACTCGCGCGCTCGAATCTGGTGAATGATGGTGGGTGGGTGGCGAACAGAGTGGGGGTGGGGGGTAAAAAGGATGTGGAACGGAAGCAGGGAAGAGGATTTATTCAAGACGACAGCAAGATGAGAGCAAGGAAGAGGTGCTGCAGCAGCAGCAGCAGGTCGAGGACCAGTAGCCTCCCTGATACACCCTCTCCAGCTTGCTCAGATCCTCGCCCTGGTAGTGCCACTCGCGCGCTCGAATCAGAGAATGGGGAAGATTGAGGAGGGCCGGAGTAGAAAGATGGGGATGCGAACCGGTGGAGATGGGTTTCAGACACCACAGAAGCCACTCGTGTGCACGGATCAACAAGATGGTGGAATCTGTGGCATCTGTGGTGTCTGAACGGGATCCGTGGCAGTGGGAGGGGGTGTGGGGAGCAGAGAGAGCAGTGAGGAGGATTGAGAAGATCAGTGAAGCACTGAGTGAGAAGAGGATTGGGAAGAGGGAGTGAAGTCGAAACGAACACCATCCAGGACACAAGAGGACTGACCTGAGCCATCCAGGCGAAGAGGCGAAGCGGATGTTCCGCCATAGCCAGAACCTGTCATGGAGGGAGCGGTGAGGGGAGAGGGAGGGCGCATGGGGAGCAGCTTAATTAGTTGGTTCCTGATGATTCGTAAGACCTGACCTGAGCCATCCAGGCGAAGAGGCGAAGCGGATGTTCCGCCATAGCCAGAACCTGTCATGGAGGGACGAGCGAGGGGGAGGACGGACAGGGGGCAGCGTGAGGCACTGGGAGCGGAAACACAAAAGAGAGAGCAATTTTTCAGATCACACCCACACAGATGACTTGCCTGGGAACGTTTTTGTGCACCATTGTAATGTGCAGCTTTTGAGTACCATGAACTCACACAACAAGTCTGTACCTTCCCACGTCACCATACGGCCTAACCTCTCTGTTTCTCCTAACCTCTCTGTTTCTCCTAACCTCTCTGTTTCTCCTCACCTCTCTGTTTCTCCTCACCTCTCTGTTTCTCCTCACCTCTCTGTTTCTCCTCACCTCTCTGTTTCTCCTCACCTCTCTGTTTCTCCTCACCTCTCTGTTTCTCCTCACCTCTCTGTACCCTCACAGCTCTAACTTTCACAGTTCACCCCTCTCTTCCCTCACCCCTCTCCACACTCACCTCTGTGCGCATGTTAAGTGGCAGCAGTCGGCGCAAATGAGCCACTGATGCTGCTGGCCCTGACCCATCGCCCCCATCACCATTGCCAGAACGAGCCACACCAGCAGCACCACCGGCAGCAGCAGCAGTAGAAGGCACAGTGTGAGCAGCAATGTGAACAAGGGAGGCGAAGAAGAGGGAGAGAATGCGATGCAGCGGCAGGTGCAGCGACATGGCGACTGACTTGCTCCCTGTATCTTCCGCCTTGATCTGATTCTGAACACAGGAGGAGAGGAAAGAGAGATTTGAGACGTTTTGAAACAGACAACCATCGTTGAGTTAGACTCCCCTTGACCAGCATTGACTCTCCACCAACGTTGACTCACCTTGACCAGCCAAGCCAGCAGGGCCTGCAGTGCAATCCGGGCTCCATTCAGCAGGGCATGCTCAGCTCAGCATCCACTCCCCCCTCCCCTGCTGCCTCTCTGGATCAGTCTTGACTCACCTTGACCAGCGTTGACTCACCTTGACCAGCCAAGCAAGCAGGGCCTGCAGTGCAATCCGTGCCCCATTCAGCAGAGCATGCTCCGCATCCACTCCTCCCTCTCCTGCCGCCCCTCCTCGCCCCTCCCCTCCTGATGCATCTGCCGCTCCTCCAGTGTTCCCAGCAGGTGGGGCGAGGATGGTGGTGGGGAGGGTGGAGGGGGAGGCGGTGTAGCGCTCTGTGATGGTGTCGATAAGACCAATCACCAACATCTGAGGAGGAGGGGAGGGGAGTGTGGTGGGAGAGAAGGAAGGGGGGGAGGTCAAAGAAGATGGGGGAGGCAGCACGGGATTAGTGGAGGGGGAGGAGGTGTAGCGTTCTGTGATGGTGTCGATAAGGCCAATCACCAACATCTGGAAGGGAGAGGGGAGTGTGGGGGGGGGAGAGGGAGTTACGGGGGAAGGGAGAAGAGGGGGCAGAGGGGTCAGTGGAGGGGGGGTGTAGCGCTCTGTGATGGTGTCGATTCAACCTATCAGTGGAAGGGACAGTTCGGGGGAGCAGGGGGGTCAGTGGGAGGGAGGGAGGCGGTGTGGCGAGCAATGCTCAGCCGTTTCTTTCACCCCAAACCCTCACCTCCTCCAATCCCCAACACCAACTCCCACCCGCACCCCCCCGGTGACGGTTTTAACATGTCCCAATAATCCGACAATGGTTATAGCCCTTCTCCGCCCATGCTGAGCCCCCACCCCAAGCCCAGCCCAATGCCACCTCCAGTCTCCAGGGTCCCAGCCCAGCATTAGTCCACCGGGTGCCTTCTGTGGGGTCATCAAAGCGCACGTATGGGTTCAGTTCAGTGGGATCAACAACCCCCACCCCACGCCCCCAACTCCAACCCCCACCCCCAGTCCCCCCCACCTCGAGCGTGACGGCCTTGGTCCACCGGGTGCCTTCAGTAGGTCGCCATTATCAAAGCGCACGTATGGGTTCAGTTCAGTGGGAACACCAACCCCCACCCCACACACGCCCCCACCAGCAGCAACCCCCAAAGCTCAGCGTCACTTCCCTGTGCGCTCTCACCAAACAACCCCCACGTCCAATCCTCACCTCCAGAGTGACGGCTTTAGTCCACCGGGTGCCTTCAGTAGGGTCGCCATACTCAAAGCGCACGTACGGGTTCATGCCCTGATGGAAGGGAAGGGAAGATAGGGCGAGAGGTGGAACGCATGAATGAGCTTACATGCCCCCACATGGGCTCAAGGCAGGCAGTGGCATGAGGAGAGTCCACTGGGTGAACTCAGTGGAGTCGCCACAGTCATAGCGCACATACGGGTTCATGCCCTGTTGGGGGAAGAGCGGGGGACGAGAGGGGGAAGAGGGGGAAACGGGGGAAAAGCATGAGCTTACATGCCCCCCACATGGGCTCAAGGCAGGCAGTGGCATGAGGAGAGTCCACCAACCGGGTGCCTGCCTTCTGTGACGTCGCCATACTCAAAACGCACGTACGGGTTCATGCCCTGATGGGGAGGGATGGTTAGGGGATGGGGTGGTTATGTTTAAACCTATACGCCCACACACATGTGAGCTCAAGGAAAAAAAGCAGAGTTAAAACTTGAGCTGAAAACAGCTATTGCTAGAGAAAATCGTGGTGCTGCTGTCTAATCTAGTGCGAAAGAAGTGGTGGTGGTGTGAAGGAGAGAGAACGGAAGGAGTGTGAGGAGGAAGAGTTGACCCTGTGGCAAAGAGGGCGACATAAAAAAGAGCTGACCTGTAGCAGGAAAAAAGAAGATAAACGGCTGACCTGTAGCTGCATACATACAGGGTGTGAGAAGGGCTGACCTGTAGCTGCATACAGGGTGTGAGAAGGGCTGACCTGTAGCAGGGAGAGCGTAAGCAGCAGATCAGCTAGACAATCGAGGCGTTGAGTGAGGAGGTAGTTGACAACAGACAAAGAGCTGCCCTATAGACGCATAGAGAGTGTGAGACGAGCTGACCTGTAGCAGCGAGAGCGTAAGCAGCAGGTCAGCTAGACAATCAAGGCGCTGAGTGAGGAGGTAGTTGACGACAGGCGTGTGGGAGAAGATGAGGCGCATGTCGTGCAGCGGGCGTGAGTAGAGCGGATGCAGATTGCCCTGAGTGAGGGGGAAAGGAAAGGGGGGGGGTGGGGAGGGTGGGGGGGAAGGAACAAACGAGAGAAGAGAACAGGATGTGGTTGGCAACACGCGTGTGTGAGAAGACCAGGAGCATGCAGAGGATGCGAGTAGAGTGGATGCAGATTGCTTTGAATGAGGAAGAGGGTGGAGGGGGAGCGAGATGAAATCATTGGGATGAGGGGGCATGAACACAGAGGAGCGAGAGACAACACAGCAGCAACATGCATGCAGTGAAAAGTGGGCGTGCATGCAGTGAAAAGTGGGCGTGCATGCAGTGAAAAGTGGGCGTGCATGCAGTGAAAAGTGGGCGTGCATGCAGTGAAAAGTGGGCGTGCATGCAGTGAAAAGTGGGCGTGCATGCAGTGAAAAGTGGGCGTGCATGCAGTGAAAAGTGGGCGTGCATGCAGTGAAAAGTGGGCGTGCATGCAGTGAAAAGTGGGCGTGCATGCAGTGAAAAGTGGGCGTGCATGCAGTGAAAAGTGGGCGTGCATGCAGTGAAAAGTGGGCGTGCATGCAGTGAAAAGTGGGCGTGCATGCAGTGAAAATTGGGCGTGCATGCAGTGAAAAATGGGCGTGCATGCCCACACATGCTATGACTCATAGAATAGAATGCGCATCTCTGCATCGTTACTCGTATCCCGAGTTTTGAGACGTCTCAAAACACACGCTATTACTCGTAGAAAGGAATGGGCATCCCTGCATCGTTACTGGTATCCCGTTCATCACCCTTACACGTGTCACTCACAGCATCCCCCCCCATCCATCACTATCCACTCACATGCATCCATCCATCACCACCCACTCACATGCACCCATCAATCACTATCCACTCACATGCATCACTGATTCCCGAGGCCAGATGATGGGACTCTCACAAATCAGCACCACCAGAGTCACCATCCATCACTATCCACTCTCCATGAAGCACCTCAGAGTCACCATCACCACCCACTCACATGCATCACTGTTTCCCGAGGCCAGATGATGGGACTCTCACAATTCAGCATCCCTGTCGGCCTGCCAAGCCATGCCACCATCATACACAGTTGGTGGTTCGTGAGGAGAGGGGAGGATGCAGGGCAGCAAAACGGGGGGAAAGAATGAGAGGGGGTGAGCAAGGCTGTTGCATTTATTCACCACCCTTCTTTGTGAAAATGGCTTGGGAATAAAAGCTTGGGAACAATAGCTTGGGACTAGAGGAAAGTGGCACACAGAAGAAACGGAGGGGACAGCAAGCGATAGCACACATGTGCTTCGGTGCTCGCTTGCACAAGCACTTTCGAGTCACTTCCAGCAGCAGCGGAAGAGAACATTTTTCACGACTTGGCTGGGAGGCAGCTTGAAGACATAGCAGAGAGACGGAGACGAAGAGGTGGAGGTGGAGAGGATGGCATAGCTGTCAGTAATGGACAGGTGGGCTGCGGAGGTCTTATTAGGTGGAGGAGAGGAGGACAGGATGGCATAGCTGTCCACATGGCTGACGGTGCTTGGGGTCTCCCAACTACTTTGGCTGCGGAAGTCTTATTAGGTGGAGGAGGAGGAGAGGATGGCAAAGAGACACACATGAGGTTCAATGCTTCAATGCTCTTTTGCACAGCATGGTAACCGGTTACCGCACAAATAGCTACTCCCGAGTTAGCGGCGGCTTGTAGGGCGCGGCAGAAGACAGAGACGAAGACTTGGAGAGGATTGAAAGTGACAGACATGAGCTACATTGTTTCAATTCTCGTTGCACGGCAACTGCAACAGCAGAAAGAGCTACTAACGACTTGGCGGCTTGCAGGACACGATAGAAGACAGAGACAAAGAGGTGGAGCAGGAGAGGATGGCGCGTGGCACACATGAGGTTCATTGTTTCAATGCTCGCTCGCACAGCACAGCACGGCAACAGCAGAAACAGGAACTCACGACTTGGCAGCTTGTATGACACGGCAGAAGACAGAGACGATGAGGTGGAGGAGGGGATGGGAGAGGACGGAAAGTGCCAACATGGGGTTCAGTGCTCGCTGGCACAGCAGCAGCAAGAGCAGAAATAGGTACTCACGATTTGGCGGCTTGTATGACTCGGCAGAAGACAGAGACGAAGAGGTGGAGGAGGTCCCCTGAGAGCACCCAGTGCATGGTGACCTCGGGTATGTTGAACAGCTGTACCATCACTGGGGGAGATGAGGGTATGGTGCGTGCGATGTAGGCGAAGGTAGTGCAGGGTGAGTATGGGGAAATGCAATTAGTCTGAGAGCACCCAGTGCATGGTGACCTCTGGGATGTTGAACAGCTGTACCATCACTGGCAGAGAGTACAGGTGTGGGTGTGGTATGGGGACATGAGGAAAAGAACGAGTGTGATGTGATGCCAGTATGAGTCCCCTGAGAGCACCCAGTGCATGGTGACCTCTGGGATGTTGAACAGCTGTGCCATCACTGCAAGATGAGAGGAGAGGGTATGATGGGTATGGTATGGATACAAACACATGTAGGGCATGTATGTCGGATGAGCTGGAAGTGGGTTGAGGTCCCCTGAGCTGAGAGCACCCAGGGCATGGTGACCTCGGGTATGTTGAAAAGCTGCACCATCACTGCGAGAGGGTGCGATGGATGTGAATTCAAACGAGTATGATTGGTGTGAATGCAAACACAAGTCGCCTGAGTGAGAGCAGCACCCTCTGCAACACGAGCACCCTCTGCTGACAGCCAGCCAATGGCGACCTTGCAGCCTCTCCACTCACTCCTTGGGTGTGATCAACAGCTGCAATGCACCTGAGCTGAACACCTGTGGGCATGTTCAACACCTGCGGTACAGGTGAACAGGGCACGATGCACTCACCTCGATCCAGGGCCTTTTTTTATTTTGAGGAAGCGGGCGGAGGGGTTGTGGTCAGGGAGGACGGAGAGCAGGAGGTGGAGGTAGCGGCGGATGAGGTGGGAGGAGGAGGAGGAGGTGGGGGAGACGAAGGAGGAAGGGAGACGGTGGCACATAGTGCAGGGGGCACGGCACGGAGCACTCACCTCGGTCCAGAGCCTTTTCGATTTTGATGAAGCGGGCGGAGGGGTTGTGATCTGGAAGCACGGAGAGCACGAGGAGTGGGTACTGGCGAATGAGCAGCGCTGAGAAGACGTTCTTAAAGGCGGGCGAGTAGAGCAGCAGCAGGAAGAGCGTCGCCTCCTGTGTCACCACCTCCTCTGCCATCGCTGAGAGGGTTTCTAGGAGGAGTTGGACGGCTGAGGGTGTGGAGGGAGAAGGAAGAGGAGGAGGAAGGGAGAGGGAGGCTGCTGCTGTGGCTGCTGCTCCTCTGCTTACACTTGCTGCTGCTGCTGCTGCTGCTGCTGTTGCTGTTGCTGTTGCTTCTGTTGGTGCTAATGCTGCTACTGCTGTTGCTCCTCCTCCTGCCCCTCCTTCTGCCCCTTCAATCTCAATTCTCCCTGTGCTCCCCATGCTCCCAATGTTCCCTGTCACCCCAATGCTCCCAAGGCTCCCAGTGCTCCCTAGAACGCCCATTTGGTTTACAGCAGCTAGCACTTTCGGAGGAAGGGGTGCCGCCATGCACGCACACACTATGTCTCTTATGCCTGCTGCGTGCGAGATCTGAGGAGGGGGAAAGGCAAGGGGTACATATTAGGAGTTGAGAGGAACTTGAGACGGGGAGAGAGAGAGAGAGGAGTGCCGCCATGCGCGCACACACAATGTCTCGTATGCCTGCTGCATGCGAGATCTGACGGGGGGAAGAGAAAGAGGTACGGAGGGGAGTGGAGAGAAGCTTGGGACGCTGTAGAAGACACCTGCTTGGCTGCCTCACTGCAAACGCCTGGTCAAGTGGGTGGGAGGGAAGCAATTTATGGCTACACAATATTCTGATTGATTCACAGATGAGCTACACAATATTCCCCGGTTGAGAGCTCACCTTGTCGAGCCATGCAATGAGCTTGAGCAGGTCCCGGGGGGGTTGCAGCGGGGATTTCACCGCCTTCCCCTCCCCACCTGCAGCACCAGCTGCAATGCTTGAGCAGATCCCGGGGGGGTTGCAGTGGGGAATTCACCGCCTTCCCCTCCTGCAGCACCAGCTGCGCCACCACTGGCACCTCACAAATCAACTTGTCCGCATGGGATCTAGATCAGACTCACCTTGTCGAGCCACGCAATCAGCTTGAGCAGGTCCCGGGGGGGTTGCAGTGGGGATTTCACCGCCTTCCCCACCTGCAGCACCAGCTGCGCCACCACTGCTGCCACTGCTGTTTCAGTCACCTGCCCGAGATTCCCGGGCAGCGGTTTGGGTGTGTCTGCTGAGTGCTCCTGGTGGCGGTGGCGCTTGCAAGCACTGGACAGGGAGTAAATGATCAGAACAAAAAGAAGTAAAGGAAGGAACCAATGAATGGTAGTGGGTAACATTGTTACCGTAACAAGGAATCGCTCGACTGAAGCGCAGTCACACCCCTTGCATGCAAGCATAGTCACAAGCCCATGAAAAAAGAGGTCAAGCTATGACAATCTCTATGACAAGAGATCATTCCTTCCCCCCCAAAAAAAAGTTCAAGCTACATATCGGCCCCGCATTCATTGACATGCATCACCACATGACGAATTGGCTTTTGATTTGACTCAAAAGTCGCCCCATACTCATCACCTCATGTCGGAGCAACATACATACCCCTTGGGATTCCAGGAGGAAGGATCGCCACAGTCACAGCAGCCGCCTGACTCACTGCGGTACATCACTGGCAGCGCAATGAGGGGTCAGAATAACGGGGTTTGAGAAATGGTATTGGGGTCAGGACAGTGAAGAGATAGAAGTGAATTGAGTCCATTGGCCTCCTGATCTCACTTAAATATGTGCATCATGTTGGAGATTCATGGTATTGTGGGGTTGCAAAAGATTCACATTGGGTTTGGGACAGAAGGTTACAAAGCAGTACAGCTCGACATCAACACTCTTCTGAACCAACACGCAACCCACTCCCTATGATGCACAAGAGAAAACTAACATCCATTCTATGAGAATACCATAGTCATGATTACGGTGGTCCCCCTCCTGAAAGCACTTCACGCAGATGGCACTGTGATAGTAACGGGGAAAACGGTGGGGAGAGAAGGGGAGAAGTGGTGGTGGGGTTGGGGAAGGAAGAGAGAGGGGAGGGTCGAAGGGGAAGGTGTTTGGTGGAGGGGAGAGGCTGGAGGAGAGGCAGCAGAAAGGAAAGCACCACAAGATATGGGATATGACATGAGCCCTGATAGAGAGCCGAACCAGCTGTGGCTGAAAATTGAGTTTTGAGATGTCTCAAAACTCAACTTTTATCACGGGGAGAGGCTCGGGGAGAGGCAGCAGAAAGGAAAACACCACAAGATATGGATAATTTTATGAGCCCTGATAGAGAGCCGAACCAGCTGTGGCTGAAAATGGCCATCACCACGTGTGGCAGAACTAACAGAGCATTCAGTTACATACCAGCGAATTATTTTCTTCTGATATTAGATTCAAAGATTCAGTTGATGAATGTCAGGTGATAGACATTCAAGTGAAACAAGCGACACAAAGGACACACTGACACGTTACATGTCGCAAAATGAATCTTTCCCCTTTCCTCAACAGTTTTCAAAGAAGAAGCGTCCAAGGATATCCTGTCTGTGCGGAACCAAATTGGTCTGTACACGTCACATTTGGTCCTGAATTCGCGACGAGAGCAGCAGATAGCATGGCTAGCTTAGTTGGTCCGGTAGTTGCACCAGCTATAAGCTATCCCACCCACCGTGCGTCCGTTCACTATTACAACCACGTTGACTTTTAAGGCGTCTATGAAACCTACCTGGCGTCGTTGATCTGGCAGTCGCGGCAGCGATACGCGATCGCGCCGTACGTCCACACCACGTTGCACTGCGACGCGCCTTGCTCCGCCTCGAGCTCCTCCAGGTAAGCGTCGAATCCGCCAGGATGTGCGCCGCAAAGCACGGTCTCTAGAGCCGCCAGGTCCGAGTCTTCAACCTTCACAAGCTCCTCAAGCCACCGCTTTAACTCCATCGCGGCCTCGCGAATCGTTACGAAAAATGCTGCCTTCTAACTAAACGTGGCTGATTCTAATCGTTTTCAGCTTTGCTGGTCGTTCTAGTGGAATCAATTCTTAGAATTTCCTGGTCGGTCACTGTGCAGCAAACTCGCCGGTTCGCAGCACCGACACGGGTTTCGTTGCGTATGATGCGCTGCTATCGCCCTCGCTGCACTAGCTGAACGAAAGAAGACTAACCAACATCCCAGGCAAACTGTCTGAAGACTTAGCCATGGTAGTCACGAAAGTCTCGAGGAAGCAGAATCTATGAGGTATGACTCACTAACCGACCCAGCAATAGTTGCCTGAATCCAATTACTGTAGCACGTGGACAGGCATTCCCCGGCGAGGTGAATTACGGTTTAAACTGTTAATGCAACTGTTACAAACGGCTGAGTGCGCTACTGGAAAGCTGAAGTTTGAGTGGCGGATGAGCATTGGGCACCAGCGGGCCCAGATATTTCTGGGCTGCGGAGTCCTCTGGCAGGCGGAACCGCAGAGTTTGGGCGGAGAAAAACCCAATCATAGAAAGCCACGAAGCTCATCCTTTTTCGTGGTAATTTGAGCTCAGAACCACCTCGGGATTGGATGAGTTGAAGCTGTGTCCATTTGTAAAGCCTGATCCCTCGGCAGCGCTGACCCAGATCGCATGTGTCAGTTGTAATCTACCGTAGTACGTTCACCATGGTTTATTCTGGTGAGTAACGTTTCAATACGGTAAAGTGCTGTACAGCAGAGGACGAGGTGAAACCAATGGAGAAGGCTTGGAATGGCGACTTGTACAACGCCCACATTGAATTGAGGAACCTTGCTCTGAAACTGGCCTCTCCGACAAATGTGCGAACTCCCAGAACATATGCAGAATTGCTGCTGCCAATCCAGCCATTCTCTAGTTTCTACTTCATTTCAGAGAAAGCTGCTGCACAATAGGAACGCTTCCGTGCTATAGAGGTGACGTGAGAGCTAGAACTTGGTGCCACTAGCATCATGGCGGTGCCGCAGGCGCTGCCGACGTATAGTCCTTTCTGTGAAGGTCGATTGGGTCTGTACACTGTTACCTCCTTAAACCTCTCCCACACCACCCGTCACCCTGATTCGCCTCCTAAGCCACATAGAACACGTCCTTCACAATGGAGATTATCGCATGCCCCCCTGCAACAGCGACCTCATTTTCTCCGTTCAGTCTCTTCTCTTGGCGACTGTAGCACTAGACCCTTCAGATTTTGTCGCCAGTGTGCGGTAACCGGCTCTAGCGACCGCAGATTGCCTTCGTTCCAGCAGATCCCGTGTTCGGTGTGCTGCGCATCGTCACGCGAGTCGCTGTCGGAGATTTCTGTCGCCGACGCGGACCAGCCGTTCGACGAAGTTGCTGACGGAATTCGTCCCAGTCACCGTCAACCTCTCAGCGCACTCGTCAGGGAGATCGACGGCGAGAAGAACGAAAAGCAGAGCTTCGACAGGAGCGACGGCAGCAGAAAACAATCGGGCGATGAGAAGCAAAAAGGGTCATCTGACAACAAAGCAGGTCCCATTCTTTCTGAGGATTCAACCAAGCCTCTTCCAAACGAGACTGTCTCAATCCAGAGCTTCGATTCTCAGGGTGCTATCGTCTCCGTCCAAAGGAATTTACCCTTTCAGGATGATTTCTCTTCCGATGGTCCTCGCGAAGCCGTTCTTACGTCTCTTTCCGCCAAGTTCCCAAAGAAGCTCGCCCTCTTCTCCAATTCCTACAGCGTCGCCAGCGTAAATCTCCGAGTGTTACTTAGTTTTGAAGACGATTCCTTCGCGATCAGCGAAAAACAGCTTCTTGGCATCTTCAACCGCTTCCCATCCCTCCTCGCCGCTCCCCTAGACGCTGCATCCGTCCAAAGCCGCATAGATCTCTTTCGCCGTTACAATGTAACCCGATCCGCATTCTTCGACCTCTGTTCCCGCTCCAACGTTCTCCTGTTTCCCTTCGAATCCCTTGCGGAGAATCTGCATTACCTTCGGCACGAATTAGGCGTCGTTAGAATCGAGAAAGTCCTGAAATGCTTCCCGCTGGTGCTCAATCTCTCCCTGCCGAACCTGGAGGAGAAGGTTCGGCAGCTCAGGCTCGCGGGGCTAGGTCCGGCGAGCGAAGTTCTCGAGCGATCGCCCTTCGTTTTAAGCGCACGCGCGTCGGAGATCCAGCGAAAGGTGGAGCTTGTAAAGAGATTACTAGGATCCAGCAACAGCGCAGATGATCCGATTTATTACCTCCGGAAGTTTCCTCACGTTTTGCTGGCTCAGTATGAAACTATGGAGAGGACTTATGAGGGTATGGTGAGGTATTTCGGGGAGGAGGATACGAAGAGACTGCTGAGGCGACAGCCGCTGCTGCTGGGTCAGAACTGGAGCGGAATGATGGATACAATCTCGAAACTAATCGACGTTTTTGGCCGGGAGGGTGCAGTGCGGATTGTGAATCAGACGCCTACAGTGATGGCGTATTCGTGGACCACGATCGAGGATAAGATCTTATTCGTTACGGAGGTCATGGGGAGGAGTATTGCGGAGATTGTGGTGTGGCCGGCGCTGCTGACGAGGAGTGTGGAGAAGCGGTTACGGCCTCGGTATGAGATGTTACGCAGGTTACCACGCGAGCAGCAGCTGAGTCTGGGGTCAATGTTTGGGTGTACTGATGAGGTTTTTAAGAAGAGGTATGGGAGGAAGATTGCGATGCTGGCGGAAAGGGAAGGAGCGGAGGTTGGGCAGGAGGGTGGAGGAGAGGAGGATGGAGGAGAGGAGGGTGGAAGGGAGGAGGATGGAGGGGAGAAGGGCAGGGAGAAGGGTGGACTAGGGGAGGGTGAAGGGGATATTGAGGGAGGAACCACTGGAGCGGATGTAGAGGAAGAGAGAGGGAGATGATGACTACAGGAAGCAGGCTGTGTCAGCATGTTGGGTCTGCTCCTGTGCTCCTGGGACCTGCTACCACCCATCGCTCTGAGAAAATGGAAAGAAAGAGTTACTGGGACTTGCCCACCACCCAATCACTCGTGCTCATGTCCTCCTGTCCTGGGACTTGCGACCACCCAAAGCTTTGTGCTGCACAAGAAGCTACATAACTTGTTTTAAGTCTCAAAGTCTTCTGCTCGGCTGCACAAGGTGTATGTACACCCATGGCTCTAAAGCTACTCTGGCTGTAATCATGGGTCTACTGAAAAAATTTAATGGGTGGGTCTAGGATAAAATGTGCTCATTTGTAAGCTCTGCCACAATACCTACTTGTACACGTGCTACTGTAACAACAATTATCCCGCTCAAGGATCATCATGCCGCACCTTCACAGAGTGACTCACTAACAAGTGATTCGAACTACCATATGTCAAGGACACTACAGAAGACCTGCTAACTGAACTGTCGCTCACTAACGTTTACCTGACTGCCGCCACCACCATCACTGCACTTCACTCCACCCTCGGGTTGGAGTCCAAAAGGCCACACTCTAGTCAACAGGCCAAGCTACTGTATGCTGCTCATGAGAGTAGATCCTATGGTAATATGTACAGCTACCCTCCAGGGTAGTGCCATAAGCCCTGTGAAGTACGGGCAGCCTGTATGGGGCACGGACGGAGGACTTCCACACATGTACCCCATTTAGTAAGGGTATGCTCCGGGAATAGCCCCCTTGGGGTAGTAATTGCAGACAAAGGTCTGCCAGTTGTTCTTGCAGGGTACAACAGCACAGCCCACGCTGAGAGTGGTGTTCCACACAGCCTGGCACAGGAGAGAGGAGCGAAAGACGAAAGAGGAGCACAGAACCAGAGCATGAGAGGGCAACGTCGTGGACATATGGGGACAGCTACAGAATGCAGTATACCAAATTTATGTCATACTTCTGTACTTGTTTTCTAGGCGCCTTAAAAACAGACTGTATACCAAATGATGCCATGCTTCTACTTGCTGCTAACGTACCCGAATGAAGTGCACGCAGTTCCTCAGCTGTAACCCGTTGCACCCAAAGGGGTACGGCGAGCGCGAGTACCGGGCGGCCTCGTCCGTCCATATCTGCACGGCTTCAGAAGGAGAGGTGTTAACTGCTGCGAGTGTGTTCTGGCCGTAGGGCAGTGAGGAGGAGGATTCTAGTGTGGTGTTGAAACAGGCTGCCGTGGAGTTCACTAGCTGCTGCGCCCAGGTCAGGGCTGCTGCTGCCACTGCAGAGGACACGAGGGCAAGGGGGGTGGGGGAAGGGGAGATGAGGGAGAGGGAGAAAGGGAAAACGGAATGTTAATAACTGGTTGTGGAGCAGTGATGAGGAGGACTCGAGCGTGGTGTTGAAACAGGCAGCCGAGGAGTTGACTAGCTGCTGCGCCCAGGTCAGGGCTGCTGCTGCCACTGTAATGGACAGAGGAAGAGGGAGAAAGGGGAGTGGCCGTAGAGCAGTGAGCCGACATCAGCGCGGGCGTCATTGTGAGGCTGCAGCCACTCCTTGTTGGCAGGGGTGGGCGAGCACGTGCCGTCGTCCTGCCTGTCAGTTCAGAGGCTGTACGAAACATATCCTTCCTATTCACTCACGTGTTTCGTTCCAGATCAATAACGGTGAGCCAACTTCAGCGCGTGCCTCGTTGTGAGGCTGCAACCATTCCTTGTTGGCTGGCGTGGGCGAGCACGTGCCGTCCTCCTGCCGGTCAAAGCCCGGGTCGCAGCGGCAGGTGGCGAGGCTGCCCCGGGGGATGCAGGTGGAGTTGAGAGGACACTGCTTCTGCGTACACACGTCTGAGAGGGAGGAATAGGGATGGGGATGGGGATGGGGATGTAACAGGGGGTATGCGGAGGGGATGGTGGATAGGGAGCGAACGAGAGAGTGGCCGTGCACGTGGCCAGGCTGCCCTGGAGGGGAAAGAGACTGGCCCACAGGTGGAAAGCCTGGGTCTGTCACTGCTGGAGGGGATGCAGGTGGAATTGAAAGGACACTGCTGCTTCTTCTGCATGCATACGGTGCAATTCAGTGCAGCGAGCTGCACTCGTATTCTCACCAGTGCACGTGCCGTTGATACTGGTGAAGCCTGGCTGGCAGCGGCAAAGGTGAGTTGTGCCCTTGTTTGACTTGCACATAGCGTTGGGATCGGCACATGCAATGACCGCACACGGGTCGGGGACTGGGGACAGGGGAGGGCGAAATTGGGGAAGGTTGAAACAGGGGTAGGTTGAAAACAAGCATGACTTGCACACGGTGTTGGGATCCGCCCATGCTGCGAGTGCACACGGGTTGGGGTCTGGGACAGGTTCGCGCCGAACAGAATACAGGCAGAAACAGAATAGAGGGTGAAATTGAGAGGAGAGACAAAATGCGTATAGGCAGGGAAAAAAGGGATGGAAGGGGGAAGAGGGAGGAGGATTGGGGGGGGTGGGCAAGGGGGGAGGGGGAGGGGAGAGGGGGGGGGGAGGGGAGGGGTACTTACAGAAAGAGCAGCCGACGGAAGCAGCTGTGGCCATCTGTGCTGGCAGCTTGCTGCAATGGTGGGGAGAGAGGGGGGATGGGAGAGAGGTGAGGAGAACAAGACGCAGAGAATGTGCGTGGAATGGAAGCAGGTGCTTGCAAGGAGTGGCGACGGGGCGGAAAAAGGGGGAGGACGATGCAAGGAGCAAACACTTATGAGAGGCCGGAGGCCTCACCAGCTCGAGTTTCATCTGGGGTAACCTTGAGTCAACTTGAAGGTTTACCGAGTTGTGAGGGGTCTCACCTGTACGCGTTGTATCTGGGGGCGGTGGTATTCAAGCTCCCAGGCCTGCGAATCCCAGTCGCAGCGCCCATGCAGCCATAACCGGGAAAGAACCACACCGTCCCGCAGTTAATATGCTCCGGCTGGTTATCCTTCGTGTTCCACCATACGCGCGCCGAGCCCACGCTGCGCGCGAAATCCGGCGGCAGGTCGTAGCACGCTACAGCCGGGTTGGGGCGAATCGCGACAAACGGGAGGGATTTCGGCGAGTTGGCGAAGTACTGGCGGTTGTAGAACGCCAGGAGCGTGCCCGGGGCGGCTTGCGCGAACGGCGCGGTGGGCGGAACGACGGCGGCGGGGGGAACGACGACGGGGGGAACGACGGCAGGCGGGACGACGGCGGGCGGGACGACGGTGGCGGGGGGAACAACGGCGGCGGGGGGAACGACGGCGGGCGGAACGTTATCCGCGCGCACGGTTAGCGGAAGGTGGGTGATAGCAGCGAGGAGCATCACGGAGACAACGGCGAAGATCGCCGCGACGGACGGAAAGGAGGTACGAGGGGCCCGCCGCGCGGGAGCGGCATTCTGGATAGACGAAACCGCCATGGCGATCGTAACCGCCGGTGGTCGATTTGATACGTAAGTTAGAAGTGGGGATGGAGTAATGCGACGGTGACGAGTTTCTGTCGATGATGACTCAACAGTCTGAGGGTTGGCCCTTTTATTGTCGACCTTGCGGACTTGGGTGTGCTACGGTACGGAATCCGACGGCGCAAAAATCGACGCGAACGAATTCGACCAGATAGGTCGATTCGTCGAATCGCGTTTCGCGTCGGGAGGGGCGAATTCTCGCGCACAATTGAGGCGAAAGTGGATCGCCATAGCAGCGCTTCGGAAATCGACGGCATAAATTCCAATCCGTCTTCGTGATCAACGGTTCTTTGAGTTGCCTGACCAGACGGAAAGACGGGCAATTGGTGAAGCACACGCGCACCTGCGACTCGAAGCAGCGGCCTCTGATTGGGCGGAGCGTCGCGAGCTCGTTTCGTGTGTGTGGCTGGCAGGCGCTCGGTTCATAAGTGCATGTCGGCATAATCTATGACCGCCTGAAATACCAGTGTCAGAAGAACGGGGACAAGAAAATCCCTGATATAAGCAGGCTGCTCATTCTTCTATTCTAACAGATCAGGTAAGAAGTAACGTGGTGCTGATGTCTATAACAATAATGCCTAGTAAAAGAGGAATAAGGTACACCAATAATCACGTCCTTACGAACGTGACATATTAAATCTCACTAGTGCGCATCAAATACACAACGCTCTTCAATCATCGTGTCATCCTCCATTACAACATGACAGTGTTTGCCAGCGTTAGCCATGATATTTGTTGGAAGTGCCATGCGAGGCCTAAGATACTTCAGGCTTTGCAGTAATCGGTGGTCCTTGTGTAAGGCTGGACTAGTTTCCAGCTCGATTATTATACAGTACCTAACTTTGCTACAGCTCAATATAACAAACGAGGTGCACAGTTCTTACGGTCATACTATCATAGTCGTACATGTTCTCCACTTTCCCCGTACCGGTATTTATAATTTGCAAATTAGAAAGGGCAAGACCCCACAATGCCTCCCATTGGGTAGTAGTTGCAGATATAGGTGCTCCATTCTTCTTTGCAGGGCACCACAGCACAGCCCACACTCTTGGTCGTATTCCACACAGCCTGTAACCAGCATACAAGTGTGAAACAATACCGGTAAGAGCACATTCATTGCCAGTAAAATTGCACACGCGTTACCAGTAAGATTGTGTTCAATCTATGTTTGCCCACAAAGAGGAGATAACTGTACCTTGAGGAAGTGTATGCAGTCCCGAAGTTGCCCATTCTTGCAGCCGTTGGGAAACTCAGCACGAGTGTAGCTCAGCCTTCCAGACATCCACACGTTGACGGTGTCTCGTGGAGCAAACCCAGATGCAGCCAGAGTGTTCTGACCATAGGGAACTCCTTTCTCCAGTGAGGTGTTGTAGCAGGAAGTGGATGTTAGCTTGCTTCCCCATGCCCGTGCTGCTGCTGCCACTGATTGAAAAGAAATGCAGCAAGAACGGAAAATGTAAGGGAAAATGAGGATCCAGACATCATACTCAGCAAGTTGAACCCCTCCCTATTTCCCTCCCTTTTCACCCCCCCTCCCCATGCGGCCCTCCCACCACATATCATTCCACAGCCATCACTCACAGGTATCATTCCAAACGAGCAGCGGCGACCCAACGGACGCTCTGGCGTCGTTCTGCGATCCCAGCCACTCATCATGGATGGGCTGCGGCGCACAGGAGCCGTTGGATTGCTGAATGAATCCTCTCCTGCACACGCACTCAGCTGCCCCCCCACGAAGATAGCAGGAGGAGTTTGCCGGACATTTCCTGGCCGTGCATTTGTCTAAGTGTGGGGAACAGGGGAGAAATTGTTGCAAAGTGTGGGAGAAGTGAAGGTTAGGACGCTTCGCACACACACCACAACAGGATCAGAAACTTTATGAATCGCATCGTACTGTACACCTCCATGCTCAAAGCTCATATTCAATCATTGCAGTGTCAAAGGCTGGGTGATATCAACTCACGCACCGACACAGTTGCCGTTGACTCGAGTGAAGCCAGAGCTGCATGGGCATGCGTGCGCAGTGTTGCCGTAGGAGGTGCATGGGGTGTTGGCAGGGCATGGAACAACGGCGCACGGGTTCCGGTCTGTGGAACGGCATAGAACAGGGAGTAGGAGGGATGAAAACGGAATCAATGAGAGACTCAGAGCCCTAAAAGTGGCAGAGCAAGCCCTATAAGTTGCAGCTGGCAAAAGAGGTGCTGTAGGAGGACCCATGGTTTTTTTTACTTCTTTTTTGTTAATGTCACGGAGTTGGCAGGGCATGGGAGAACGGCTCATCATGGGTTCGATGTATTTGAACGCAAAGGTTCAGATTCCCGATGTTCGCTCACCATAGGAGCATGCTATGGAGGCCGCTGACCTCATTGGCTCGGCTAGTACACTGCACGATCAGAACGCCAAACGAGAACACGCGACGCAATAACAAACCATCCGTGTTAGTGGTAATTGAATATCAGAAAAAAAGCACTGCCAACGGACCCAACAAGGTACGACGAAAGCGATTTTTGCCACATCTCAAACTAAACCTTGAAGCTGGAAGTTCCAAAAGATTGGCAAACAGATCCAACAGGCTATGAAGATCGCGGGCTGAATGAGCATTAGAATGTGAAACTCACCTTACGAAGCTCAAAGAAGAAGACGCATTTGATACAGTCGCAGGGCGCGGAACTCCCTTGGGTGTCCCGGCGCATTTCAACCCAGGGAAAAACCACACCGTGCTGCAGCTGACACGTGTCACGCTCGCAGTCCTCGTGCTCCACGCGATTTTCGCGGAGCCTATATTTTTGGAGAAAGCAGAGGGGAGATTGTAGCACGCGACCTGCGGGTCTGGTCGGACGACGAACTCGTTGAGAGTGACTGGAGAGTTGAAGAATCGCGGTTGGTTGTACAGCGTGATTTGAGTTGCTGGATCAAAACTTGCTGCTACGGCGTAATTTCCCGCCGAGAAAAATAATATGGCGAGAACGATGAGTGCATGTTCCATCTGGGAAGATGCAGTGTGAGTCAATGGACAATGCTGGAAGCAACGAGATGGTGGTGCTGTTACTACTACTAGTAGGAACCTAAATTTCAAATCCACAACAAAGCTGATCAGTTATTTGACTGTGGGGTTGAGGGAATTTGTAGTTGATGTGGAGCGTATTTGCAACAGCAGATGTCCGAGTTTGACAAATGCGGCTCGAGATGCATTTGGAAGACAACGCGACGCGGTCGGTGGAATCAATCGGGTCCTCCTCGTCACACGAATAGACACATCTCTTGGGTGAGTGATATGGTTGCATTATGTGCTTTATTTATTAGTGTACAGCACATGACATTCAAAATACGGAAAAGCGAATAACCTGGACTCGCTTTCACTTTATTTGAAAGGCCACTACAAAGCACGGGGCCCACCTATGTGGATGACAGCCCTGCTGCCCAAACGCACTGATTCTTGATTTTGATAAACCCCTTTCTGCAGAGGCACATATGTGACGTTCCTTGCGCTGAGTCGCACACCGAATGTGCAGGGCAGCCATAGAGCGAGCAGGGATTAGGCGCTGCAAGAAACAGAAATACAGGAGCACGGTTAGGCATAGAAGCAGGAGTGTTTAAACTACAAAGGGCATCATATTTTGCAAGGAAGACTGGGATCTGAAAATGGAGTAGGAGCTGTAATAAACTTACTGTAAGAGCAGCCGACAGAAGCCACTGACGCTAGCGGTCCGCGGACGTTCCTGAAACGAAGCAAGGGACATTAAAACGCGTTAGACGGCCAGAATGCTCCATAACTAACCCTGGCATCGCTCCCCCTCGTGTCGCTACGCGCGGAACCGAAATAAGCGACTTCAACGGCATCCACGAAACAGAATGGTACTCACCTCTTCACGGTGAAGCCGTAGCTGTAGTTGCGCGGACTCGCGTGTTGCGGACCGTCCGGGAGCTCGATCCCCGTCGCGACGCCAGCGCATTGCGATTCCGAAAAGAACCACACCGTGTTACACATCATGTGCCGTTTCGTATGGTCGCGAGTGTTCCACGTGATCATTAGCGATCCGACTCGACCAACCAGCTCCTCGGGAAGATCGTGGCACGGCGTGCGCGGGTCGGGCCGGATGGCGTGATACGCGGTGAACTCGCTATAGCGAAAGTCTTTACTGTCGTATAAGCTGATGAGTGTACCCTGACTGACATCTTCGTCGGCTAAGATTGTGGCGGGAAGAAGGGAAAGCAAAGCGAAGGCGATGATCACAAGATGGACTAATCTCGATCTCGCTTCCATGGCTGTCGAGATTCAATTCGCTCGACGCTTCAGGAAATGAGGAAGCGGCCGTAAATTGACTCGGGAAGACTTCAAATGATGATTCCGAGCGCGGCTCGATTGAATTACGTAAGAAAATCTTAATCGCAGTTCATTTAGGGTCTTCGAGTCGACAGAATTAGGCTGGCCTTGCCAGTTGCTGCTTCAGTAGGTGGAAGTGGAGTGGCGTGACGAGGCGACAAAAAAATGCTATGGATGATCGAGCTGCTCGTGGTTTATATCAGTGCTTGCGACAAGCGAGGCCACGGCGGTACTAGTGTTCACTGAGTCTGGGATCTGGACGGATGCTTGAAGCACTCTGGTTTGGAGTAGAGAAAGAGGCTTCTTGGTGGGTTGAGTGCGGTACTAGAGCGAAATGTGCTGCTTTCATGCAGAATTGTTCGGCTGGCGCCTGCGCCGCGACCACTGACCAGCTAGCTGCGAGGGTGCTGTGTGGGTGGGCGCAAGTGTGTGTGTGTGGGGCCACATGCGAGACCGCCCGCTTTCTAGTGCCCTCGGATCGCGCCCTTGAAACCCAGAGGGCAAGTGTGAACAACATCCTCGTTAACAAGGTCGCCTTTTGACCGAGAATGATATACTGTGCATAGCGATATACGACTATACATTGATTGTAAATTTGTAAATTTAGCTCTCAGAAAGACTGATATATCCTCAAGAGAAGCAGAAGAATGTGGTAGTAACTGGAAGCTGAATCACGTCCACTAGTTAGGTGTCACAGTTACAAAGCCGTCTAACTACCTAAGTTCTTACATATCTCCTAATACCCCATAATGGGAGAACATACTCTATGGCCAGTTGCTGACCATTGATCAACTAAACTATCTCCGATTGACAGGAGGGTGGCGCGCTCTGTACTGCTGCGGCAAACACTCCGCCAGATTCAACTTCTGCATCAGGTATCAAGTGCAGCTGCCCCACCTGATTTGTTAGATTAGTTGCAGCTGCCCCACCTGCTCCCACTGCTCCTGCCAGCCATTGCTGCTGCCACTGCCACCACTCCTAAACGCGGTGCAGACCCACCACTGCTGCGGTGCCATGCTCTATATCTGCTTCCAGTAGGGATCCTACTCCTACTTATCTCCTACTGTTCTAGTGTTCTAGACCTGCTGATGTTCCCCCTGTTCTGTAGTAGCTCCCACTGCTGCTGCTGCAATTGGTGTGTCAGTTAGGTAAGACTTCTCACCTGCCCACTGATTTCACTGCTGCTTCCATAAACACCAGCAGCAGCAGGGGGAGGTTCTAAGTACAGGTAGCAGTGCCGTGCAGATGCGCCAATTGGAGGAACCTGTTACTGCCCTTCCTACGAGTTACCCACTGCTTTCACTGCTGCCACTGCTCCCATTGAGATCGCCCAATAAGACTGCTCGGTTCCTTACGAGCATGTTTCTGCAGCTGCAGCAGCTGCAGCAGGGGCTTCAGCCGTGGCATTGGCTGCTGCTCGCTGGTGGTACCGCCGAGAAAACACCTCCACCAGAGAGTGGATAATTTCCTCCTCAGATACAACCTGAAAGCGCAAGGTAGTGGGACATGGGAAGAGAGGTAGAGGTGTTTTTTGAGGCAACATGATTGTTGAGGCTGCTCGCTGGTGGTACCGCCGGGAAAACACCTCCACCAGAGAATGGATGATTGTTGAGGCTGCTCGCTGGTGGTACCGCCGGGAAAACACCTCCACCAGAGAATGGATAATCTCCTCCTCAGATCCAACCAGGAAGCGCAAGCAACAGGGAAGGAAGGATGTGAGGGAAGAGAATAAGGCCAGGGATAAAACAGAATCGCCTTCTTTTGTTGTCCAACAGAATACTGGAAGCACAGTAGCTAGACGTTGAGCCATGAAGTGCAGCGACTCTGCTTATAGAAGAAACGTCTCCCCTAGCATACTTGGCCTGATTAGTAGCTTTTACTTAGTTCCCTACTGGTTGCACGGACTTTACACTGACTGCCACTCAGGGGACGTACCAGACTCGCGAAGTGCTGTGCCACTGCAAGCTTGAGCTCCTCCTGTTAGAGGGATGCCCGGGGTGGGGTGAGAGAGGGGAGAGAGAGAGTGGAACGGGAGGAGTGGGGTGGGAGGGGAGAGAGAAGCATAAGGGCAGAGCAAATACTAGGGCAGCATGCTGTACCCCTGCCAGCTTGAGCTCCTCCTGTTAGAGGGATGTCAGGGGTGAGAGGGGCAAGGAGAGAGAGGGGGAAGAGACTGGATTACGGGAGGAAAGTGCAGGGGAGACTAGAAATTGGTGACCTTCAAAGCATCAGATAAAGGCATCTGGGAATGCCTAAGCAGTGAGAAAGATGTGGAGTGGCAAAACAGGCTATCTCATAGGACCACGCACCCCCTTGAGCTGAAAACCCACTAAGGCCAAGCGCCCACAGAACTCAAGCACCCACCATGCCGGAGGACGCGTCTCTAAGTTTGCACACTCGCTTGTAGCGCCGCAGCGAGCTCGTCTGCAGCTTGGATAGGTCGACAATTCGATGCTCTCTCACAGCATCTGACAGTGCCACCCAACCACCATGCCAAAAGCCAACCTCAACCCCATGCGGGAAAAACAACCCACCTTGCCAGAAGAAGCGTCTCTGAGCTTGTACACTCGCTTGTAGCGCCGCAGCGAGCTCGTCTGCAGCTTGGATAGGTCCACCTTGAGAGGCTTGGCGCTGCTGCCTTGCACCCTCTTGCTGCTACGGGGTAACACAGACCCTGCCGCCCCTGCTGCTGCTGCTGCTGCTGCTGCTCCTCCTCCTCCTCCTCCTGCTGCTACAGGAGACTTCCTCCATCCATACTCGCTGTTGTCATACTCGTTATTGTTATCTTGGCTGTTGTTACTGTGGTGGCCACCACTAGACGATTTTCTTTTCTGTTCCCTCTCGCCCTCTTCTCCCTCCACTTCTCCAGCTCCCTTGTCGTCAGTTGTATCCATGGGGTCAGTCTGGTCAATGTGGTCAACGGGGTGGATCCTCTGGTCAATGGCAAGCCCGGGCTTTGACTGGTCAACGCAGTCAACGCGGTTAGCTGAGTCAGCATGGTCGCCGGGGGTTGAGTCGCTTGAGGGGTTTGGGGAGTGCAATGAGTCCTGCAGTCCCTGGGGCGGGGGGGAGGGGGGAGGGGGGAGGGGGGAGGGGGGAGGGGGGAGGGGGGAGGGGGGAGGGGGAGGGGAAAGGGCGGGGACAGGTGAGCGTATCGATTAGGTGGAGGAATTGACTCACGAGGCGCCTCAAAAGTCGCCGGGGGTTGAGTCGCTTGAGGGGTTTGGGGAGTGCAGCGATTCCTGCAGTCCCTGGGGCGGGTCGGGGGAAGGAATTAAGGCGAAGATACATTAGGTGGGGGAACCGATTGTTTTGGCGCCTCAAGAGTCACCAGGGGTTGAGTCACTCGAGGGGTTCGGGGAGTGCAACGAGTCCTGCAGTCCCTGGGGCGGGGCGGGGGAAGGGGAAAGGGCAGGGACAGGTGAGCGTATCGATTAGGTGGAGGAACTGACTCACGAGGCGCCTCAAGAGTCACCAGGGGTTGAGTCACTCGAGGGGTTCGGGGAGTGCAACGAGTCCTGCAGTCCCTGGGTGGAGGAGGGGTGGTCTGTATTTTTAGAGGCGGGTGGTTTGTGGGCAAAATGGGTGCTTACCGGGAAAGTGTCGCTGTCAGTGTCGTTACAGCTGCCATGCTGGGCACTCCCCCCCTCGTCACTCTTCACCGCCTCCCCCTCCCCCTCCCCTGCTCCTCCCCTCCCCGCACCCCCCTTAAACAGCACCTTGACACTGCCACTCCCCCTTCCGCCCCCCGCCCCTTTCTTCCCACCTCCTCCCGCTCCATCTCCCCCTGCCCCTCCCTCTCCCCCTCCTGCTCCCCCCGCGCCCCCTGCGGTACCCTGTCCTCTTCCTGATAGCGGGGATGCGGGGGAAGCAGCAACAGCAGCCACAGCCGCCGCCGCCGCAGCAGCAAGCAGGCTGTTCCGACCAGAAACCCCACCAGCAGCAGCAGCGCCACCGCCGCTGGATTGCCTGCTCTTCCGCCTCCCACTAGGAACCGAACCCCCTCCGCCTCCCCCTCCGCCAGCCCCTCCCCCGAACAGTATCCGCCCAGGGGATCCACCGGGCTTATCCGCGCCCCCTCCGCTTCCCCTGCGGTCCTTCTCTCCCCCAGTTGCGCCGCCCGCCTCCGCTGCAGCTGCTGCGGCCTGCGCGATTGCCAGGCGATCCGCCGCGTTGTGGCGGCCCAAGCGACGGCGGTCGTTGCAGTCCGAGTGCTGGACATGGGTCGGAATAGAGCGGGCGGAGGAATAGAAAGAAAGAAAGAAAATAAAGGAGCGGGGGAAGGGACACACAGGGGTGGTGAGGGAAGGAGGAAAGGAGGGGGGCGATTGAATGGGAGGGGGATGGTACACACAGGGAAAATCGGCCGCGCTGTTGGGGTCCAAGCGACTGGGCTTGCTGGAATCAGAGTGCTAGACGTGGGTGGCAATCCTGCAGCGACGGCACCCAAGCGATGGTGCTCGTTGGAGTCTTTAAAAAGGGCGTCGACTGCGTGATTCAAGTAATCCCGTACCTTGCCCGCGTCGCGGCATCCCGGGCATTGGTAGGATCGGCGGTCGATCTTGGAGACGTCGATTCCGTACTCCATCTCGCACTCCTCGTGCGACCAGAGGCGTCAGCTTGATATATATAACCTCGTACCTTGCCTGCGTCGCGGCATCCTGGACATTGGTAGGATCGACGGTCGATCTTGGAGACGTCGATTCCGTACTCCATCTCGCACTCCTCGTGCGACCAGCGGCGACAATTGCGATTGGTGCAGCCGATCCACTGGGAGGGGAAGAATAGGGGAGGAGAAGAATAGGGAAAGAGAGAGACGAACGAGGGGGAAGTGAGAATCTCCAATGAGATTCATCAACGGTTGGCGCAACAAGAACCACTTATCAGAACTGTCAGCGTTCTACTGCCGCTAAAAGGTACTGCTGCAAGGCAGAGGGACAGTCAGACGAGTACGACGAATGAGGACGAACACTGAAAATGCGGAACAGAAGCGGGGGATTGAGAGAACCAACGGGGAATTTGAGCGACGGGGTTTGAGGGGAAGTGAAGACCAATGAGGACCGATAAACGCGGACGATTAGGGACGCTGACACCAGGGACATGCTTGGCGGCTAAGAAATTGACTATGCAGAAGACGCACTTGCTTCTTGTCGAAGCTGTCTGGATCCCTTTCGCGATAGATCTGAACGCAGAAGGGACAGTACTTGCCCTGCAGCACACACGCAATAACGAGAAAAAAGAACCAGCAAGAAAGGGAAACGAAAGAACGAGTTCAGTGAGCATGAAGATTAATGTAAGTCAATGCCGGATTGATACACATTCGCAGCTGAAACATGACGGTCATATGATTGCCTACCAGCACTGGGAATACCGCAAGGCCTTGGGCTGTTCCTGAAGGAAAATTTTCGGTTCAGTACTGATCTGCAACAAGGCAGTGCAGCCAAACCGTGCCTTGGAAGTGTCAGCGCGGTGTGGGACAAACACCAGCACTGCACCGTAAGGCGGTTCGGGACCGATTCCCAGACTAACCAAATTCCTCTAGGCATCCCGGCATTGGGAATACCGCGAGGCAGTCTGTCATTGGGAACACTCCAACCTTGGAATTACTGCTAGTTCCTGGAATTAGACGAACCTGATCGAAATTGATCTTGCACGCGTTACATAGGGTAACATTCACAGGGTCGTCTTCACTGCCGTAGTTTCGCACGTGCCAGCGGCAAGTCCTTCGGGATGGGAAGGTGTATCCGGGTTGGTGAATTAGGAGTTAGTAGCATTTTAAAAAACGTTTAAATTGAAGCAGTTGAGATGCAAAAGGTCTGGTATGTGTTAAGAAACACGTAGGAAGAAATGATGAATATCGCTGGCAATGGTGGGGGTGAGGCAAAGATTAAAAAGAGTTTAGGTTCGTACGGTCCGTCGCCGGGCGACGTTCTGCGACAGAAGTTGTTGGAGCACATCACCACCGCCTTATTCTTCCAGCTCTGCATCTTTCGCAGCTTCCCTGGCGACCCCCCTCCAAAATCTGAACCCGCCGTGACCCCAGCCGCCACCGTCGCTGCCGCTGCCGCCGCTGCCGCCGCTGCCGCTGCCAGCGTGCTGCAGCCGCCGTTGCCGCTCGCGGCTCGCAGCAGAGCCGGCCGCAAATGTCCCTGCGCCGTGTTGACTGACGGAAAAAAAGCTATTTTTTTGGACGGCAACTTTAACAGAACGCGTCAATCTTAAAGAAAGTGACGGCTTGCGTTAGGCCTCTGCCTGCAGAGGCTGCAGTGAGAAGGAAGCTGAGCCACTATCACGTTTCAGTCCACAACAACCGTCTCCCAAAGAAGAAGGAACGGCTCATTCCGCCACTATCATTCTTCGACCCCCATCTTATTCCGAAAGCAATACCCAGGGTTAGTGACAGAGGGGCCGGGTATCGAGTTACTCTTAGCCGGAGCACGGAATTCGCGAGCGCCACGCGTTCTCCCTTAGCGAAGCCGTCTCTGCACAAAGAAAAAGGATGAATCGGCGCATATTAGAACCTTCGTCGTAGTCACAGTTTAACGGCAGAAGATAAAAGAGAGAATATATGTTACGAATAAAGCTTAAAGCGTGGAAGCTCGTTGATGCCGCAAATTTACGAAACACGCACTGTAGCAGGCTGGACGACTTGGCTAAGTAAACTGACATCCGCTAGGCGGCGTCATGGACTTCCTACGAGGTACTACTAGTGCTTCCTATTTTGTAGAATGCGAGGCGATCATACGCGGCAAAATCGTCCAGATGCAATTCTAGCAGTTTATCGTCAGCGTTAGGCTCATGCGAAACCAAAATGAAATACCAGCATAAAGAAAGGCTTATGAGAGTAAGCGTGCAGCTTGCGGTGGCGGCTAAGAACCCGATTAGGCGCTTAAGCGCGGGACTGCGAGACTGTTGTGTAGAGATTTTCGGCGTTAGCTATATCACACGGTAACGCCGTGGTCCGCGAATGGAGATAAGGCTGAGATATACTGGGCTAAAATCTTAGACTGGAAAAGTTACCTGAATGCGGCAGGGAACACGCTACGGCGGGAAGGATCTCAGCACATAATGGTTGGAAAGAGAATTCGCGCTGACTAAACTGGCCGGTCGCCAGCGATGGAAGGTGAAGTGGGAATTCGCATAATAAATACTGTACTCTTGAATCTGGTCTGGCGTGGTTCTGTTTGAGCGAATCTGAAATTTGGGAGGTCGAGTAGGGCTGCGAGGCGAGGCGATTGCCACCTACACAAGGAATGCGGGACACTCATTCAGCTTTCTAGGGAGACAGAGAGGGCAACGGGCTGATGGGGCTGGAAGGGCATGGGCAGGGTGTCACCTCGCCATCTAGTCGTCTCCCCTCACCCTTGTCCTTTCTCATCTCATTCATGACGCACCGCATTCACTCCAAATTCAAGTTTGCATCATCCCAGCTTCAGCCAAACCCTTAGGTGGGCCGGAGCAATCCCTCACTGGCGATGACTGGGCAAGCCAGCACACCCATCACAGAGCGATGAAGGGATCAGAGTGATTCAGGGTTCACACAGCACAAGGCGCAATGATGTGAGGCAGTCCTTAATACTCCCCTTAACCGTGTCAGGTTGTGCAAACACCTTATGAGAACGGACAGCACTCCCTGAATCGCACAAGACATTCGGGGGAGTCTGGAGTAAAATCCAACGGTGGGCCGAGAGGAAATCCCAACCAATCCCTGCCAACGTACAGCAACAACACCGTAAATTCCAAACCAATTTGCCAAACCATCATTCAGACGTTCGAATTTCCGCTTCTTTCGCCTTTCGCGCAATTTTTGGTTCGGCACCCAAGAAAGTGCTGGTCTGGTAAAACACTTCCCGACCGAATCCGAACCAGCCCAGCAAACGCGGTTCGTCACGCCGTTCTCACGAAGCGCGCCAGGTTGTTGAGCGGCCCGGGCGAGGCGCAGGGGCCAACGGACGAAATGTCTCTGTTTCGCGAGAATATGTCGGGCACGTGCGACAATACATCCATGTGTGATGGGAACTGCGAAACACAAATGCGAGATTGGCGGGAATTCGCGTATGCATCCGACGTGCGTCGCAACCGGAAAACGACAATAACGTGACCGTGCAGGTGTCGTCAAAAGGCGAGAGATTCCGTCAATGGGCCCGCACGACCGAGCCTGCGGACGCAAAACGGTAGGTCGACGACGGTGGTGGCTTGTACTGTAACGGGTTTTGTTCAGTTTGAGAGTCCGCAGTCAATGCAATCGCCAGCGCAGGCAAACCCACCCCGCTAACACGTGCCCCCGAGTGAAACGCACCATTCTCGTTACAGAGCGCTTCACAGGGACAGGCAAGTATTTCTGGCAATCAAAGCAGAGATTAGCTTATAGTAAAGTCCTTACAATATAGGAATTTCCACTACATACCCACTCCACTTCCGAGTCCAGCATACCTAGATAGAAACCTTGCTGTCAAGCAGGGTCGCGCACCCTTACGCGTCCCTACTCACAGCTCCGTGACTCGCGCAGGCGCCAATTTTAGATTCATCACTTCCTTTATTTAGGTATCCACGATGTCGGACGACACTGAGACTAATGATGTCCCGAAGGACGCGTCGCGCGACATGCAGCAGCAGAGTCGCGCCCTAGATTCCATCACCGACCATGTTGAGGAGCGACAGCTAGATTCGCGCCGAGTCCAAGAGGTACGCGCAGCCCGTCGAGTGGGATCCTTCACTGCTCTCAGAGATCCCACACTATGTTTCCGCTATGTTAGATGCTCGTCGAGTGGCGGGCCGTTAGTTTGAGGCACACAGGGGTATTGTACGGAATGGATTTGGACTGGTAGTGAAGTTCAGTGTGGTGTTTTTCCACCAACCGAACAAGCGAGCCATGCCCTAGGGTTTCAGACGACGAGTTGATGGTTCTGGGTTTCGCGTATACAGACTCGCAGGCGTCATTTTTTTGTTGCGACAACGTCCAGGTCCCTGAGGAGCGAAAGCATGGGGCTAGTTTGTGTTGCCTGACTCTCAGCAGACTGTGTCAGTCCTAGTTCTGAGTCGTCTTAAGGTTCTCAGCAGGCTCTGTCAGTTCTGGTTGTCAGACGTCTCAATCAAATAAATTTAATGCTATCAGTTTCGTTGTCTTTCCGCTCTCTCCTCTGATGCTCTTTTGTTTGTCGGTGCAGGCCATGGCTTCGATAGCGGCGTCATCTGCGGCGGACAGGGAGGCTCAGCGTGCCAGGTAAGTCCATGGACCGTGGATTACCATGAGTATAGTCTGGCCAATTGCATCACAAGGTGTATACGGTATGCGTAAGCTCTACACCATGCTGGGCCTCCCTAGCACGTTGAACAAGGTGTGAGGGAAGCTCTTGAGCGTGCTTGCACTGCAGGGAGAAGCAGCTGATTAAGCGGTTCAAATCTATGTGACTGGCAGAAATGAGAGTTGTATGGGTTGCAGCTCATGCCCTTCGTTTGCTTTGCGTGGCATGCTGGATGAGTGGCATTGCAGGGAAAAGGAGTTGGCTTCAGTGAAGATTGACTCGTTACACATTGATGTGATTGCTTCAGAAATGGAGGTAAGTGGCCATGAACTTGTTGCGTGGTAGTTTGTTGGCTGCGTCCTTTGTCATTTTCCACATCCTGCCTATTTATCCCGCTACCCTCTCTGAGACCCATTTTAGTTTAGTTTTGTCATCTTTCGTTATAGTCACTCAACTATGGTGTGTTTTGCTTCCCTGGTGGCCAGGTTGACAAGAAGGTAGCGGAGAGAAGGCTACGGGAACATCAAGGGGACCCTGTCGCTGCTCTAAGATCGTTTTTGCATTGAGAAACGCTACCACTGCAAGATTATCCTGCTTTTCCTGAATGGATGGAGCATTCATGTTAGATTAGAACATTATATTGCTTGTGTCTAGCATATACGTAGTTGGGCATGATTGCACTTGTTGTAACGAGTCAACCGAAATCCTCAAAATCCTAGGCTCTACTGCACCTGCATCACATCCATTGGTGCCAAAAGCGAACATCCACAATTCGCGTTGCAGAGTGCATCGGGTACTCTCTTGTGAGTTGTTTTTGCGCCGCGCTTCACTTCGCGATGTTCTAGTTGAGCTCTCTTGAGCGAAATAAAGCGCGGGAGAGGGACAGCCTCACGCCGCCGTCCTCTCACCACGGTTGGTGCCACTTTGTGCGAGATAAAAGGGGCCGCCGCTAGCTTTCGCAAATGGGGAACGTGAACGTCAAGGTTAGTCATTCGTTTTGTCCCTTCGCTATCACTCGGCTGCTTAGCCCCCTCCGTTCTTTCTCGTCACTTCTTTTCACCCTCCTCCTTGATTCTGTGCTCGTTTATCTTCCTCTCATCCTCTTTTCATCCTTGTTTATTTGTCCTTTCCCCTACTCTCACCAGGACGGGCTAGAATCCGTGGGACTTTCGAACCTTTCCCTCGGGAATGCCGCGCTGGGTGGGGGGAGAGCGGCGGCAAGCGCTCAGCGCGCAGCCAACTGGAAGGCCACGGGGATTATCGCCCTCAGGGACGCTCATTTGAAGGTGAGGGGGGAGTTTAGGACAATGTTCTCCGCCTTTATACCAGAGTAATGTTTATACCAGGCGGCATGCTAGGATGAGCGCTCAGCGCGCAGCCGATTGGAAGGCCACGGGGATTATCGCCCTCAGGGACGCGTATCTGAAGGTGGGTGGGGGGTGTTGAACACATTTTCCGCTTTTGAGTCGACTCAAAAGCGGTGGGTGGGGGATGTTGAACACATTTTCCGCTCTTAAACTTGGAATGGAAGGTATTATCGCTCTCAGGGACGCACATTTGAAGGAGGGGGGGAAGGGTAGTGTGGTGGATAGCTGTTGCTCTTCTTGGGTTTTGAGTCTCCCTCCACCTGCTCTCCCTCCTTGCTTCCTTACCCATTCCCCCTCGCCTCCCTTCCTCTTGCCTCCCTCTTTGCTTCCCACCAGTCCATCCCTGATGCAGTGTTTGAAGCATCGGGCTCAGCCCAAACTCATCCTGCAGCTCCTGTTCTCCCATTTTGAGTCGACTCAAAAGCGTTCTCCCCCTTTCTCCTGATTCCGTCCCCCCATTCCCACTCGCCTTCCCCCCCCCCCTCCTCTCCCTCTTTGCTTCCCACCAGTCCATCCCCGATGCAGTGTTTGAAGTGGGAGGGTCGGCTCGCACTCTAGATGCGTCCAATAACAGAATAGGTAATTACATGGTAACCACCTGGTAACCACACCAGTGTGCGTCGCATTAACAGCCGCTGATCGATCCCTGCACAGCACACATGCCTCCTCACTCGCACGCTAATTGTTTTTCAGGAGGATTTATTAGGTCCCTCAGAAATTCCGAAGTTACCATCTAAGTTTCGTACATCTCTGGTTCTTTCATTTACGTCGACTAACATTTACTGTTCGCATTCACATTGTGTGGTGTGTGAATCTGTCACATTGCTTTCTGTGGCAATCTGACAGTTCTTTTCACTGGCGCGCCTGGTAGCCTGATTTTCGCAGGGTAACCAGTAATCAGCCAACTATATTCTCCTTCTGCATTTGTCTGAAATGAACAGCAATATCACGCTCCCTCCCATTCCTCCTTCCACCGTCCCCGCTCAATCTCAACCGTTCAGTTGAGATCCCCGAAGCGATTGGACGGCTGACATCGCTGCAGCGGCTGGTTCTCCCATCCAATCGCATCGAGCGCCTGCCTGCTTCCATCGGCCTGCTCACATCCCTCAAGGCTCTTCAGCTTGAGAACAACCGGTTGACAGAGCTGCCAAATGAAAGTGAGTTGGAGGTGTGGTAAGGTCCAGAGGGGCGCTTGCCTGCTTCCATCGGCCTGCTCTCGTCCCTCAAGGCGCTGGAGAACAATCGGTTGACAGAGCTGCCAAACGAAAGTGAGTTGGAGTGGTGTGAAGGGGTTCTCAGGGGTCGGAGGGATTAGTAGGGAGTAGGAAGGGGCTGCTCTCCTCCCTCAAGGCCCTTCAACTGGAGAACAGTCGGCTGACAGAGCTGCCCATCGAGAGTGAGGACTCATTACAGTTGGGGAGTAGGAGCAACAAGGAGGGAGTAGGAGGGAGTAGGAGGAGGGAGTAGGAGGGAGTAGGAGGAGGGAGTAGGAAGGAGTATGAAGGAGTAGGAGGAGGGAGTAGGAGGAGGGAGTAGGAGGAGGGAGTAGGAAGGAGTATGAAGGAGTATGAAGGGTCCGCCTTCATCTCTTAGGATCAACCGAGTGACAGAGCTTCCAGATGAAAAGGCAACTCTGACCCTGACCCATCTCCCTTGTCCCTTTGAGGCGCCTCAAAACTTTTGAGGCGCTTTTTGAGGCGACTTTTGAGGCGCCTCAAAACTTTTGAGGCGCCTTTTGAGGCGCCTGGCGCCTCGAGAGCTTCCAGATGAAAAGGCATTTCTGACTCTGACTCTGACTCATCTCCCTTGTCCTTTTCTCCCTTCTCCCCCCTCCCTATTTCGATAACTCCACCATCCCCTCTCCCAGTCGGCTCGCTGCCTCGCTTGGAGCGCCTATCCCTAGCCACCAACAAGCTGCAGCACCTGCCAGACTGAACCAACACATGAACGGACCCTTTATCCATCTCCCCCTCCCCGCCCGTCCCCCTCCCCCCAATCTCCCCTCATCTCCCAGTCGGCTCGCTGCCTCGCTTGGAGCGCCTATCCCTCGCCACCAACAAGCTACAGCTCCTACCAGACTCTATTGGCCGGCTCTCAGCTGTATGTGAAGCACTCTGAATCCCTGGCTCGTCTGCTCAGCATATGGCCTCATGGTGCTTTTCTCCTCGTGCGATAAGTCATAGTTTTGAATCGACTCATGAATCAGCTGTATGTGAAGCACTCTGTATCCCTGGTTCGTCTGCTCAGCATAAGAGCAGACCAATTGAGATGGTGCTTCTCTCCCTGAGTCCCTATCTACCCCAACATTGCAGCGTGTCTCTTCCATCAATCCCTTACCGCCCCTCGCTCCCATCAATCGTAAATCAATGCGCCATTTTGAGGCGCCTAAAAAAATGTGGGATAAGAGACGACTTTTGAGGCGCCTTAAAAAAATATATATATATACGTATATATATATATATATATATATACGGGATAAGAGACCACTTTTGAGGCGCCTCAAAAGTCGTCTCTCTCCCTACCGACATTGCGGCATGTCTCTTCCATCAATCCCTTACCGCCCCTAGCTCCATCAATCATGCCGTTCCCTTCAATCAATCAATACCCCACCAGTTCCCTCATTGCCTGTCCTGTCAACCAAACCCTTACTGCCTGCCATGTGGTTCCATCAATATCCCCTTGCCCCTCCCTTCCGCCAATCCCACTTTCCAGTTGGTCACTCTAGACGTTTCTTCCAACTGCCTCCCACCCACCATTTGTAGATGCTCCACTCTTCAAGTTTTGAGGCATCTCAAACTCACCCCCCCTGCCCCTCTCTCTCATACCTTCCCTCCTTGCCAGTTGGTCACTCTAGACGTTTCTTCCAACTGTTCTCCCTAACCCCTACCCACCATTCAAACTCCCAACCCCTTCCCACCGCTGCCCACTCCCATATCTTCCCCTCTTGCCATGCCAGTTGGTCACTCTAGACGTCTCCTCCAACTGCCTCTCCAGCCTCCCACCAACCATTGGTAGCTGCTCCAGTCTTCAAGAAATCTCGCTACAAGGTACCCCGTTTCAAGGTACCTCACTGTAACACATCCCACTCCATACCTCACTGCAAGGTGCTGATGCTGATAACGACATATGTGTACCAACCCATATAGAAATGTTCTCAAAATATTTTCTTCCTTCGCCCTTCCCCCTGCTAACCTCCTTCCTTGTTCAGACAACCGCATTGCAGGTCTCCCCCCTTCGGCGGTACAACTATCCGACCTTCGCACTCTCGCCCTCGATAACAACCGACTCACTGACGTATGTTAACCTCCCGTTTCTATCTGTCAAAACTTGATCTACAAGTACAGGGGCTCATAATGGGTGCTGTGTCTGACCTTCGCACTCTCGCCCTCGATAACAACCGGATCACAGACATATGTCAACCCGCTTCCTATACTTTCTCCCTCCTCTCCCTCCCCTTCATGCTCCCACCCCTGTCTCCCTCCTTTTTTTTTTCACCATCTGTTTCCTCTTCTTTATTAGAGTATTTTGTTTCAATTCTAAACGGATGAATCCAAAAACCACTCTCATCTCCCTTATGTTTCCGCTTCCTCGCTTTGTTCTTCTCATCTTCTCACTATCGTCCCATCTGTGCTCCTTCTCACTATCGTCCCATCTGTGCTCCTTCTCACTATCGTCCCATCTGTGCTCCTACGCACTTCAAAAAGCGCATGTGCGATAAACATAAGGGAGATGAGTGGTGTTTGCGCGCGATAAACACAAGTACACCACTTTCGCAATATCATCCATCTATCTCCTTCCACTCTCATCCCACCCACCTTTGTGATGCCCCCAATCCCTCCCCTCTCTCTTCCCCTCCCCGCTCCTCTTCCCCCAACCCCTCCCCCTTCCTTCTCAACTTGCAAAACATCCTTTTCTCCATCCACACAGCTTCCAGCACAGCTTTTAGTTAAGTGTCAGCGGCTACACACGGTTACCCTACGGGGCAACGCAGTTACACTGGAGCAGTTTGAGCAGATGGAGGGGTATGCTCAGTATGAGGAGCGGCGGAAAACCAAAGTGGACAAACGGATTGCTGCCAATGTGTTGCTGAACGATCAGAGCTTGGATATTGGTATCGATCGCACATGACAAGGTGTAGACATTAGAAATATTCTGCCTCAGCATAGGGATTGCATCAGAGTTAACCAAAGTGTACAATGAGCAAACTTTGGATATAGGGATTAATCGCACATGACCCTCCATACTGCTGTGTAATATTAACTGCGTATCGTATAACGTGTGTTAAGGAGAGACAATGTGTTGTCATTATTACCGTATGTTCAATGATCAAATCAAAGCCTAGACACCAGAAGAGGGGAAAATTTCCATGAGAATCTCAACCGATTACTGCAATGCAAGCTATTTATGTTGCAGGTATAATACAATACCGTATTCTTCTCTCTGGCACTTATTATTTCATTGTAGTGCTTAAAAAACCAAACACTCTTGTCTACAAATGGATCTCGAAAAAGGTGAACGAACTCGTTGTAGGAAACGACAATACACAAAGTATGCATCTGCCTCTTCCCTCCCGCTCCTCATGATTTTTTTAGTTGACTCTGAAGTCATATGCATGTGCCTGCTCGCGCTCCTCATTATTTTTTTAGTCGACTCAGAAGTCATATGCATGTGCCTGCTCGCGCTCCTCATTATTTTTTTAGTCGACTCAGAAGTCATATGCATGTGCCTGCTCGCGCTCCTCCTCATACTCCAGCTGGAGAAACAAGAGGAGAATTGAGGAAAGCGTGGGGCCGGGGGCGGGGGAGAGGAGGAACCAGAGTGGAGAATGGAGGAAAGAGCACAGTGAATGAGAAAGGTAGGGAGAAGGGAAAACAGGAGTGATAAGGAGCATGTGCCCTGTTCCCGCTCCTCCTCATATTCCAGCTGTAGAAACAAGAGGAGAATTGAGGAAAGAATGGGGGGCGGGGGGCGGGAGAGGGGGGGGGGGAGAAAAAGGAGTGGAGAATGGAGGAAAGGGCACAGGCACAGTGAATGAGAACGGGTGGAAAAGGATGAAAAAGTAGGGGGAAGAGGAAAGGAGGGTAGCAGGTGAAGGGACAGAAGAGGAAAGGAGGGTAGCAGGTGAAGGGACAGAAGAGGAGGGGAGGGTAGCAGGTGAAGGGACAGAAGAGGAAAGGAGGGTAGCAGGTGAAGGGACAGAAGAGGAGGGGAGGGTAGCAGGTGAAGGGACAGAAGAGGAGGGGAGGGTAGCAGGTGAAGGGACAGAAGAGGAGGGGAGGGTAGCAGGTGAAGGGACAGAAGAGGAGGGGAGGGTAGCAGGTGAAGGGACAGAAGAGGAAAGGAGGGTAGCAGGTGAAGGGACAGAAGAGGAAAGGAGGGTAGCAGGTGAAGGGACAGAAGAGGAAAGGAGGGTAGCAGGTGAAGGGACAGAAGAGGAAAGGAGGGTAGCAGGTGAAGGGACAGAAGAGGAAAGGAGGGTAGCAGGTGAAGGGACAGAAGAGGAAAGGAGGGTAGCAGGTGAAGGGACAGAAGAGGAAAGGAGGGTAGCAGGTGAAGGGACAGAAGAGGAGGGGAGGGTAGCAGGTGAAGGGACAGAAGAGGAGGGGAGGGTAGCAGGTGAAGGGACAGAAGAGGAGGGGAGGGTAGCAGGTGAAGGGACAGAAGAGGAGGGGAGGGTAGCAGGTGAAGGGACAGAAGAGGAAAGGAGGGTAGCAGGTGAAGGGACAGAAGAGGAGGGGAGGGGAAGGCAGAAGAGAGGACGAAAAGGAGAACACCGGAGCGAAATTGGTCACAAGTGCTTCACAAATCCTTTTCCCTCTCTCAAGGCTCAAGCAGCCAGCCTTGCTTGCCACTTCACATGTATGAAGAAGTGTTTTGAGACGTCTCAAAATACTTCACACATCAGCTGCTTGTCTACCCTGTCTCACTCACCTCGATGTGTCTTCTTCTTCCAGCTTTGCCTGCTGCAGCCCCCTTTCCTCTAGCAGAAGCACCAGCACCGGCAGCACCACCCTTCCTTGCCCCTGCCCCTGCCCTTGCCGCTGCCCCCTTTCCTGCTGCCGCCTGCTGCTTCCCCCATCTCGCCTGCACACTCCTTTCAAACTCCATCTCTGCTTCCTCCTCCGCCTCCTCATCCTCCTCATCCTCCTCCTCCTCCTCATCCTCCTCCTCTTCCTCTTCCTCCTCTTCCTCCTCCTCCTCTTCTTCTTCCTCATCCTCCTCACTGTAATCCTCCTCTCCCCTTCTCCCACGCCCAGGCAACGCCAGTCTATCCCCCATATCTTCAATCTCCTCCTCATCCTCCTCCTCCTCTAAATCATACCCCTCAACAAACTCCACCTGAGGCTCATAATCCTCCTCCTCTTCCTCCTCTTCCTCCTCTTCCTCCTCCTCCTCCTCTTCCTCTTCCTCTTCCTCTTCCTCTTCCTCTTCTTCCATTTCTCTGTCCTCCACCCCTTCCTCCCCTCCAACCACCTTCACTCTCTTCTTGACTGGGCCGTCCTCCTGCTCCTCCTTCTCCTCCTCCTCTATCCTCTTTTGGAACTGCTTCAGCGGGAAGTTATAAAGCTCGCCGTACGTTCCGCTCTGTAGCCGCTGTAGCAGCTCCTTCTCAATGGCCTGGACAGTCGAGAGTAATGCAAGAATAGAAACAATCTTATTGCAGATATAGATGTGTGTGCGTGTGCGTGTGCGTGTGCGTGTGTGTGTGTGTGAGTGTGTGTGTGTGTGTGTGTGTGTGTGTGTGTGTGTGTGTGTGTGTAATAAGTGGATCCACATGCAAATGCATAGATGTAGATTGAGATTCACCTTGAGAGCATTGTAGAAAACGTGAAGAGAGAGAGACACACACAGCCCACACACACACAAACACATCGTGCTGGAGGAGCCCTATCATCCCCCACCTGTGCTCTATCAACACTGTGTGAGACTCACTCTGTCAATCTTGGCAGCCGTTTCTGCCTTGGCCTCCCGCTTCTCATCCCTCTTCCTCATTTTCGTCGGCATAGTGACGAGCTTGGGCCTGAGTGGGTAGGGGAGGGAGTGTTGGAAGCGAGTCAACCGAGTCAATCAAGTCAATCGAGTCAATCGAGCCAGGAGTGAGACACATGCCAGTCAATACGAAGCGTCAATAGTGACACCATGCTCTGCTAGCAGGAAAATACACTGACGAAATGTACACTTGTAAATATGAATACAAACATGTATGTACGTATGTACATTTGTATATATATGTTCCTCTCACTGTTATTCCATTGGCCAGCAGGCACATAAGGATACAGGGATAAAATCAGGGAGAACCAAGCTTCATACATGTATGTGTGCGCATTCACACATGACAGATACACGTGTACGAAAAATAACATTCTTCCACTCACTGTATCTTGACGGCCAGTCATCACACACGGATGAGGTGCTGAGTCAACCGAGTCAAGCAAGTCAAATGCCTCACGACAGATAATTGGTCTCTCAAAAGATGTATTCTTCAACTCACTGTATCTTGACGGCCAGTCGGCGCATGCGGATGAGCTACTAAATCAACCGAGTCAACCGGAGCTTCACACATGTACGTATATCTATGTATATGTTTGCATTCATTCTTCAACTCACTGTATCTTGACGGCGAGTCGCCGCATGCGAATAAGGTACTGGGTCAACCGAGTCAACCGGAGCTTCACCAGTGAGACCATACGAGGCGGCCACCATTGCTGTGAGGGAACGGGTAAGCAAGGTAGGGGAACAGAAGAAGGGTGAAGAGAGCAAGGGACGAGGGAGGTAAGGAGGTTCCGCCTTTCAGAGAAGTCAATTGGAGCTTCACAAGAGAGACCATGCGGGGCCGCCGGCCACCATTGCTGCGAGTGGAGGGGAGAAGCAGGGGAAAGAAAGAGAGAGGAAGGGAGGAGGGAGAGAGCTGCACCCATCAGAGAGGTCAGACGAAGCTTCACAAGAGAGACCATGCGGGGCCGCCGGCCACCATTGCTGGAAGGAGAGAGGAAGGAAGGAGGATGGGGGGAAGGGCAGGTAAACAGAGGGACGCTACACCTTTTGAGTGGCCAATCATTGAGCCACTAATAACATCCATCGGCGGCTGCACCTTTGACTTTTGAGTCGACTCATAGTTTTGAGGCGCCTCAAAACTGGTTTTGAGGCGCCTCAAAACTGCACCTTTGACTTTTGAGTCGACTCAAAAGCCAATCTCTGAGCCACTAATAACATCCATCTGCGGCTGCACCTTGTGAAAAGATTACAAATTGCACCAGAGTAGGTGAGTCTACAAAATGTCAAAATCCTTCCATGCACTCACATAACTTCTTCAACTCGCTCACTCACTCATTCACTCACTCACTCACTCACTCACTCACTCACTCACTCACTCACCAGAAACTTGTCCACTGCTTCCAGTGCCTTGGTGTAGTTTCTTGGAAGCTTCACACGCTCCCAGAGCTTGTTGGGCATGTGTGCTCGCTCGATGGTCTTCATGTAGAGAAACAGCTCGCCTGCACGCATGTGTGTGTGTGGGAAGAGACAAAAGAGTCAACAGGGTTTGTTGAATGTATTTGTCCGCTCGCTCAATGGTCTTCATGTACAGAAAAAGCTCGCCTGCACGCACGTGTGGGTGTGAGAAGAGACAAAAAGGTCAACAGGGCAGGTTAGGCATGTGTGCACGCTCGATGGTCTTCATGTAGAGAAACAGCTCGCCTGTGAGTGGGTGGGTGGGTGGGTGGGTGAGTGGGTGGGTGAGTGGGTGGGTGGGTGGGTGGGTGGGTGGGTGGGTGAGTGGGTGGGTGGGTGGGTGGGTGGGTGGGTGGGTGAGTGGGTGGGTGAGTGGGTGGGTGGGTGGGTGGGTGGGTGGGTGAGTGGGTGGGTGAGTGGGTGGGTGGGTGAGTGGGTGAGTGGGTGGTGGGTGGGTGGGTGAGTGGGTGAGTGGGTGGGTGGGTGAGTGGGTGAGTGGGTGGGTGGGTGGGTGGGTGGTTGCAGGAAGAGACAGAAAAGTCAACAGGGCTGGTTGTGTTGGGCATATGCGCTCGCTCAATGGTCTTCATGTACAGAAACAGCTCGCCTGCACGCACGTGGTTGCAACAGATGTGAGAAGATCAACTATGTTCATAATCTTTGAAATGAGGGGAGAGGGGGGATGTGTGGGGAAGACGAAGAGGGAAGGAGCCGTGGGAAGAGACGTAAGCGGAGGGGAGGGGAATGAGCCGGTTGGATGAACGCATTACCGTCGTGTTCGCGCACTGTAGCGTAGCGGCTGTTGGCCAATGGGCACACGCCACGTTTGCAGATGGCGTTTAAGTTGAACGGGTGTCTGCAGAACGTGTCCGTTTGCTGCCTGCATAGGTTGACACGTGGCGGACAGAGGTTGACATACGTCATCAACAGAACGGTTGGGCGGGGTACAGAAGGGTTGGGCGGGTGAGATGCACAACGGTCGGGTGGTGAACAGAGGGTTTGGGCGGCACCCAAAAGCGTTGGCAGCACGCAAACGGTTAGGCGACAGACAGAAGGGCTGTGGCTGACTGAAAGAACCAGCAATATCTGTGAAGATTCCCAAATTTGCTATTACACCCTGAACCCCGAGAAACCCTTCGACAGACATCACGTTGCCTGTCAAAGAAGATATGAAAAGCGAACAAATTTACGCAGAAAATGGTAACAATAAAGAAACGGATCGGAATGAAAGGCGAAGGAACGCACTTGACTCGGTAACTGCAGGGACCTTTCCCGACAAGGCCCCAGATGACGTCATCATGCTGCATGGCCGCCGCGTGATCCGCCTCTGCCTGCCTGGCCGCTGTCCTCTGGCCGCGTTTTTCGCTCGTCGACTGCTCTCGACGCGTCTAATGCGCGCCTGCTGTGCGCTGTCTGCGGTTTCCGGAGACCCACCGCCGTCCAAAATTCGTGGTGATAAAGTACTCCCTCGAAGGCCTGCCTACGGTTTCCGAGTCGCCCAGAGAATCGCAATAATGAATGCCCTCGATCCCGCCTCTGCGCTCCCTTTTTGCCTGCGTGGGGCCAGCGGTTCACAGCGCCTCGCTAAACCCGAAAACTTCGGAGGATAAAAAATTCTAGCTTGCGACGACGGGTGCACTATGGCGACGCATACGGCGGGACAGGGGCTTGAAACGCGGTCGGCAAGGCGAACGTGCTTGTCCTAGTTACGAAGCACGAGTGAACTGCGCACGCCTTGTCTCCGCTTCGTCTAGAAGACCACATAAATCAACACAAGGAATGGAGCGATTTTCCATCATAAGTAAATGCGGAGAGAAGTTTGGGAATGAATGGAGGAGGCACACCAGCGAAGTGGAACGGGAACGTAGTGAACGACTAGAGCGAGTACATTCTCGACAGAGCCATTTCATCCACAACCGTCACAGTGGTACTCGATACAGGCTAATTGGAGAAATATGATGCGCGAATATTGATTATACTAGTAGAATGTGTAAACAACCTTTGCTATTTGTTTGCTCAAAAGTCTTGAAGTCTTCTGTCAGTTAACTTTCCAGGTAAGCTAAGAAACCAAAAAAATGCCGTCAATCACAGGCTTGCTTGCTTAATCAACTTGATTGATGTTGCACCTCCTCCTTGCAGACAGGACAGACCTGTCATCCAGACACACAAAGATGGGCAGAGCATGTGGTAGTCATTGATCATTCACATCACAGGCGCATATGACAGCCCAACACCCAATAGTGGAGCAGCAACGCAGGAAGAGAACAAGTGCTCAATAAGTAACCAATTCCACTGGGTAATAGAAAAACCCTAAGGCGCCCCAACATAACCAACAAGTAGGGTAACTTACCTTATTCTGACCCAACCATGTGTGTTTAAGTCCGCTCAAAGTTCAAGGCTCACCTTGTTGTGCCGCAAGCAAGAGAAATACGTTGTCCGCTCAGGGTTAAAGCCTCACCTTGTTCTGCCCCAGCCACTGCAGGACACAAGCCTCGTGGTATGAATGGTGGCATGGCGGCAGCAGCAACAACTCTCTCAATAACTCATCCCAGTTCTTAAAAGCTCCCCAACCATTGTTCTGCAGTCCGCTCAAGGTTCTAATCTCACCTTGTTCCGCCCCAGCCACTGCAGGACACAGGCCTCGTGGTATGAATGGTGGCACGGTGGCAGTAACATCAACTCCTCCCCTTCCTCATACTCCAGCTGGCAAATGGCACACCTGATGGACAAATGCCACATGAGAGATGACGGAGCCAGGGCATAGACAGGGAAGAGAGTCAGTGGGGGGTGGGACACAACGAGTGGAACAATCATCGAGCTGCAAAGATGCCAAGGGTTAGAAAGAAACGGACCCGTAGAGTTGTTAGCCCAAGATTTCAGCGGGTAACTTACATGTCCTCGCCTCGCCTCAGGGGGGTCTTGGTGCTGTATGCAACACGTGGCAGCACGTCAATGGTTGCTTGTGCCAACCCCTTGCTCTCTGTTCCAATCACCTCTCCCAGAGCAGTCAGCTCCTGCAGCGCACACACAGAACAAAAAAGAGTGATGGGCGATGAAACAAGTGATGGGCGATGAAACACGTGATGGGCGATGAAACAAGTGATGGGTTTTCCTCCTCCTGGACCCACCCTAGTGACAACGAAAACTGTGAGCTGCTCTGCTCTGCACCACTTCCAGAACTGCAAGATCTGATACCGTACCATACTATGGCACCATGCCATACAATATCAGGCTATTCCATGCCATGCCACATGTCGGATGGACATACCATGCTTTCATAAAACTAATGAAAAGGTATTAAGACAACATCTTACCTCGTACCCGACACCCAGTGCAACCTCCTCCTCCCCATCCTCCTCCTAGGTGTCCTCATCACCCCATCCTCCTCCTCCGTATCCTATTTTTGAGTCAACTAAAAACTGGAACTCTCACCTCGTAACTCATCTCATCCACATCCAGTGCATCCTCGTCGAACCCACCCCCCTCCTCCGTATCCTATTTTTGAGTCAACTATAAAAATGAAATCTCACCTCGTAAGTCATCTCGTCCACATCGAGAGCATCCTCGTCCTCCCCATCCTCCTCCTCTGAATCCTCCTCCTCCGACTCCTCATCACCCTGCAACCACAGCAAACGCCCATAACACGAGTGCTATTGAACAGCGTAGAGGAACAGACATGGCAAACAGCTTTCCCTGCCAAAAAAAAAGAGACTTCATTCTGCACCTTCCCCCATTCTGCATTTGACATGACACGACTCAAAAGCTTCCCCAATCTCCTTCTCGAAGCATAGGACCTCTCTGTCACCCCACAAGCGTTCGCTCCACTCCCCCATTCTACCATCCCCCTGTTATACTAGGTCATCCTTGATTCCTTTCGAGAATTCTCAAAAGTAACATCAACACTACCCCACTCCACTCCCCCATTCTACCATCCCCCTGTTATACGAGGTCATCCTTGATTCCGCTTCAAAGTCACCTCGCATTCTACCACCTTCTAGTTTTCCAGGGGGAACGGCCAGAGAGTGAGCTCTAAGTCCAGGCAACTGGCTCATCTCTCCCTCGGCAAGGCCAGGGTCTCTGCGATGACACATGCAGTGCTGCCATCGTACAAGAGGCGAGTGTGATAAGTCAATTTTTTAGTCGACTAAAAAATGGACTTATCAGTCCAGGCAGCTGGCTCATCTCTCCCTCGGCGGCAAGGCCAGGTTCTCTGCGATGACCTATGCAGTGCTGCCATCATACAAGAGGCGAGAGAGTTGACTCTGCTCTCCGTCTCAAGCCAAACCACTCTTGTATGACATCGAACAGTCACTTCCATGACTCGTAGTCAACTCACCTCTCCCTCGCCAAAAGGCCACGCGACGCCATGCGCTGCTGCCAGCATCTCCGCTCTCCCCATTGACCTGGAGCAATCTCGGTACATCATATAACGGGCTCTCACAGTCAACTCACCTCTCTCTCGCCGAAAGGCCACGCGACACCATGCGCTGCTGCCAGCATCTCCGCTCTCCTCCTCGAGCTCGACCCTGAAAGCCAAAAAGGAAGAGGAAAAACAAGGGACCACGGGCCAACAGAAAAAAATATGTAGAACAGCTCGCATTGAAATGAGTGGCAAGGGATTGGTGCAATGCATAGAGGTACGCATTCCAAGGGCTGGCAGATACCGTTGGCCATTGTGAGGCTGTGTGTGACGCACCTCGGCCATCGCTCAGTTGCAGCCCAGCCATGGCGAACAGCCTGCGAGCCATCTCGCGCTCTTCCTCCTCCTGCAGCGCACGAGCAAACGCTTCGTCGTCCTCGTACGCTCCCTCCCCTCCCTCCCCTGCATCCCCTGCCTCCCCTCCTGCACTCCCTTCCTCTCCTTCCCCAGCTCCCTGCCGCGCTGCTTCTCCCCTGAGGACACCTGACGTGTTTCCAAAGGTCTCGGCTTCGCTGCCGCCGTTCTGAAACAGCTGTCGCTGCAACGACGTACTTCTGGTGCAACTTGACTCGCGACCCGGCTCGTTCGCAGCCTCGCCTCCTCTTTCGCCAGTTTCGCCCATTTCGCCATCTTCGCCCGTTTCGCCATCGTCTTCGCTGGCTTCCTCCCATTCGCCGTACTCATCGTCGTCCGCATCCGCGAATTCCTCCTCGTCATCGGGATCGTCTGCCTCGAGCTCCTCTCCCTCGCTCAGAAGCACAATGGGATTATCTACCGACGAGCCTGTCTGACGGACTTGACGGTCCTGACGGTCTTGACGGCCTTGGAGCCGTCTGGAGCTGCTTCTAGCACCAGCGCGAGAACCCGAGGCTGACGTGGACGCTGCTGCTAATGCTTGCTGGTGGTAAAGCATCATAAAAGCACACTCCTGGGAACACGAAAAGAAAGAAACGGAGGATGAAAACAGCGACCGAAAATCAAGACATAAACAGATTCCTAGTAAGGTCAAGCTTAGGTCAAGCTTGTCCTCTTTCTCCTCAGTGCAGCCCTCCGAATCCTGAATTGCATATTTTGAGACGTCTTAGGATTAGTTACTGAACAAGTTCTAAGACGTCTTAGGATTAGTAACTGAAGGATTAGTTACTGAACAAGTTCCCTCGTTCAATCAGCGCAGAGTCTACCGGTCCTCTTGAGATCAGAGCACAGCCTACGGTCGTCCTCCGATGAAGCCTATCTGTCCTTCGCAGATCGACGCGAAGCCTACCTGTTCCTGAATCGCACGAGCGAGAGCCAAGTCGGCCTCCAACTGGCTGTTCTCGGTAAACGGAGTTCGGCGACGGCTTCCGTCTTCGCCTCCTGACTGACCGGCTACCTCGCTGTCTGCTTGACTGACAACCGTCTCGTTCAGCTCATTCCCGGCATCGCCTGATACTTCCGGCCGTTCAGCGGAGACGGGAGAAGCAGAAGATTCGCCGGATTTTGCAAGATTCCTGGAAATTTCACCGTCAGGTTTACTGGATGAAGCTCCCACTGCTCTAGTTGGACCACTCATTGTTTCAGCTAGATCGGAGGATTCGGCGAGAGGTGACGGAGAATGCTCCTCTGGATGGTGATGGTTACTAGATGAGCCCATGTGCAGAAGAAAAGGAAGAAAACAGAATCTGTAACCCTGACGAAGAAACACTGAGTACGAATGCAAGGGCTCTACGGAATTAGACTAGCCCACAGAAGGCAAACCCAAGTGCTGTGAACGTGGGATACAACGGATTAAGAAGACCACTAAAGCTTACGGAGAGCTCAAGGTTGCGACTCAGGCTTAATCTAATGGTACACTGGAAAGAAGGAACTGTGAACGCCTGAAAAATGGATGGCGAATCTCTGAAGTCAAGGAAAACGGACGTATAGAAGACTAGAATAGATCCCTCACTGGCCTGAGAGAACCAAACCCAAGAGACAGGTTGCCTTGCCGCAAACCTTGGGTTTGTCAACCAACCAGTATGGGAGGCGAGAGACGGATGGCAAAATGGATGTGGATAGGGTAAATTCGGGTTGACCATGTGGTATGACGTGTGGATGAAGTCGATGTTCGAGGTGACGGTCACTGCTTCAAACGAAGGCTCGGATTGGTCGTTTTTGTTTTTCGTGGAAAAGCACGAACTGTAGCCGTCAGTTTAGCGGTCCCTCGATTTGAGTTCGTCAGCGGAGCGCTCTCTGACGAATCACCGCCCCACGTCCCAAAATGAAGTTGGCGGGAAAAACTTGGACCTCTGCTCCTCGAGCGATTTCACCATTGCTGGAAGAAACGTTTGAGCTACACCGCTTTTGTAGCCTATATTTTTCCAAGAACCATAAACGCGAAACGAGACGCGCAACATCGAGAGACAAATTAACCAACAATCTCTATTCCTCCCTTTCCTCACACAAATGCGTCCATCTTTCCACATTCTCCTCGTTCTCCACCGTAAATCCCGGCAATATCGGCGTCGAAAAATGGCTAAGAAAGGGAAAAAGCAGCAGCAGGAACCTTCCGGAGGCGCGCCGCCTATAGTACCGGCGACACGCATCTCCTGGCCGAAACTGAGAGGGCACCGCGACCTGACGCCGCACCTAATCCGTGGCTGCGAAGTGTTCACTGTGAGGTCACTCCGACGCTCGTGATTATTCACACGACCTAAAATCCGGAATTTTGAAAACTCTAAACGTTCTGGTTCTCAAACGCCTTCCTCTTTCAGATTCTTTATGCTTCTTCAAATCCCTCCTTCATTCCAACTCCCTTTCTCCCCCTCCCCCTCCCCCCTCCCTCCCTCCCCCATTTTCTTCCCCTTTCCCCCCATTTTCCCCGTCCCTTTCCCCAGGTACCAGGAGCGTTCTCCCCTGAGGAATGCACGGAGTTAATTGTGCAGGCGGAGCGCGTGTAGTTCCAGTGGCAGGGCAGCGCATTCAGATCTCCCCCGCTCCTGCACTATTATCCCCCCTCTCCGCCCCCTGCCAGGTACCAGGAGCGCTGTCCCCAGAGGAATGCGCGGAATTTATCGCGCAGGCGGAGCGCGTGGGGTTTCAGTGGCAGGGCAGCGGTGGTCCGGCTAAGGGCGAGGCGTACCGAGACAACCACCGGATATCTGTTGAGGATAACGAGCTGGCTGGTGAGTCAGGGAGGAGGAAAAGGCGGGATGAAGAAGGAATAGGAAAGAGCAGTAAGGAGGGGTAAGGTATGAGCGAGTTGCAGGGGATACCCCAAGGGCGAGGCGTACCGAGACAACCACCGGATATCCGTTGAAGACAACGAGCCACCGGATATCAGTTGGTGAAGATATTCGTGGAACAATCATAGCCTTTTCTCTTTTCGTTTCCACAAGGCCACAATGCTTCGCACAATTTCTACGCATGTTTTTTTTTTTTTTGCACTGTCTGTTGCTTTTTTCCTGGGCAGCACACCTGTGGGACCGACTGGCCCCGGTGCTTCAGCCGCTGCAAGCTGGTAACCGCAAGGCGGTGCGTCTGAACCCCAACATGCGCGTGTACCGCTACAGCCGGGGCCAGCAGTTCGGCGCGCACATAGATGAGAGCGTGACAGTAGCGGGGGGAGGACGGACAGAGTATACACTCCTGGTGTATCTGTCTGGTGCCCCTTCCACTTGGGAAGGGCGGGAGGAGTGGGAGGAGGGAGAGGGATATCGGGAGGAAGGGGAGGAGCAGGGGGAAGGTGGGGTTGGGGCGGAGGGAGACGGGGAGGGAAAGGGGGAGAGGGATGGAGAGGGGGCGGTTGGGGAGGGAGCGAGGGAGGGAAATGGAGGAGAGGGACGGTGGAGGAGAGAGAAGGGGGTGGCAGGAGGTAGAGGGAAGGGTGGAGTCGGGAAGCAGCAACACCAGCATCAGGAGCAGCTGGTGGGAGGAGAGACAGTGTTTTATGTAGGGGCGAGGTCACAAGAAAGCTTCGAGGTGAGAATTGCTGGTTAGGTTGATCTCTGACCAATTTCAAACCACCATAAACTTCACGCTGTCCGGGTAGGATTATCGTCCGGCTGGCTGGCCGTCATGCTGTCCCTCTCTCCCCTCTCTCCCCTCTCTCCCCTCTCTCCCTTTGGTGAGTGTTTTTTGAGAATTCTCAAAAAACACTGGCCGCCATGCTGTCCGGCTGGCTGGCCGCCATGCTGTCCCTCTTTCCCCTCTCTCCCTTTGGTGATGTTACTTTTCAGAACTCTCTTGAGATGATGTTACTTTTGAGAATTCTCAAAAGAGAATTCTGAAAAGTATCATCGTCTGGCTGGCCGTCATGCTGTCCCCATCTCCCTTTTCTCTCTTTATTCCTTCCTTCACTTCCCTTCTCCCTCTTGCTCCCCTTCCGTTCCCTATTCCTCCCTGCCACTCTCTCCTCAGGTGAGTTCACAGGTGGGAATGGCATTGCTGCACAGCCAATGGGCCAGGTGCTTGCTACATGAGGCCAGGGAGGTGAAGTCCTCTATGTCTTTACTGTCCCTCTCTTTCCCCCTTTCTCTCAAAAAACAGGTGAGTCCAGAGGTGGGAATGGCATTGCTGCACAGCAACTGGGCCAGGTGCTTGCTGCATGAGGCCAGGTGCTTGCTGCATGAGGCCAGGGAGGTGAAGCTAGTGGCAATGGCAAGTCACTGTGTGTATGCCCCCTTATCTCCCCATATTCCTCCCCTTCCGTTTTTTCCTCAGGTGAGCCCAGAGGTGGGACTGGTGTTGCATGGGGCGAGGTGCTTGCTGCATGAGGCCAGGGAGGTGGAGACAGGAATGAAGTTGTCTCTCTCCTTTCTCTTCCTCCATTCCCTCCCTTTCCTTCACCCTGCAGGTGAGTCCAGAGGTGGGAATGCCCTTGCTGCACCGCCACGGGGCGCGGTGCTTGCTGCATGAGGCCAGGGAGGTGAAGGTTGCAGTCAAGTCACTTTGCTCTATCTCTACTTTCCTCTATCCCTCCCCTTCCAATCTCCCTGCAGGTGAGTCCGGAGGTTGGGATGGCGTTGCTACACAGGCATGGGGCGAGATGCTTGCTGCATGAGGCCATGGAGGTGAAGGCTGGAATCAAGTACGTGCTGCGCTCAGATGTGGTCTTCAAATGAACCCCCTTGTGATGACAGACTAGCTGTGAGACTTGTCGGACCATGCTTGGTGCATGAGGCCAGGGAGGTGGAAGGCAGGAGTGACGCACGTGCTCCGCTCCGATATACGGTAGTCTTCAGATGACCCGTTTTGCATATGTACATGACATGTTCACATGTACCATAACATTGTAATACCGTATTCTCCCGGACATAACACCCTAGGGTATAGCTAAAAATACAGGGAAAAAATGGGGGAGGTCCCCTCATAGGAAAAAAATACATAATACCCGGGTCTTTACATATGGCATATTTTAGTGTTAGTGTTTTTTAAATTAGTCAATGTGGGTGTTTTGCTGGTCGTTTTAGCATCACTGCCTGAGGCGCGAATGTCAGTTTCGGCCTCGAACTTCATCGCCCTCACGAAAATGCCATGTGACACCTCTCTTGCCACTTGCAACGGAAGATTCACCTGCACGTGGCAACAGAGAAATAGTGGGAGGGGGCAAATCTCGGCAGATTGCCTTTGAATGTACCGCGAAATTTCATTGAGGGAGAAATTCTCACGATATTCTTCCGTATTGCAGCTACTCGTTAACGACTATAATAATGAATCCGTAAGAATAGGGGGGTGTTATAGAAAATCAGCCAAAAAGGGGGGTATAGTAGAAATGAGGTCTATCATAACACCCACCCCGTACAAGCTACCCGGGGGTGTACAATTATGGGGGGGTGTTTTGTCCGGGAGTATACGGTAACAGAGAAGCAGTATTGATTGTTTGACACAAAATCTTTCCCTTTTCCAGCCAAGGTGCATGCATAGTCCAGTGACAAGTCAAGACAGGCTGCCTGCACAAGAAGATATTCAGATTCACAAACACTAAGATACAAAAATTGCAGCAGCAGCTGTACACGACTACACCCAACCAGCCTTCAACATTACTGGTAGGACATCTATTAACACAATATACAGCATTGGAGAAAGCAAGCAACTACCGTACTATAGCTGACATACCGTAGGTGCCTGCCCATGCTATCGCCAGCAGATACCACCGCCAGCGGAAACCACCGCCAGCGGACCACCGCCAGCGGATACCACCGCCAGCGGATACCACCGTCAGCGGATACCACCGCCAGCGGATACCACCGCCAGCGGATACCACCGCCAGCGGACCACCGCCAGCGGATACCACCGCCAGCGGATACCACCGCCAGCGGATACCACCGCCAGCGGATACCACCGCCAGCGGATACCACCGCCAGCGGATACCACCGCCAGCGGATACCACCGCCAGCGGAAACCACCGCCAGCGGACCACCGCCAGCGGACCACCGCCAGCGGATACCACCGCCAGCGGATACCACCGCCAGCGGATACCACCGCCAGCGGATACCACCGCCAGCGGATACCCCCGCCAGCGGCACTGTCATTATGCAGCCATTAGCTCTGTATTGTGTGCCACCTGCTTGGCACCAGCTTCGACATATTCTTTATTTGTTGACGCGCCATGCACCATGCACCATGCTCCATGCTCCATGCTCCATGCTCCATGCTCCATGCTCCATGCTCCATGCACCATGCACCATGTAGCTGCCATGCCCATGCCCATGCTCCATGTAGTCTCCAGGCCTAGTGAAATCTCAAAAACACCTCCAGCCCAGCCCACGCCTAGTGAAGCTCACTGAAACACGTGCCTGCGACCAGTAGTTCCGCCAGTGGTATCAGAGCCAGCGGTGGTCCCGCCAGGTCCCGTGCCCTCTGTGATATGCCCCACCTGCGCAGCACCAGTAGTGCCATGATGGCCAGTGGTACGCCCTGTGCTAGTTCCATGCTCTGTAGTCCCACGGCCAGGGCTATTAATGACACCAGCGCCATGCCCAGTCATCCCAGTGATGCCATACCCATGCTCCGCCCTGGTGCCATAATCTCCTCCACCTGTAGCGCCAGTGCCATACTCGTGACCTGTACCAGTGCCAGTACCAGCGCCAGCACCGTATTCGTGACCAGTGCCAGTGCCAGCGCCCATCACGCCGTGCTTCTCGTGGCGCGCCTCCTTCTCCGCGGCTTCCCTCTCCATCGCGCCCGCGATCTTGCGCTCCTTCTCCAGCTCCGCGTGCTCCTTCCGCTGCGCCTCCTTCGCGTCCGCAATCGCGCGCGCCTCCCGGCTCGTCGGATGGCGCGCCTTGTCCATGCTCTCCTGAACCTCCGCCTTGCCCTTCGCGACGGCTTCGCCGGTTTTCGCGCTGACCTCCGCCATCTTCTCCTTCGCCGCGGACATCATGTCGCCCGCCTTCTGCTTCATGCTCGCCATCGTAACCGGGTTACCCGAGAGAGGAGTTCGCGGTAGCTCAGCAACCAGGCAAGCGACAGGGGTTGATGGGTTGTTAGTAGAGAAAGGCTGGTATACGTCTGAGTCGTGGCTGTGGAAAATGCTGTCGAAAATGCCTGTGAATCGCCTATCAAAACTCGGAATGGTCTGGAAGAAAATACGTGAAGTGGCTTGGTCTTGTAAGAATAGGCCGGGAGAGAAAGAGAGGCATCGTGTCGAGGAGGGTTCGGTACGCCGTGTCGCGCCATGTTCGATACTGATGGTTGGTTGTGCGAAATTGTGCGACTCGAGGTGGTACGTCGAGTGCAACTAATGTAGTGAATCCGAACCAGCTGGCAGAAATGACGCGAAGACAACACGTGGCTACTAAATATGGTGCATGCTGGAATACAAAAAATGTAATGGTCAAAATAGTTTACTAACAGCTTTTAAGCGTCCTGCTATAGCTCAGTTGGTAGAGCGGAGGACTGTAGTTGAGCAATCCTTAGGGTCACTGGTTCGAATCCGGTTGGCGGGACTGTTTTGCTCCTTCCCATTGTGCTCCTCCAATGCCTGTGTCATCAATTCAGAAGCCCCTGATCAAAAGACCTTCGCCGGACCAGCGAGAATCCAGGTATGGACCAGGCCAGACCCGAGACGGACCAGCTGCGGACCAGGCAGGCTAGGTATGTTCTCCTCCGCCAAAGGTACTTTGTTTGTGCTTGTCGGCTACATGGTCGGGAGCACTGCTTTGCTTCGGAATTCTCGGTCTAGGTGCTTCCCCGAGCCTATACAAGACCTCTGAAATGACCAAGCCAATCAGCACGTCTGACACAAACCAAAACCTTCCATAAGCGTTTCTCCACGTGACATCCATATCACCGTCCGTCAAGAGGCTGTCCCCACACAGAATTCAGGGAAAGCACCGTCGTCGTCATCCTGTCGCCAGAAATACGCATTGGCGACAACACACGGTAAGTAACATGCGGTTAACGAGAACGCATGCGAGCTTGCGAATGCCCTGCGCGCGAGGAACCTAGGAGTTTCCCTCGCGATTTCACCCATTCCCAGGGTTTCCCTCCCCCGCCACACGTTAGCCTCCCCCTTTTCCCTCTCTTTCCACGCCCCCCTCCCTTGGAGGGAAAACCTAGGTGGCAGGAGTAGCAAGTTACTATGTTGTACTTTTTGCACGATTCAGGTTTCCAGTTACATGTTTTCCTTGTTTTACAGCTCATGGTGTCTCTGATCGCTGCGCCATGATTTGTTATTTGAGCAACATGCGTGAACGGATAGGGTGTCAGCAGACGTCAAGTTAATTTGTAGCGTTTTTAGCGCTTGTTTTGGATTCTTATATTCTTCGTCGGCCTACTTGTGAAAATCGCATCTTCTTCTGCTTCTTTCAGATCGTTGGATCCCAGATCATGGCAGCACGCGGAGTTACGATAGATTTCTAGGTTAGAACTTGCCGCGTTATTCAACAATAGTTGCGTATAACGGGAGTTTCTTCCCTGCAAATGCAGCTCTAGACCTACTTCGCAATGGCTAATCCCAATAGTAACCCTGCATTTATGGCGCCTAGGCCGTACATCCAGGGAGAGGGTATGGTCATGGACCATAGGGCAATGGGTATGGATCATAGGGGAATGAGTATGGACCATAGGGGTGTGAGTATAGACCACGGATCCGTAGCTCAGCCTTATCCTTCACAAGCTATGTCGGCTCACGGAATGGCAGCAGCACAAGGCATGGCACCTCAAGGCATGGCTCCACAAGGGATGGGGGCACCGCAAGGCATGTCGGCAGCACAAGGCATGTCAGCACCTCCACTTTCAGGCATTTCAACAGCGGGTGGCCTCTCAACACAAGGCATTTCGGGTCCAGGCATGTCAGGCTCAGGAATGCCCGGCCCGGGGATGTCCGGACCAGTCATGTCAGGACAAGGCATTTCGGGAACAGGCATGTCCGGTTACTCGTACGGGAGTCAGCCGTACCAGGTTCCGTTCACGCACATGAGACCGGCATTTGCGGCGCCCGATGCGTACCACCAGTTTCAGGACCCCGCGGTGTACCAGGGAGGAGGGTACGCGGCGGGCCAGTACGGAAGACAAGGGGAGGAGGAGTACCTGGTCGCGAAATTCTCCGTAAGTCCTTCGGATAGCTTCTTAGACGATTCAAACGGAATGGAAAGGGGTTGTATTCGGTAACGTACGGTGCGGGTCAATAAATCAGGCAAAAGGAGGAGGAGTACCTGGTCGCGAAAGTCCTTCCAACGCTAAAAACCGTTAAGAACCGAGCTGGCGTTCTTGCTTCGGTCTTCACTCGTGCCTGCCGTCGAGTCGTTCTTTCCGCTGTCGTCCGTGTCCGCTCTGGCACCTTATCAGCTTCTCAAGCTGTCGCTTTCCGTTCCGACGACCTGCGTAGCTATTCTAGAAACCGCATTTGCTCTCCTGATCTAACCCCCGGACTCCTAAGCGCAGTAGCGCGCCTGAACCTTGTTTCCTTCCTTGCCGTTCTGATCGCCACTTATTAGTCGATTCACGCGTTTGTGCGCGTTCGTGCGCCTTTGTGCGCATTCTTGCTACTTCGTACACAGTCATGCGCATTCGTGTGTGTGTTCGTGCGCTCACCAAAGCCCGCCCCTTCCCCACCGTCTGTGCGTTGCTGATGCCGTTTTAGGAGCACTCATGATGTCTTTTGACACTCCTCAAGAGTCGCATTCGTGTATGTTCGTGCGCTTACCAAAGCCCGCCCTTTCTCCCATCGTCTGTGCGTTGCGGGGGCTGTTTTAGGAGCACTCATTACGGCAGAATGCGCCCGGGATGGCTCCCACAGTGCTATCCGGCCAGGTGCGCCCCACTCGCCTCTCCTGCCCTTTCCTAATTGTCACGTTCACGCTTTCGTTATTGTCACGCCCACCTGCCCGGGATGGCTCCCACTGTGCTCTCCGGCCAGGTATGCCCCACTCGCCTGTCCTGCACCTCCTCCACTCTCGCTATTGTCACGCCCTCTCGCCTCTCCTGCACGCGTCATCTCTTGCCTTCCACTGGCCGGCCTCGCCCTCGCCCTCGCCTCTTTCGCCCTCCTTGCTAAATCGTATGTTCTGCCGTACGTATCTTTTGTCTCGTTGCCATTTCCTTCCCTCCAATGTGTAATGTCTTCATGCTTGATGCGTGCAGACGACGGGGGAGCCTTGGCCGCGGTTCAACAACGGAGAGGATCCGCTCACAACGAGAGGTCGCAAGATGGCGAGAGGAAAAGGTAGGATTCGGCAGTGTGATTACAGTTGAGGTCTCTCACCAGTAGGACCAATGGATCAACTTCTTGACGACATAGTTGTTTCTTTTTGGGGGGGGGGGGGGGGTCTGTTATTCTTTCCTGCTTTGCCTTGTGATAGGTGCAGGGTGGGAGCACGGGGATGCGGGTATGGGGCTCAACTCATCAGCAGGACCCATGGGACAGCCGCAGCAGCAGTCAGCATGCCGTTACGACAACTCTCTTGGTAAGATGCTTGGTTTGTCTTGTGCTCACACTGAAGCATGCACAGATACGATGGCCCTCCACAGTGTGATGCTGTGTCAACTACTCCCTTCACTCTCTCACTCAAGCTCTTTCTTCTCCTCACTTTCTCCACCCACCCACCCTCCCTTCTTGTCCGCTTCTCTCCCCCTCCCTTTCCTCCCTTGCAGGGCTTCTAACGAAGAAGTTTATAGACCTAATAAAGGGTTCAGATGACGGCACACTAGACTTGAACACTGCAGCGTCAACCCTGCAGGTACACGTGGCATCTTCTTTGCTTCTAATGTGTTGCATGTTGTTGGAACTCTCAAGACTTTTCGGTTGCATGTGCATCAAGCTGTAGCTTTTTTAGGCTCCTAACATATCTGCATCAAGCTTTTGAATAGCTCAGCCGAGTGGTCGGTGTTTGAATAGATATAGGACCCCGTGACTCGCTTTTGAGTCGACTCAAAAATAGATATAGGACCCCGTGACTCGTCATCGTGCTTTGATTCTCGTCATCGTGCTTTGATTCTCGTCATCCTTCTTATTCTATTGCTCTCCTCAGGTCCAGAAGCGGAGGATATACGACAGCACCGCATCATTCCCTTTGGTTGTGAAACTTGATGTTTACCTCTCCACGCATGGTGACTTGATTCGTACGCTGGGCTGTTCCTCTGCCCCCGTCAGGTCCAGAAGCGGAGGATATATGACATTACGAATGTGCTGGAGGGCATTGGGTTGATTGAGAAGAAAGGGAAGAACAACATTCAGTGGAAGTGAGTGGCTTGCTGTATGGAGCGTTTTGTCGGATATGGATAACGTAAGGTGTGTGTTTATAAATGTATTATGTGAGGTATGTGTGTGTACATTTGCATGTATTCACAAAGTATGTAAAGGTAATCAATTTCATAATGTTTTGTGTTTTTCAGGGGTTTGGAATGTGACTCGACCATCAAAGAAGATTCACAAATTCTACAGGTAAGTCCTCGGCAGAATTTGTTCACAAATGCTAAGCCTCGTCCTCAGCAGTACATTCCGTAATAAATCGGTGGAGCTTACTGTGAGTTTAGACAGGAGCAGCAACTCCTTGCTCACACTGAGTTCAGCCGGTGTTGCTCTCAGCTGAGCTTCATCAGCCGCTGTCCATTCGTGAAGGCAATCAAAGGGAAGCGAGTTCAGTGCAGGGCAGTTCAACTAGCTCGGTACCTCCCACATGTACCTCGCACAACTTGTTTGCTTCACACGCTCTTTCAGTCACTCGCACAGACTTTCCCTTTTGCGTCTGAGAACCATTGCTGCTCGAATGGACTCGGCCAACCCTGAAACGACTGGAGCTTAGCATTTGACAATGGTGAGCATTAAATGAGAGTTCAGCATGAAGGTAGGGCTTAGCAGCACTTGACTGGGAAGGGTGGCTGAACATGGGCAGGAGGGAATAGGGTTCATGGGAATGTTTACTGTTATGGGGTATTTGATCATCTCTATTTCCTGTGCTTCCCTCCCCCGTTGTGCTTCTCTCCCCCTTTGTTCAGGCGGAGTTGAATCGGCTCAGAGAGGAGGAGTTGAGTCTAGACAATGGCATCAAGTGCGTGTAATGCAGTTGGGCATGGCAGTGGGCGTGAGGGTATTTCTGTTCTGAGAGTTTTTTGACTTTTGAGGCGCCTCAAAAGATGGCAGTGGGCGTGAGGGTATTTCTGTTCTGAGAGTTTTTTGACTTTTGAGGCGCCTCAAAAGATGGCAGTGGGCGTGAGGGTATTTCTGTTCTGAGAGTTTTTTGGGAAATCTGGAAAATCTCTCGCCAGGAGTTGAGTCCAGTCAATGGTATCAAGTGCGTGTAATGTGGTTGGGCATGTCATTTCTCAATCTACGTTAATAGGGCTGACGATCCGACTATGGTCTTATGCCTCATTGTTGTTTTAAGGCTTCTCGTTGTCTTTACTTCCCAGCGTGTCTCAAACGCCGCCGCTGCATTTTAGTTTTATTATTTCTCTCTTCTTTTCTGTCTCTCTGTCTTTCTCATCGTTTTCTGCTTTTGGATTTGAAAACTCGTCATTCGTGTTTCTTTATAAGGTTTTAGTTGCTCACAAACCACGCGCATATCTGTGTCACTTGTGTTGCTCCAATCAGGGAAATGAGGGAGCGGTTACAGTTGTTGAATGAAGACGACAAGAGAAAACAGTAAGGCAGCCTCGCCACCTCACCTGTTTGACATTTTCTAGGCAACTGCCGCGATTTCTTTCATCGTTACCCAAGCTTATATTTCATTGTTAAAATTCACACTACCACTCTCTAATCTGCATCCATTTGGCTCTTGTAAGTCGCTAAGTCGCTTTGCCTGTAACCTGTCAGCCATGTGTGTACAACCTCTTTCTCTCGGTGTCTGCAGGTGGATGTTTGTGACAGAAGGAGACATGAAGAATGTGTGTGGGTGTCGTTGATTTATCTCATCTCTACCTCTACCGTTTGTGTCCAACCTCTTCGGTGTCTGCAGGTGGATGTTTGTGACAGAAGAAGACATTAAGAATCTGCCTTGCTTTCAGGTGACTACCATGTTTGATACTTTGATTTCCTCGCTCAGGCGACCTGCTCTCAGGTGATTTGCCTTTCCCTTTTCCTCTTTTTTTTTTTTCCCAGTTTGCTTGTTGCCTACCGCAGCTTTCGTCATGACCCTAATCCTATGTTATATACGACTGTAATGCCCTGTTGGTGCCCATGCCGCCTGTGCAGAACGAAACCCTAATTGCCATCAGAGCCCCACACGGCACCATGCTCGAAGTACCCGACCCAGAAGAGGTGAGCTGTTGGTATCCTCGCCTGTAGCGCATAGTTACTATGAGGTTCAAACCCAGCCAGCCCACCCGTGAAGTCCCTTCTTTGGTGTTCGCTCGACAATCACCGCCATGCCCCTCCAAGCTAGTGCAGCTTTGCACAGCGCAAAGTGAGACATTCGCTTGTTTAAGTTTCCCAGAGAAACATTCAAATATCATGCGACATTCCTCCTTTCACATTGCCATCGTCTCTACCAGGGCTTTGCACAGCGCAAGTACCAGATACTGCTAAAGAGCACCAGTGGGCCTATCGATGTCTACCTGGTCAGGTGGGTGCTTCTGTTATCTTTCTCTCTGTGTTGCTGCTGCTCCTGTTTTTTTTTTTTTTTTTAACTTTGTTGGCACTAGTGTGTCACGCGTGTTTTTTGTTTTTTGTTTGTTTTTTTTTTTTCGCCCCTTTTCTCCTTTCTGATGTTTTTAAATTTGTATTAATTTATTTTATTATATTCTTTATTTTGTTTCTTATTATTATTTTTTTAACCGTCTTGAAAATAGCCATGTGGTATATGTCCCACCACTGTGCTGCATTCCCCACAGCCGGTTTGAGGAGAAGTACGAAGGAGCTGCGCCTTCCCAGGCGGGTCAGCCAGACCAGCAGCAGCCGCAGCAGCAGCAGGGGCAGCCGCAGCAACCCTCGTACTCGCAAACTCCCAACCAAGCATACACCACACCTGCTGTGCTGGATACTCCTGGAGGAGCAGGGGCAGCGGCAGGAGCAGCAGGGGCGGGGGCAGGGGCAGTGGCAGGAGCAGGGACAGGGTATACCCCTGGGGGAGGAGCTGGGGGGGCAGGGGGAGAAGGGGGGGCAGCAGGGGCGGGTGCAGGGCGAGCAGGGGAAGCGCAGTCAGGCATCGTGCGGCTCACCCCTGCCGAATCACATGTATGTGGGGAGTCATAAGGGAGCATGGGGGGGGACTATGTGGGTGGGCGTGAGTCTAGTGAGTGCAATGGGAGCATCGGCGAGTAGAGAAAATGTCACGTGTGAAATGTCGGGTGAGGAGCATGGGAGCGAGTTGAGTGGCTTGGGCGAATGCGAGGAGACTTATGTGGCTTGTGCAGACTTATGTGTATAGTCCGCACAAGACCATGGGAAGCATAGTCAGGCAGGCATTGTGTGGCTCAGCCCTGCAGAGTCACATGTATGTGGAATGTGACGAAGGGAGTGCGACTTAGAGGGGGGGGGACTGTGAGTCGAGTGAGTGTGATGGGAGCAGGGGGAAACGGGGGAAGCACAGTCAGGCATTGTGCGGCTGACCCCTGCAAACTCTCTCCCGTAGTGTACACTCCCTCACATATTCCCCACTCTGCCTCATATCTCTCACTCCCTCCCATATTCCCCACTCTGCCTCATATCTCTCACTCCCTCACATATTCCCCACTCTGCCTCATATCTCTCACTCCCTCACATATTCCCCACTCTGCCTCATATCTCTCACTCCCTCACATATTCCCCACTCTGCCTCATATCTCTCACTCCCTCCTTGCCCATGGCAGGACTACTGGTTGCTGCCAGATCAGCAGTTGGGGCTCACAGACATGTGGCGACCTGATGGTATGTGTGTGCATAGAAAGGGTGGGTTAGAGGTGGTGGGATTAGGGGAGTGTTGCTGGCTGGGCCGATGGTGACTGTTGGTGTCTTCTTGCTACCTGCCGGATCAGCAGTTGGGGCTTACAGACATGTATGTACGGAGGGGGGCTGAAGAGGGGGGGAAGGGCAGGGGGCTTGATGGTGCGTGCAAGTACGTGCTAAACATTGCCGGCCGGATTAGCAGCTGGTATGTGTGTTGTTGTGTGGGAGCCCGTAGGGTGGGGGGAAGAGCAGGTGGCTGGCCGGATGAGCAGCTGGGACTTGCACTTGCAGACAGGTGGCGACCTGATGGTATGTGTGTGTGGAGAAGAGAGAGAGGGGGACTTGACGCTTCTGATGGCCCCTTACAATCCATGACTGAGGGACATGACATGCCCCATTCACACACAACCCCCTTCCCACTCTTCCGCTTTCTCTCCCTTACCTTTCCTCCCCCCCGTGCTCTTCACCCCTTCCCATTCCCCCATGGGGCCCATGGGAGGACCCCACTCGTCTGAACCCCTCGGGTGCAGGCATGCCTGGGGGAGGCAGCACCCCACATCTCACCCATTCTCTTTCTTTGACTCCCTCTGTTCCTCTCAACCACCCTTCCATTATCCAGGCCCATGGGAGGACCCCACTCGTCTGAACGCTTCTGATGCAGGCATGCCTGGGGGAGGCGGCATTCCACACGCGTTTGAAACCCCACCACACACCAGCACCCTTCCCAGCATCCACTAACTGACCGCCTACACACACCTCAAAGCAACACCGCCTCTCAACGCAACACCGCCTCTCAACGCTCCCTCAAGGATGCCTGGGGGAGGCGGCCCTTCCCATCCTTTCAAACGGCACTTCCCATGCGTTTGAAACGCTACCACACACCAGCACCATCCCCAGCATCCACTGACTGACCGCCACCAGTCTCTGTCCTAGGATTCACTGACCCCCTCCGGGCATTCGTGTTGGGGTATTGCATTCAGCCCCAACAGTCCACCTCTCATGCTGGCCACCTTCCCAGTGACCTCCCTGCTTCACCATCCATCGACATAACCACCAACTGCAAGCCACTCCACCTCCATGCCCCACCCATCCACTTAAAGCCTTTGAAATCAAGGGGTTCGAGGTGACGAGTCCAGCCTTCTGATTGGCCACGTTCCCAGTGACCTACATGCCCCGCCATCCATCCACACCCACATAACCCTGAACCTTGACGCAGTTCTAACCACATGCCATGCCACCCATGTGCTGGGTAGGTGGTGGTGCTGCTTCTAAGGCTAACCCCTCCTGCTTGCAGCTGCACGGCGTTTTCAAGACCCCTTGAGAAGAAAAAGAAAACGTGTACCTGCTTTGCTTTTAACAGCAAGAGATGGAGCTGCTACTTCCTCCTTGGTAGTTCCTTCGCTCCTCTGGTGTGGACATTCTCCAGGGGTCATGGTCTTTTGATCATTATCATCCTCCCTTAACTGGCTTGGCAGTAGCCCTTCCAATTCTGGGTTTTGTGTCTGTTGTTTGATTGGTATGATCTTACAGGTGAGTGCTAAAGCCTTTTTTTTTTATTCGTTTGGCCATGCGTTGAAATCATGTACTATGTGGTATCCTAATAAAAGTGCCTAGTCCTGTTTCACCTCGTTAAATTAGTAAATCTAGGGATTTAGTAATGATATAGTTTCATGGAAAAAGCTACATGAATTATGTATACATTGCGATACAGGGTGACTCGATCAGGCTGCCATCCACGCTTCGCGATGTTCTCTGGGTCTGTCTGACATCACACTGGGGAAGGAAGCAGTTCAAGGGAGGGGCCTAGGGGGTTTGCGTTTGAGTACGGTGCTAAGCAAAAACCAAGGTTTGAGAAACATTTCAGCAAGATTTGCTTTCCCTTTCACCACAGTTGGTGCAGAGACCCTCCTAATCCCAGAGCAGCACGCCGCATCCTCCGCCACGATTCGCGGAGCGTTCCCGTAGCAGACGCCTGCATCTGTCCAAACGCGTTCATTCACACGCGCGTTTCACGGAAAAGCGACGTAAATGCGACACACACTCTCCCCACAACGCGTCGCGACGTGAATGGGGTCGACAAGCTCCTAGCGTGGGATCCTATAATATATAAATACAGCTCCGCTCTGTAGAAGCTCGTTGCACAGGGTCAGAGAATCCATTCCCTCGATATAAGCTCCTCCCTGCTACAAAACCGCATTTGCCGGTTAAGCTATCATGGCGACGCTTTGCTCTCTACGATCAGCGGCAGCGATAAGTCTCCCGCCATTTCCCGCTCGCATTTCGTCCCAGTTCTCCGCTTCTAGTGATGCTGCCGGTGCTTTCGGCTCGCGATCTCGCTTAAGCCTCTCCCCTTACTCGTGTCCTTCCTCTTTCTCGTGGCTATCCCATCTCTCGTCAGGCCATCCCACCTCTCCATCCTTCCCTCGTCCCACGCCGTTCCTAGCTTCAACCCCCGTGAAACCCGCTGCGTATTGCGCTCGCGCGTCCAGACCTCCGCTCCAAGTGACCCGCGCCGCGACAGAACGGAGTGGCGCCAGCGGCGGCGGCGGCGGGGGAGGGGGCGGCGGGAAAAACTCCCCCAGCTGGGCGGATGCGCTGTGGCGCGGCACGCTGAGGCGCCTGGCGTCATTCCCGCTGGCCATCGGGTTGCTGTTCGCTGTTGCTGGGCTGTGCGCTGTGGGTGCGTGGATGAGTGCTTGTAGAAAAAGTGCTGTGGGTGTGTTGATGAGTTAAAAGATGCCACTCACTGAGTCTACGCACTGGTGGATGCGCTGTGGCGCGGCACGCTGAGGTGCCTGGCGTCATTCCCGCTGGCCATCGGATTGCTCTTCGCTGTTGCTGGACTGTGCGCTGTGGGTGCGTGGATGGGTGCTTGTAGAAAAGTAAATCTCGAATCTGACTTCAGATCATTGGTTCTATTCTATGGACCAGGTTCAACGGTTCAGATTCTCAATGATATCTCTAGGTTACATGCCACCACCTCCCATCCTTCCCCCAACTCTCCATTTTGTTCAAATTCTCGTTTAGCCTCGTTTTCCCCACCTCCTCCCACTTCATCTGCGCTGCCCCACTCCCACCCCCCAGGCACCTTGATAGAGCAGGGAGCACGGCCGTCCGATTACATGGTGCTATTTCCCGATGGCACCTTGCTGAGCTGGCAGGTCGTGCTGGCTCTGGGATTCGACCACGTGTACAGCTCGCCGCTGTTCCTCTCCCTGCTGCTGCTGCTCGCTGCCTCCCTTGCTGCCTGCACGTCAGTGCGCCAGCTGCCCATGCTCAAGGTCGCACAGAGGTGGGGAATACTGGTTGGTGAGGGTGAGGATAACGTCGTTGACTTTTGAGTCGACTCAAAAGTCACCTCAGAGGTGAGGAATACGGGCTGGTGAGGGTGAGGATAACAGTGTTGGCCCCTACGATATAAGCCACTCTTGATGGGACTCTAGAGTCGACTGCTGCTGCTGCTGCTACTGCTGCTGCTGCTGCTCACTGATTCCCTTGCTGCCTGCACGTCAGTCCGCCCGCTGCTCATGCTCAAGGTCGCACAGAGGTGAGGTGAGGGGTCTCACACACTGTGGTGAGCGCAAGGATATGTAGCATACAGAATGAAACGCAGACTGTTTTTATGAAAAATGATAATAAATACAGTGAAAAAAACAACACACACACACACACACACACACACAGTCACACAGTGTGGTGAGCCAAGGATATGTACTATTCGGAATGACACACACTTTTCTCCCCCTCTCCTCACCCTCCTCCTCACTTGCCCCCTCCTGTCCCCCATCCCCCTCTTCAAATCCTGTACGTCGACCGATCAGGTGGTCCTTCATCCAACGGCCAGAGTCGCTCCGCCAGATGGACTTCTCTGATTCGCTGGAGAGGGCGCAGATTGCTGACCTGGCAACGCTGCTCATGCGCAAGGGCTACCAGGTGCGGTGTGAGGCTCGGTGGGTGCGGTGTGAGGCTCAGTGGAAGAGTGGCAAGAGTGGTGGTAAGAGGGGTGGCAAGAAGATGGGATGCGCTTTCTATCTCATCACCACGCGACTTTTGAGAATTCTCAAAAGTCACACCACCACACCACGCGTACATCGCTGGTCCACAAGAATTCTCAGAAGTCCCTGTATGCTGCTATCTGGTGATGTCTTATCTCCCTCTCCCCCTCCCCCTTTTTTTCCCTACGCTCCCCCACAGTTCTTCCAGAAGGGCTCATCTATGTACGCGTTCAAGGGTCTGCTGGGCCGACTAGCGCCCAGAGGCGTGCACGCTGCTATGTGCTGATGTCTTACCTCCCCCTCCCCCTTTTATTCCCTTCGTTCCCTTGCAGGTTTTCCAGAAAGGACCATCTATGTACGTGTTCAAGGGTCTGGTGGGACGACTAGCGCCCAGAGGCGTGCACGCTGCACTGCTGTTTACCTTCCCTTTCCTTCCCTTCTCATTCCTCCCCTTCTTTTCCTCTTCCCCCCTTTCTTGCAGGTTTTCCAGAAAGGCTCATCTATGTACGCGTTTAAAGGCCTGGTGGGCCGATTAGCTCCCATCGGTGTGCACGCTGCGCTGCTATTGGTCATGGCCGGGGGTTGCTACAGTGCGCTGGGGGGTTTCCAAGGGACTACCCTCACGCCGCAGGGGTTAGACGTGGTTGTACCCTCTGCACTGCAGGGCAACAGCATCTTTGCCCGGCCTACCACTGCAATGAACATGCTTGTGCATGTGAATCGTTTTTACATCGAGTATCGACCGAATGGAGAGGTGAGGAGATGGAAAGAAGCTATTGCTTTGCTACTAGCTAGCTAGTATACACCAGCTGCTTCCCGTGCTTTCCTTGCCCGGCCCGGCCCACCACAGCCATGAAAATGCTGGTGCATGTGGAGTCGGTTTTAACGAGGTGACTTTTGAGTCGACTCAAAAGTCACCAAACACAACAACCCCCTGCGCAGGTGACTTTTGAGTCGACTCAAAAGTCAATTGCTGGTGCCTGTGGATCGTTTTTACATCGGTGCCTCACAACAACCCCCTGCGCAGGTGACTTTTGAGTCGACTCAAAAGTCACCAAACACAACAACCCCCTGCGCTGCCCACCTTCCCTCCTGTTTCTCCCTGTATCCGCTCCCTCACCCGCTCTTCACAACAGTTGAAGCAGTTCTTTTCAGACCTCGCAGTCACGGACCTATACGGCAGGGAGCTGCAGAGGAACACCATAAGCATCAACGACCCCTTGCGCTGCCAGGGAGTCACCATGTATCAGACCCACTGGGCCACACAATCACTGCCGCTTGCTCCCTGCCTCTTGCTCCGTGTGCTTTTCTGCTATCCAACTCTCTTCGCAACAGGTGAAGCAGCTCTTTCAGACCTGTCAGTGACGGACCTATACGGCAGGGAGCTTCAAAGGAACCCCATAAGCATCAACAACCCCTTGCGCTGCCAGGGAGTCACCATGTACCAGACCGATTGTGTCATCACAATCACTGCCCGTTGCTTTCCCTCTTCCCTGCCCCCCTGCCCCCCCTTGCCCTCTGCCCCTTGTGCGTTTCTGCTTCCCCACTGCCTTCCACTTTTCACGCCTACAACAGGTGAAGCAATTCTTCTCAGACCTGTCAGTCACGGACCTATATGGAAGGGAGCTTCAGAGGAAGACACTATCGGTGTCAACGACCCCCTGCTTCCCCCCTCGCCTCCTGTTTTCCACCCCTTCCATTAACAGGTGAAGCAATTTTTCTCAGACCTCTCAGTCACGGACTTATATGGCAGGGAGCTGCAAAGAAAGACCATCAGCGTCAACGACCCCCTGCGCTGCCAGGGAGTCACCATGTACCAGACCGACTGGGCGATCTCGGCCGTCCAGCTGCGATCCGACGGTGGAGAGCCCTTCAAGCTGCCCATGGCGTCGCTCCAGGAGCCGGGCAGCAGCCAAAAACTTTTTGGGACGTTCTTGCCGACGGGGGAGGAGGAGAATGCGGATGGGGGAGAAGCAACGACCACGGGCATGTGAGTTGGGACAGAATGAAAATTTTTGCGGGTGCGGCGGCCTTGTTTAAACGGATCCCTTCACATAGAAATTTCTCAAAAGTCACAGCAAACTCCGTGCCCCCACTTTCTCATCCCTGCAGAAGCACCGTTTCTCGCGACCTTCAGAACGTTCTGGGTGTGATGTGAAGGTCGCGAGCAACGATGCTTCTGCAGAAGCATCGTTGCTTGCTCCTTTACTTACGACTTCACGGGCGAGTTTGTGGGTGTGATGTGAGGGGCCCTTTGTCGAACCGAACCCCTTCACATCACACACCATCCCTTCCCTTTTTCTCGTCATCCTGGACCTGCAGAAGCATCCTTGCTCGGGATATTCAGTATACGACTCTAAGGGCGAGTTTGTGGGGGTGAGGTGGCCGGAGTCAAGCTAAACCCTTTCGCATCACATCACACCCGCTTCCCCTACGCTTTCCCCTTCTGCAGAAGCATTCTTGCCCGCGACCTGCAAAACGTGGTGATCTACGACTCGAAGGGCGAGGTCGAACTAAATCCCTTCACATGCCACCCCTTCCCTTACTTCGTCCCACCCATGCAGAAGCATTCTTGCCCGCGACCTGCAAAACGTGGTGATCTACGACTCGAAGGGCGAGTTTGTCGGGGTGAGGCGGCCGGGGTCGAACCGACCAATCACAGTGGAGGGGAAGAAGCTGGTGGTAGATGAGCTGATCGGCAGCACGGGGCTGGAATTGAAGATGGACCCAGGCGTGCCCTATGTGTATGCTGGCTTCGGTGCCCTCATGCTCACCACCGCCATCAGCTACCTCTCTCACTCGCAGGTACGCATCCCCTCTTGTGCACACTTTCTCCTCCCTCCTCTCTGACCAGAAAGCACAGGTTTCCAGCTGATTCTGGGATTGGCCTTGAGTTTGTGGGGGTGAGAGGGGAGGGGAGGGGAGGGAGAAGTTTGGAGTTGCAGTGGAGGGGAGGAGGCTGGTGATAGATGAGCTGATCGGCAGCACGGGGCTGGAACTGAAGATGGTCCCTGGCGTGCCCTATGTGTATGCTGGCTTCGGTGCCCTCATGCTCACCACCGCCATCAGCTACCTCTCGCACTCGCAGGTACGCATTACCCTGTGCATTGCACATACTTGCTCGCTCCTATGAATCCACTGTCGCCGGGGGGATGATTGTAGATGGGGAATGTGGGCTTAGGGTTTCCCTATGTGTATGCTGGCTTCGGTGCCCTCATGCTCACCACTGCTATCAGCTACCTCTCGCACTTGCAGGTGAGATGGCATGGCATGGCATGGCATGGCGTGGCATGGCATGGCACGGCATGGCAGGGTAAAGCAGTAGCGCAGGGCATGGCATGTGGGGTGAAGTAAAGTGAAGCCACTTCTGAGTGCCTGGGTAGCGGGTGCTGCTGATCAAGTAAAGGGTGAAATCCCACTTAGGTGCTGCCGTGCCCTTTCCGTATGCTGGGGGCGGCACTCTCATAATCACCGGATTCACACCCCCGATTCAACCCGCCTCCCTCCCTGTATGCAGGTGTGGGCATTGCAGGTGGGATCAACGCTGTTTGTGGGAGGGAAGTCAAACCGAGCCAAGCTCACTTTTGAGCAAGAGATTAACTCCGTTCTTGACCAAGTGCCGGAAGTGGTAACCGCATCTGACGCTCTTGTAACAGCTGCACCAGCATCATCAGATCGCCCAAATGTAGAGTAGAGATGTGAAATGGATAGAATGAGTTCCACTGAGCAAGAAATGGTTTTAACATTTGTGCGATACTTGCAATGGTAACCACCAGAGTCCCCAGTTTTGTGAGCTGCATTTTTGCAACTTCTGTAGAACATACAGTAACAGTGCTTTCTAAGGTTTCATTTATTCAAAGCCATACTGTACCAGGGTTATAAACAAATGTTGCAATACAATACCCATGTGCAGTGAATGTCTTGGTGGAAAAAAACAGAGTAGAGGCCATGGCTCTACCGTTACCAGCAGAAGGCACCATGGTGAAAATCTGGAATTGCCTGGAAAATCTAGTGGTGACAGCAAATGAGTGTGGACAATTACAGTAGTAGCTGGACAGTCATTTCCTACTATGGTAAAGAAAACAGGAATATCATTTAGCTTGAGTTGAGAATGTGTATCCTACACTACCTTTGAATTGCTACCTTGAGTCTTGTTGCACTTTGCATGCGTAGATTCTTACGGTATCCCCTCATGCCACCGTTGGTGACCAGCGGTTGGTCGTTTGAGAGCTGGAGCGTGAGAGACTCCGATGCTGCTACAAGCTGCTTACTGATTCCCTTCTCATTGTTGCATGTTGCATTAATTCATACATTTCTTGCAGCCAGATCACTGTTTGTCATCTTGAGAGCTTAAGCTTGAAAGACTCCATCGCTGCTACAAGTTGTTCGCTGATTCCCTTCTCATTGGCCGAATGCCCGGCGTCTGGAACAATCTGTTACCACATGAAACAAAAGATACAGCTTCAAAGAACTCAAGAATGCACATAAAATATGTTGTTAAGGTGCATGCAAGAATGAGCACAGCAGAACAACGAATGGATAGTGATACAGGCGTTGCTTCATTCCGTACCTTGAACTCAGCTTCGGGCCAAGCCTTGTGGAGCTCCCAAGCCGACACAATTGGGCAAACCACGTCATACCGACCCTGGAAGTGGCCAGGCAAGATTACAGAAACGAGCCAGCACCAATGAGTAAACAGAGAGCAACCAAGATAGAAAGGTAACATCTGGAAAAAACAGGATAAGGGTAGGTATCCTTAGAACCCTCAGAACTCACCTGCACAATAACGCTTGGGATGTGTCTGAACTTGGGCACTGAGTCGAGATGGCTTCTGACTCAATAGTCACCTTTTCTAGGATTTTTAGACCTGGTGAAACCAACCTGAACGATGACAGCTGGGATGTGTCTGAACTTGGGCACTGAGTCAAGCAGGAAGGAGTCAGCCGGCAGGAAGCCTTTGTTCACAAAGTAGTGGCTCTCTATGCGCGCGAATGCCTGCATAGGGGTTGAGTGTAAAGGGGATACGGTGCATAGGGGTTGAGAGACGGGTGGCACCGCAGGAATGGCCGGAAGCCCCCTTGTTCACAAATTAGTGGCTCTCTATGCGTGCGAATGCCTGTGGAAGGGGTGAGTTGGGTGCAAGTGGGTGGGAGTGGAGTTGTGAAGAGTGGATTGACTCTTGAGGAGTCGGCCGGCAGGAAGCCTCCTTGTTCACAAAGTAGTGGCTCTCTATGCGTGCGAATGCCTGTGGGAGAGGTGAGTTGGGTGCAAGTGGGGGAGAGTGGAGTTGCCAAGTGTGAGTAAATTGACTCTTGAGGCGTCGCACTAATGGCAGGAAAGGAAGCCCTTGTTCGCAAAGTAATGCCTCTATATGCACACAAACGCCTGTGTGAGGGACGAGTGTGAAAGGTTGGGTGTGTGGTGTGGACTCTAAGCGACTGTGTGAATCCATCAGACAATCCAGGCCAGAAAACTTATAGATTCAGCACCGACAAAGGTGGTGAGAAGATGTGGCCCTAAGGCGCCTCATTTAACAAAGAAAGAAAGAGGAAAACGATGACAACAAATAACTTGCCAGAGCGAATTTATCGTCCTCGCCTCGTTTGAGGGAGTCCTCGTTGGGAAGGAGGTAGCTGGTGGCCATCTCCCACTCCGTCCAGTGCCGCGCTGCCGCCACCTGTGGTGTGACGGCAGGTGGGATGGGAGACTAGCAGCAGCTCTAAGCGTTTGAAATGCACAGCTCAAGGCAGCAGGCAGGCAGCAGGTAGCTAGTGGCCATCTCCCACTCCGTCCAGTGCCGCGCTGCCGCCACCTGGTGTGATGTGATCAATCAAGGATGATGGCAGGGAGGGAAGTATAGGGCAGGGCAGTGAGATGGGTTGCACGGTAACTAACAGTGAGGGGCACAGGCAGCAGGCAGCAGGTAGCTAGTGGCCATCTCCCACTCCGTCCAGTGCCGCACTGCCGCCACCTGGTGTGATGTGATCAATCAAGGATGATGGCAGGGAGGGAAGTATAGGGCAGGGCAGTGAGATGGGTTGCACGGTAACTAACAGTGAGGGGCAGCAGGCAGCAGGCAGCAGGTAGCTAGTGGCCATCTCCCACTCCGTCCAGTGCCTCGCTGCCGCCACCTGGTGTGGTCATTTACCTTGTCAATCAAACAAGGTAAATGACCAAGACACATAGAGCTGCAGTATCATGGTATCATGGAATGGTTGGAACGTAAAGTGTGTGTGACACATCCAGAATTAACGTGTCGGCCCCATAACTGTCACCACTTTCACGTGATAGGTCGAAGGTTTTGAGTGGGTTTTTGACGCGATTGGTTCTCGATTTTCCCACCGAACCTCCTTCTGGGGTTTTCCGAACTTACAATGTTTTCGTTGACTTCGTTGTGTAATTCGGGGTGTGGCCTTTAAGTACCTTATTCAAGAGCCTATGTGCGGCTTGGAACCATCCATACCTGCTGGTCAGGCTCGAAGTCTTCCATATCTGCTTGCCAGGCTCGGAGCCACCCATACCTGCTGGTCAGGGTCGGAGTCGTTCATAAGTCTCTTGTGGTAGGCTGTTACCAAATCTTGCTGCTCGTCCTTGGGAATGAATTCGCGGTACTTGTCAAACGCTGCAAGTGATTGTATTGAGTGTGATTGTAAAGAGGAAGGGGGGGGGGGGGGGGGGGAGGCGGGCAGGGAGGAGGATGCAACTGTTTTTAGATCGTGCTGCTCCTCCTTGGGAATGAATTTGCGGTACTTGTCAAACGCTGCAAGTGGGTTTATCAGGTGTGATTGTAAGGGGGGGAAAGGGTTTTGGGGGTGGGGAAAGTGGCTGGGAAATGGGGGAGGAGATTGAGGGAGAGAAGGGAGCGGGAGGGGGGACCACCTGTACCTCTAAAACAGCAGGCAGCCGATCATGAGAAAACAGAAACAGGTCACTGTTATGATCGGCATCACTGAAAGGGCACGAAGCTTTCCTTTCACACCCTCCTTTATCTCACCATCGGGGGAAATGGAATCAGCTCCCTTCTGATAAAACCACTCCACCTCCTTCCTCCTCAGCAGAAAGATTCCATTACAGCCCACCCTACCTTGCTGCCCACCCTCCCTTGCCATCCACCTTTATCTCACCATCCGGGAAAATGGAATCAGCTCCCTTCTGATAAAACCACTCCACCTCCTTCCTTCTCAGCAGAAAGATTCCCCGGAGAATCAAGCCTGCTACCTGCAGGTGTCAAAAGGGAAGAGTGGGGGTAGACATGGAAATAGTAAAGATGATGAAAAACGTCTCAGGGGGGAGGAAGGTTCCTTGAAACATCAAGCCCTTTAGAGGAATGAATGACAGGGGAAGCGTGTGAGGGTTCACGAAAGTAGGCGAGGAGGTGGAGGGTGGGTGAAGCGTGTGAGGGTGCAGGGTGTTTTTGAGAATTCTCAAAAACACCCTGCAGCAGAATGAATGACAGGGGACGCGTGTGAGGGTTCATGAAAGTAGGAGAGGAAGTGGAGGGTGGGTGAAGCGTGTGAGGGCAAATGGTCTTCAATTCGACGAAGATATATATATATATATCTTCCTAAGCCCTATATATATATATATTCTTCGCATTGAAGACCACCAACAACATACCCTGTCTGGGTGCACGGCTGAATACACGAGCGAGAGGGTGGCGTACACTGAGGCGCCTCAAAAGATATCCTCCCCCCTCCACACCCCCCCCCCCATTCCCTCCTCCCGTCCCACTTCTGGCCACACACATACGCACATACCCTGTCTGGATGAGTGGCTGCATACACGAGCGAGAGAGTGGAACCCCATGACCCTCCAAACACCTGCCATGCACATGCCCACACGCATGCCCACACACATGCCCACACGCATGCCCACACACATGCCCACACGCATGCCCACACGCATGCCCACACGCATGCCCACACACATGTACACACGCGCGCGCAATCGCACACACACACACAGAGGAATAACAGGCGAATGAATCTGAGCTGAGCAGCCTATTTATATATCATGCACTGAGCTTCGCTCTGCCCAACACCCCACTCACTCACTACCACTTATCGACCCCCAGGTGTTTCCTCAGGGTCTCAATATCCTCCAGCATGTGCCACGTGGTATTATTTTCCAGGCACGCATGCGGTATCCCAAACATTTCAACTTGGTGTTCCTACTCACCAGCCACTTATCACCCCACTCACCAGCCACTTATCAACACCCAGGTGTTTCCTCAGCGTCTCGATATCCTCCACGAGGTGCCACGTGGTATTCTCCTCCAAGCAGGCATGGGGAGTGCTCCTGCCCGCGCCCCGCTGGTCCAGGAGGATGATGCGGAAGAACGTCGGGTCAAAGAACCGCCTGTTGGCCGGGGAGGTGCCGCCTCCTGGGCCTCCATGTAAGAAAATGACAGGCTGCCACAGGAAAAGAAGGGTGGCATCAGGCGAAAGGGGGGGGAGGTGAACAAGGGAAAGGAGTGTGCTCCTGCTCCTGCCGCCGCCCCCCCCCGCTGGTCCAGGAGGATGATGCGGAACAGCGTCGGGTAACAGAACCGCCTGTTGGCCGGGGAGGTGCCGCCTCCTGGGCCTCCATGTAAGAAAATGACAGGCTGCCACAGGAAAAGAAGGGTGGCATCAGGCGAAAGGGGGGGGAGGTGAACAAGGGAAAGGAGTGTGCTCCTGCTCCTGCCGCCGCCCCCCCCGCTGGTCCAGCAGCACGATGCGGAAGAACGTCGGGTCAAAGAACCGCCTGTTGGCCGGGGATGTGCCGCCTCCTGGACCTCCGTGCAGGAAGATCACGGGCTGTCACAGGGAAAAGAAGAGGTTCAGGGGAGGAAGGAAAGAGGCGTGGTTGTGCTGCTGCTCCCCTGAAAATGCAGCTTTCTATTTGACGATGTAACAGAGACAAAGGGAGTGAAGGGAAGGAGGAAAGTAAAGGGGTGTGCTCCTGCCCGCCCCCTGCTGGTCCAGGAGGATGATGCGGAAGCACGTCGCAAGCTGCAAGGCTACGCCTAGCAGACATCTGTTACCTGGCCATTGACTTTTGAGTCGACTCAAAAGTCACCTTGCGATGCTACGCCTAGCAGACATCTGTTACCTGGCCATTGACTTTTGAGTCGACTCAAAAGTCACCTTGCGATGCTACGCCTAGCAGACATCTGTTACCTGGCCATTGACTTTTGAGTCGACTCAAAAGTCACCTTGCGATGCTACGCCTAGCAGACATCTGTTACCTGGCCATTGACTTTTGAGTCGACTCAAAAGTCACCTTGCGATGCTACGCCTAGCAGACATCTGTTACCTGGCCATTGACTTTTGAGTCGACTCAAAAGTCACCTTGCGATGCTACACCTAGCAGACATCTGTTACCTGGCCATTGACTTTTCAGTCGACTCAAAAGTCACCTTGCGATGCTACGCCTAGCAGACATCTGTTACCTGGCCATTGACTTTTGAGTCGACTCAAAAGTCACCTTGCGATGCTACGCCTAGCAGACATCTGTTACCTGGCCATTGACTTTTGAGTCGACTCAAAAGTCACCTTGCGATGCTACGCCTAGCAGACATCTGTTACCTGGCCATTGACTTTTGAGTCGACTCAAAAGTCACCTTGCGATGCTACACCTAGCAGACATCTGTTACCTGGCCATTGACTTTTGAGTCGACTCAAAAGTCACCTTGCGATGCTACACCTAGCAGACATCTGTTACCTGGCCATTGACTTTTCAGTCGACTCAAAAGTCACCTTGCGATGCTACGCCTAGCAGACATCTGTTACCTGGCCATTGACTTTTGAGTCGACTCAAAAGTCACCTTGCGATGCTACGCCTAGCAGACATCTGTTACCTGGCCATTGACTTTTGAGTCGACTCAAAAGTCACCTTGCGATGCTACGCCTAGCAGACATCTGTTACCTGGCCATTGACTTTTGAGTCGACTCAAAAGTCACCTTGCGATGCTACACCTAGCAGACATCTATTACCTGGCCATTGACTTTTCAGTCGACTCAAAAGTCACCTTGCGATGCTACGCCTAGCAGACATCTGTTACCTGGCCATTGACTTTTGAGTCGACTCAAAAGTCACCTTGCGATGCTACGCCTAGCAGACATCTGTTACCTGGCCATTGACTTTTGAGTCGACTCAAAAGTCACCTTGTGATGCTACGCCTAGCAGACATCTATTAGCTGGCCATTGGGGTGCCGCTCTCCTCCCAGTTGACGGTGTGCTCTGTGCACGTCTGCGATAGTCACACCATCTAACTAACACGGCTATATGGGCGATTATTGAGGCAAGCCGAACTTAGTTTCCATACCTGGCCTTTGGGGTTGCCGCTCTCTTCCCAGTAGACCGTCTGCACATCCGAGACAGTAAGGGTGCCTGACCTATACGGCTCGATGGGTGCGTACAGCTCGTGCCTCACCCGCACTCGCGCTACTGCCACGCTCTCGCGTTTGACTTTCCAGTTGACTCACAGGTTACCTTGTTACAATGGCACACTGCTCATGCTGCACCCGCACACAGGCTGCTGCCACACTCTCGTGATTCAAGTCAGGGCATCATTCGTACCTGGCCTTTGGGGTTGCCGCTCTCCTCCCAGTAGACCGTGTGCACGTCCGATACAGTAAGTGTGCCGGACCTATACGCCCTACAACAGGTAGCCTCAGTAGTTGTGTCGTACCTGGCCTTTGGGGTTGCCGCTCTCCTCCCAGTAGACCGTGTGCACGTCCGATACAGTAAGTGTGCCGGACCTATACGCCCTACAACAGGTAGCCTCAGTAGTTGTGTCGTACCTGGCCTTTGGGGTTGCCGCTCTCTTCCCAGTAGACAGTGTGCACGTCAGACACAGCCAGTGTGCCGGACCGATACGGCTCGATGGGTGCGTACAGCTCATGCCTCACCCACACTCGCGAGCACACAGTGCTGTCACGCTCACTTTTCCCTTGTCAGGGTTTCATACCTGGCCTTTGGGATTGCCGCTCTCTTCCCAGTAGACAGTGTGCACGTCAGACACAGCCAGTGTGCCGGACCGATACGGCTCGATGGGTGCGTAAAGCTCATGCCTCACCCACACTCGCGAGCACACAGTGCTGTCACGCTCACTTTTCCCTTGTCAGGGTTTCATACCTGGCCTTTGGGATTGCCGCTCTCTTCCCAGTATACAGTGTGCACGTCAGACACAGCCAGTGTGCCGGACCGATACGGCTCGATGGGCGCGTACAGCTCGTGCCTCACCCGCACTCGCGCTGCTGCCACGCTCTCTTGTGATTCACGGCAGGGCTTCATTCATACCTGGCCTTTGGGATTGCCGCTCTCTTCCCAGTAGACCGTATGCACGTCAGACACAGCCAGTGTGCCGGACCGATACGGCTCGATGGGCGCGTACAGCTCGTGCCTCACCCGCACTCGCGCTGCTGCCACGCTCTCCCCCATCTCCTCTTCCACCTCCTCGCCCTCCTTTCCCACACCCTCAACCTCTCTCTTTTCCTCTCCCTCCCCCTCCCCCTCTCTCACCCCCTCAACCGGACTGTCCCCCGCTCCGTTGCTCTTCTTTCCCTCCTTCCCCTCTGTATTCCCTTGGCTGCTGAATGCTGAAGCGTGGCCGGCAGCTGCTGGGATGGGCTTGAGAGAGTGAGAATGGGAAGCACCTGAGGCGTGGATAGGGAAACGTACGTACGGAAGGAGAGACGGGATCTGGAATTTGAACAAGTATTGCTCTGTTTCAGAACTGGTGAATGGAAAGCAGTAGTGACATGTGAGTCCACGCGAAAGAATGGGGAGCTTATGAGGCGGAGCATTGGAAAGCGCATGCCATTTGCTGAGTCCAAGAGATGGCATTCGGAAATTACAGTTGAGAGGCAAATGGGAAAACGGATTACAAAAGTCGTTCCATTCCTGACGATCAAGCACGAGTTTATGGTTCAAGCACAAATTCACGTTTGAGTGATTTGAAAATATATTAAATTACTCGGACTTTACGTTAACCATCAATTTTACTTGATACTTGGCCAGCGAAGACAATATCGCGGGGAGCCTGGTCTCACGGCCTGAAACCGGAGCGAATGACGGCAATACACGTCGGACAAAGGGAGAATTCTATCTGGCAGGACGCGGTCAGGCTGGCAGTCGAAGGAGATTCATAATATTAAGTGTTATTGTGATCGCGTGACGATCTAGTCAAGGTAGCTTGAGCGGACTCGAACGTCCCCTCATTACAGGGTCACACGACAGATTATGTTCACACGGGCGGGTGTCGAATGCTTCACGACATAGTCGCACCTGCTCCGTTGCAAACTGAAGATCGCTGAAGCGGCAGCTTCGAGAGACAGCCGCTCTGGTTCTCAGAAAGGTATCTGAGCGAAAGGCTATTGCTGGCGGCCGAAGAAGTCTTTAGAACGGATTGGAGGGACCTTTTGCCGAGTGCAAACGAGAGCCTGACAGCTGCGGGGATCTGAAGAGACGCAGCGGCAATGGCGGCCATCAATGGTAAAGGGGGCCAACAATTGAATGCTACGGCATGCGATTAGATGGAAATAGCTGAGGTTAGGCCAATTAGATGGCATTCAATGAGATGGGATCATGGAAAGCAATGCGGCTGTTTCAGTAGAGGCTTGGCAATGAAGGTGGCACTGTTTGTGGAAGGTGAAAGGATGATATCGAGAATAGCCAAGCCACAGTCGGTGGGGAAGGGATGAATTTCTTCAAATGAAAATGGCCAATGCTCGCTGTACACTTCTGCAGTGCATATAGATTTACATGTTGCCTACATTTTACATTTTTACACGTTTTCCACAGTCAGCTATGACACTGAATTCGGTAAGAAAGTCAGTCGGTGGGGAAGGGATGAATTTCTTCAAATGAAAATGGCCAATGCTCGCTGTACACTTCTGCAGTGCATATAGATTTACATGTTGCCTACATTTTACATTTTTACACGTTTTCCACAGTCAGCTATGACACTGAATTCGGTAAGAAAGTCAGCACAACAACTTCATTTCATGTACACAAGCATAACAAAACACCAGACAGAGGGGCATAATACCCGTGATTACATTGACCACAATTATTATTTATGTTTTGCCCTTCACACGTTCGGGGGCGGCCAGATCTTCTTGAAGTGCTTGTCAACCTTCTCCGCCTGAGACACAGCAGAATCAATCTCAGCCTGCAGCAACTGCCTGGCACAGGGCCCGATATTGGCCATGAACCTCGCCATATCCCAAGGCTTGACCTGCAATAAAGTAGAAAACATATGGAGTAGCATGAGTTCATTAAAAAACAAATGGTAGAAAACACACTTGAAGGATTGGAGTAGCATGGGAAACAAGTGCATGAGAGTACGGGACATGGCACACTCACCAAAGCGCACACACAGACGACCAGCCATTGAGCTCCTACCTTGTCAGCTGCTGAACTGAGTGCTGCAGGTTTGAGGTCAGGGGAGGCGGGAGTGTCTTTCAGAGCCTCCATCACCTTGAGTGGCACCACCAGGTAGTCAGTGCTGCACAATCGATTCGAGTAGGGAAAAGAAAGCACTGTAAGGTACGGTAGTGCGCACATAATAGGCAGGAGTGTCTTTCGAAGCCTCCGTCACCTTGAGGGGTACCACCAGGTAATCAGTGCTGTGCTGTGCTGTGCTGTGCTGTGCTGTGTGTGTGTGTGTCTTGCTGCGGATGTTGGATGCCATAACCTTGGTGGGGAAGCCGTTATACATGCCATGCTATGGTCAGTACACGTCGTTAGAGTGTATACGTGTCTATCTGTGAGACAAAGACATTACCCGAGCAGGCTGAGGGTGACCTGCTTGATGCGGATGTTGGATGCCGGGTGGCATGTGCCGGGTGCCGGTATGTGTGCGCAAGTGCACGGCCGCTTGTGTGTTTGTGTGTGTGTGTGTGGGTGGGTGTGTGGGTGTGTGGTTGTGTGTGGGTGTGTGTGTGTGTGCGAGTCAAGGCATACCCATGGAGGCTGAGTGCGTCCTCCTTGCTGCGGATGTTGGATGCCATGACCTTGGTGGGGAAGTTGTTGCGGGCAATAAACGCACACGCTCGGCGCACCTGGTGGGGGATGCGAGAAGATGAGAAAAGACGAGAGAAGACGAGAGAAGACGAGAGAAGACGAGAGAAGACGAGAGAAGACGAGAGAAGACGAGAGAAGACGAGAGAAGACGAGAGAAGACGAGAGAAGACGAGAGAAGACGAGAGAAGACGAGAGAAGACGAGAGAAGATGAGAGAAGATGAGAGAAGATGAGAGAAGATGAGAGTAGATGAGCGAAGATGAGAGAAGATGAGAGAAGATGAGAGAAGATGAGCGAAGATGAGCGAAGATGAGAGAAGATGAGAAGATGAGAGAAGATGAGAGAAGATGAGAGAAGATGAGAGAAGATGAGAGAAGATGAGAGAAGATGAGAGAAGATGAGAGAAGATGAGAGAAGATGAGAGAAGATGAGAGAAGATGAGCCAAGATGGGCAAGGGTGAGCATGGCAGTGATTGGGCCCAATTATTGAGGCGAAACCACAACTCCGATCCCCCACCAGCAAATTCATCGCCCAAGGTTGGGATTGGAGCATGCCCGCCTTAACAGGCTGACACCAGGGTCCTCGCCATTGGCTGCTGCAGCTTCCACTTCCTTGTCCGATGGAAGTACTAGAGAGCAGAGGCGACACATGATGAGCGAGCACATAACGAGGCGCTATGCTATCGGCAAGAGCGTGAGCGCCTTACCAGGCTGACACCAGGGTCCTCGCCCTTGGCTGCTGCAGCTTCCACTTCCTTGTCGCCTGAATGCGTGCGTGCCCAGTCCTGGCAGGGGGAGGAAGGAGTGTTGAGCGACAGAACTGAGAATGGCGAGATTTTTGACAACACCCATTTTCACAGAAGAACGCCTATAATCTCGGTTCAGGCTATCTGCACAGGAAGCGAAGGGAAGCATGATATGTCACGGAAGATCACGATAGGTCATGATACATTCTGCACGTGTGTGCATCGTACCTTGATACGGCCGACGGGGATTTGAATGACTGCCACGTTGGCCTGCGCACATGCTGACACCTGGGCGAAGCTGGAGAAATGGCAAGGGGGGAGCAGAGGAGGTTTGTTTAGATTTACTTATAAGACCGAGATGAGACGAGAGGAACGAGAGGGAACCGAAGCTGAAAAGACGAAATGGCGCTTCCACCCACCCCCCCTCTTTATGCCCTCTGCTTCCATCTGCATGGCCGGTTTCCTAGCATGTCTTGGAAAACATCTAATACTCTTCGGTTTTCCCCGCCCCTGACCCCCCCAATCGCCCTTCACTCTTGAGACGTCTCAAAAAACATCCAATACTCTCGGTTTTCCCCACCCCTCCCTCCTCAATCGCCCCTCACCTGGCGACGCCAGTGACGTGCGTCTTGATGCCCTCTGCTTCCAGATGCCTCGCCGCCTCAATCCCCTCCCACGTGGCGGGCAGCTTGAACAGCACTCGGTTCACACCCACGTCCACCTCCTTGTACAGCTCTGCCAGGTTGCGCACCTGGTAACCAGGGGGGGTTGGGACGAGGGACGGAGGAAGTGAGGTGGAGTCTACCCAGCACTCAACTGCCTCGATGCCCTTCCAGGCAGTGCGTAGCTTGAACAGCACTCGGTTCACACCCACGTCCACCTCCTTGTACAGCTCTGCCAGGTTGCGCACCTGGGGGGGGGGGAAGAGAGTAGGAGATAATGACATCGGACGGGATTCTAAGCGGTTCAGGGGAGTCTAAAGACGACAGCACTCGGTTCACACCTACGTCCACGTCCTTGTACAGCTCTGCGAGGTTGCGCACCTGGTTTATGCGGAAATGGATAGGGAGAAAGACGAAATTGGAAGAAATTCCGAGCAGTTCAGGGGAGCCTAATGGGACAGCACCCGGTTCACCAGTACGTCTACCTCCTTGCACAGCAGACGACATCGGACGGGATTCTAAGCAGTTCAGAGGAGTCTAAAGACGACAGCACTCGGTTCACCGGCACGTCTACCTCCTTGTAGAGCTCTGTGAGGTTACGCACCTGGTTACAAGGAAGGAGGAGGGAAGGAAAGGGGGGTAATTTGGCGCCAAATTAGTCCACCCCGGCTGACGGACGCCCGGAGTCTGGGCGCAAAAGAATCCTTACGCAGGCAGCACTCACAAGGTAACACACCCTCATGCACTCAGAAGATCACAGGCCGGGGTGTATGCTCACCCTGTCGACCATGGCGGCCGTGTTGTGCGCCAATCTGGGGTCCACCTCGGTGGACACACGCCCGGACACCAACACGTGGCTCACTTGAGCATGCCAGTGCCAGCACTGCCATGCGCGTCTCACTCACCCGGTCGACCATGGCGGCCGTGTTGTGCGCCAGCCGGGGGTCCACCTCGGTCTACACATGCCCAGAAACCTCGAGGCTCCCTTGAGCATGCCAGTTCCAGCACTGCCATGTGCCTCTCACTCACCCTGTCAACCATGGCGGCCGTGTTGTGCGCCAGCCTAGGATCCACCTCGGTGGACACACGCCCGGACACCTCCAGGCTCAGCTCCCTCCCCACGTTCACCAGCGCCTGCACGCATACGTACACCATATACGCGTTTTAGTCATTGCAAGAAACAAAGTACATATGTGAAGTTTCTTGGAGCAGTGGTTCTACCTTTTCCAGATTGACCAAGTTTTGACGTTGGAAAACTCAAGAGTCGTTCATTGTATAACCTTGTCATGATCAGCTGACATCAGCTGACATCAAGGCAGTGATGCACACTTCGAGGTTAGGATTCACGCTAGCCAATAATGGCATAATCTCAGTAGCGATTCCCCATGGTAGCGAGGCTTTTCCCCCATAGCGAGGCTGACCTTATCGAGGAAGCAGGAGAACTTGTTTTCCTCCGCGGCTATCATGCACTTGCCGTACGCCAACGCGCTCTTGATCGCTCCCTGCACGCGCGCGCGGGAGTAAGGGGGACCGTCGGTAAGGACGGTCAGCAGTTGCTTGACAGGACGGCCAGAGACAGATCGTAATGGCAGATATACAGTTGGCGGATAGTGAGCACAAGCTAGTATATGTTCCAAATAGAATCACACTTTCATAAATGCACATCAGGAAAGAAAGGCAATCCCAATCAAGCACAATCGCAAACGAACACACCCTAATACGAGCACGCGCACACTCACGTCGAACTTAGCTTCCCCCAAGGACGAAACTCCGAGGATGAGAGACGACGACACGGTCGCCGCAGTGGGTTTGAAGCTGAAAAGGTTGTTTACAACGACATCATTGCAACAAAACGGCAAAGGGTTACACATTGTGAAGGTATAAAACAGAAGGTGAACGTAAAATACCGCAGATTGACTTGGCAACATTGTTTCACCTCTCAAATTGGCCGCCGACGATTGAATCGGGAACAATCTCGCTGCTCCTCGAGATCACGTCCAGCTCCGACGGAGACACTGCAATGAAATTTAATAATAACATTAGAGAATTGATGACATTAAGCAAATTTGGGAGACGAACAAAGAGCCACGCTGTAATCTAGGAGGGCTTGCTGCTTTGACGAGAAACGGGTTGAGGAAAGGTATATGCGTTGTAGAATCTTGTCGTCTGGTAATTAAAGTGGATTTGACAGGCCTACCAGCCATAGCGGCATGAATGGAAGCCGAGCATCGTGTCGCGACGCGGGAACTGACATTCTTGGAACAAGAAGCGTACGCGGTAAGAGGCAGCGGCGACGGGATGAACGTCGTCTTTGATGCCAAGACCCCCGAAGGCTTCTGCGGAACGTGAAATTGCGAATAGTAACAATAAGACAACAACAGCAAAGATTGCACAAATGAAGCTTGGTTGAATTTGGAACTGAAATTTGGGATAAGATATTATTATCGTAATCCATTGTGGAGTGTTGACCTGGAAAGTTGACGGGTTGAGCCTGATGCCGCACGACACGCTGACAGCAGACGCAGAAGCCATGCTTTTCGTCCAAACGCAAAAAAACGACGTCCGGGAGCAGTGGCAAGAGGAGGAAAGCTGTCAGGAGACAGCGTTAGGAGGCAGAAATTGTCGAAGTAGGAGCTGCTCGTCTTTTTACAGATGCTCCATAAAATACTGAATTTCACGATTGGGTTAGGTGCTTGGAACTAAATAGGAATGGCTGGGGGCTGAAATTCAAGTCCTATTCCTTGTTCTTCCGCTCCAATCGACCCGTGCGAGATTCACGATTTCGTGTTTCTTTCGCTTCGGTGAAAGTAGACCAAGAGAATTGCTGCCGGCTTTCGCCTGTTACGAAATTAGTTAGGCGCTCCAGGATATTCGAGGCGTTCGACAACTTCAAGATCTGGGACCATAAAGGTTTCACAACCGTCGATATTGCTGAATGACGTGGTCGATGATGTGCCGATGTGGGAAATTTCGCAGGCACGATTTCTGACGTAGGAAAGCTGCCATCTGACCTGGCAAGCAGCCACCTAGGAATTTGCCTAGATTTATCCGAAGCATAGTCCAGCATGAGTTCTGTATCCAAAGAATGATACAAAACACAAAGGATATATATTGAAGCTAATTTTATTATAGAGGGTATTTCATTCAGTTCATGAGGGATGCGACTGAACTGTCACAGCCACGCAAGGACTCATCAAACCGCTGCCAGCCGTCAGTTATACAGGCTCGGGATCTGACATCAGATGGCTAGTGGATCGACCTTGGCCCTCGAACCACTCACACAACACCATGACACGGCGGATGATCATCCCTGCTGGCGAGACGCATTTGCAGGAGAATTCCATCCGCTAACGTCGACAGTCTCCGAGCGAACAAACCGGCAGGATGAAAATGAAACGGACTTTAACATTGGCCCTGAACTTGCCGAGGAGATCAACATGACGGCCTTTACCTGTCCGTCCGTCATCGTCTGCGTCAAATTCTTGGGATCCCCTTTATCCCAGAAAGCCAGCCAGTGCTGCTGCAGTGACACTTGACTTGGAACCACGCACAAGCCGTTTCCCGAATGCACAGTGTGGCTACGGTTCAGTCAGTTTTGCAGGAATCTAAAGCCAATCATCATAATACGTTTTTAAACGGTTGGGTAGGGTGACTCTCTTCCATCACTGCAATCTGCTGTGCTTGGAGGATAAGTGATCCTGCTGAAACCTCCACCATCCAACCAAGCTCTGCACAGAAACCGAAGGCCTGCCTCAGCTGGTCATCTTCAGTCGGAATAAGTTCCTCCTGACCAGCAGCAGCCTACGATCTCGGCTAAGGTCATCGGTGCTAAGAGAGCCTGATCGCAGCTGCAGCATCATCTTCCGACAACCTCCACCACCAATATAATCACAATGGCGACCATCGCAGCTGGAACAGGTACACTACACACAAACCTCGCAGTATGTGCATCAATAATACTTCCGTTCCAAGTTTCGCTTATGTGTTCAAGACAAACGCTAAAGTCCGCCTTGGGTAGAGCAGCCCACCAACGCGTAGAAGCTTACATTTGCGTTCTGTCGTGGTGTGATTCCATTCTCGTCCAGCTCTCGCAAGCACTCTCACAGCGCATTTCCCGGTTTTGAAAACACCCCTTGTTCTTTCAATCGTACCATTCCGTTTGACCATCCGTATCCTATCTCTCCAGTTCCCACTCTCCTTCATCCTGCCCCTCTCAGCCGTTCCCACAGCAGCGCTCACTGCCAGCAGAGCAGATTTTTGAGTCGAGCAAAATAACCAATCATCCGTATCCCATCCTTCCGTCTTCGAACACCCCATCATGCTGTCCCTCTCAGCCGTCCCCACAGCAGCGCTCACTGCCGGCAGAGCAGCTTCCGCTGCTTCCGCCTCCACCAGCTTCGCCCGCTCCGTCGTCCCCGCGCCTCTCCCCGCTCCCCTCTCCGCCGCTTCTCGCGCGGGTCGCACCCACCTCCTCCGCTGCCGCGCTGCTGCTGTCGAGGACGGTAAGCGCACGTACAACCGCTCGACCGCATTCACAACCGCTCGACCGCATAAACAACCACTCGACCGCATCAACAACCCCTCGATCGCATTCACAACCTCTCAAGCGCATTCAAACCGATGGGAATCGACCGTTTGACCCGCCGCTCTTCGCTCTTCATTTTGCCAGTACTACATTGTGACTGTTTGCCTGTATTTTGCAAGGCTGTTTGGTTTTATATATATATATATATATAATGAAAACAAATAAATAGGTGCGTGTATACAGCCTTCACTCCTGTCTAGCCTCACTTACTGGTTTTTTTGTTTCTGATCTTGATTTACTCAGGAGCCGTGAAGGAGGTGCCAGTTGAGGCTGAGGAGCTGAGCAATGGTGCAGCTGTGGCCGCACCGACAGTGGACGAGGTATGTTCCCTCCCACTCCTCCTTCGGTCGCGTTACTATCCTCTCCTTGTTACCTCGCGTCACTCTCCCTCTCCTCTCCTCATTCCGCCACGACACTCTCGTTTCTTGACTTCTTTCCCGTCGTGTCTCCGTCGTTCCTCCGCACCATTCCATTCTCCTTGCCTGTCTCCTCGCGTTAGTCCCCCTCTCTCCCCTTCCGTTGCATCGCATTCGCATTGCATACCGTCGCATCCACTTCTCTCTTCACCCCGATCGCGTCTATCCCCGTGAGGTGCTGCGCAGTCGCTGCTGATGGAGCTGTGCAAGGAGACTCGGTGCCTGCAACGAGACTCACTCCATCATGTTCATTCCCCCAAGCCCATGCCCCATGGCCTGCCCTTCCTCCCGCAGGAGCAGTCGCTGCTGATGTAGCTATGCAAGAAGACTCGGTGCGTGCAACGAGACTCATTCCATCATGTTTATTCCCCCGTGCCCATGCCCCATGGCCTGCCCTTTCGCCCGCAGGTGCAGTCGCTGCTGATGGAACTTTGCGACGAGACTCACATCGCCGAGCTTAAGGTCAAGGTACGGTACCACCGAAGCAAGCGCTCAGGTACAGTACCACCGAAGCAAGCTCTCAGGTACGGTACCACCGAAGCAAGCTCTTGAGGTAGGGAAGGACCGACAAACACTCAGGGAAGCGAAAACCGAAGCAAATAGTCAGATACGGGAGAACCGAAGCAAGCACATGAGTTAGGGGACAACGTCGCAGTCACCCAGGTATGGGAGTACAGGGACAGAAAGTCAAGGTACGGAAATGAGAGGATTCGCTGGCAACACTTCGCACTCACTTTCTTGTATGATAGAAATGGCTTGACGCTTCCCCCTGCACGCCCTACTTGATGTGAAGAGGGACGGCGTTGCACGTCAAGAGGGAAGTGGACGGCAGCACCGGGAATGCCGTGGCAGCAGCTGTTCTCGCAGTAACCCCCTTGACTCCCCTCCCTCTCCTCCCACTCACACGACTGGCAAGTCGGCTCCTTCTCCCTGCACGTTAAGAGGGACGTGGACCGCAGCATCGGGAATGCCGTGGCTGCAGTTGCAGCTGTTCTCGCAATCCATCGCTTGACTCCCCTCCCTCTCCTCCTCTATCCCCGAACCCACACCTCAGGTCGGCGCCTTCTCGCTGCACGTCAAGCGCGACGTGGACGGCAGCATCGGGAATGCCGTGGCTTGCAGTTCTCGCAGTACCCCCTTTGACTCCCCTCCCCCTCCTCCACCCACGTGTCAGGTCGGCGCCTTCTCGCTGCACGTCAAGCGCGACGTGGACGGCAGCATCGGGCATGCCGTGGCTGCAGCTGAAGCCTCCGCCGCAGCCGCCGCCGCCCCGGTGGTGTACGCCGCGCCAGTGCCCGCCTTCCCCATGGCGGAGTCCCTCCCCCCCGCCGCTGCCGCGGAGCCCGTGGCGGAGGTTGCTGCGGAGCCAGAGAAGCCCAAGGATGAGGGGCTTGTCTATGTCACGTCGCCGCGGGTAAGAGAGGAATGAACATTTGACTCTGCACTACATGGTGTCATCATCCCAAAACCTCGCTTCTGCTACCTCTGCTGCTGCCCCCGTCGCTGCCGCGGAGCCAGTGGCGGAGGTAGCAGCTGAGCCCGAGAAGCCCAAGGACGAGGGGCTTGTCTACGTCACCTCGTCGCGGTAGCTCCTTTCTGCGAGTGATCCTCTTTCGCCCTCACACCCCACCCACTACCCACCCACCCGTCGCATCCCACTATCCTTCGCGGCACCCTCCCCCCACCCTTCCCCCCACCCACCCTGCTTCTCTTCTACACACCCTCGTCCTCCTTCGCACCCTTCCCTGTACCCGTCCAACCCTCCTTCTCCCCCACTCCGCCCGCCCTTCTCACTACCCCTGTCAGGTGGGCATCATGCGACGTGGCAAGCTGTGCAAGGGCAAGCACGGTTTTTTAGGCGCCTAAAAAATCAATCCCCTTCCTCCCCCACCCTCCCCTCACCCCCCATACCCCGCTCCCCCTGCCAGGTGGGCATCATGCGACGTGGCAAGCTGTACAAGGGCAAGCACGGCCGACCAATTGTGCTCGAGGTACAGTGCGGTGCAGTGTGGTGGTCAGTTCTTGAGAGTGGTACTCTCTACTCTAGAATGTGGTGTACCTTCTTTTTTCTGTCACTCGTATAGAATGAGGCACGTTGCGCTTGGCATGGCGCGCACACCCTGTCTTGTCCCCACCCACTCCTCTCCTTAATCCCCTCACTCCTTCCCCCTGCCGCCACTCCCCTCACTCCGTCCCCTCATTCCACTCCATGGTGTGGTGAAGAAGGGACATTCCATGTGGCCACGTGATAAATGTGTTACTTTGAGACGTCTCAAAATAAAACTTTTGTAACAACAGGGAGCTGTGGTGAGGAAGGGACACTCCATGTGCTTCCTGGAACAGCTGCGAGCAATCCTGTATCTTTCCCCCTTACCACGTCCCCTCCCCTCACCACACCCTTCACCCCTCCCCCCTCTCCCGTCAACAGGGAGCAGTGGTGAAGAAGGGGCAGGCCATGTGCTTCCTGGAGCAGCTCGGCACCAACCTGGCGATCGAGGTACGTGGGAGGGAGGGTGGGCAGGGGGCAGCAAAGGGCTGATCGGCATTGCAGGGGGGAGGGGGAAGGGGGAGTGGTGGGGGGAAGTGGGTACGAACCAACCAGCACTCGGTGTGAAGAAGGGGCAGGCCATGTGCTTCCTGGAGCAGCTCAGCACCAACCTGGCGATCGAGGTGGGTGGGAGCGTGGGATAGGGGCAGCAAAGGGCTGATATGGCATTGCAGAGAGGTGGGGGGTGTTGGGAATAGGAGGGTACAAACCAAGCAGCACTCGGTGTGAAGAAGGGGTAGGCCATGTGCTTCCTGGAACCGACCTGGCGATTGAGGTACGTGGGAGGGTAGGAAAGGGAGAGCGAAGGGTTGATAGGCATTGCAAGGGGGGCAGGGGGGTACTAACCAACCAGCACTGGGAGGGCCAAACTGTTCCTCTTTGTGTGATCACAACATCCCGTCAATTGTGTCATCTCTTCGCTGCTCTTTTCTTGCTGTTCCGTGCCTGTGCATGCTACTTTGTTTCTGTGCAGACGGAGCATGCGGGCACAGTGGTTGATTTCCTGGTGGAGGATGGAGGTGCGTTCCGTGTACTCTCTGCTAATAGTCGATGGGGGGAAAAGGAAAGAAAGAGAGGGGGGTGGGGGTATAGATTGAGTCGACTCAAAGATTGGCTGTACAAATGGAACATGCCCTGGAATAGTGGTTGGGTTATCTGATCGTTTCCCTCCCTTTCCTCCAACCCGATACAGGGTACAGTGATCCCCTAGTTGCCATCTGTCCATCTACGCTTATTGCCTCTCCTCTGTTTTCGCTTTCCCCCTTGTCTCATCATCCCCTTCCCACCTTTCCTCCATCCCCATTCACCCACCATCAGTCCCTGTGGGCTACGGTGAGCCCCTGGCGGCCATTCGCCCGTCTTTCCCCGGCATCATAAAGCTCACCTGAGTGTGGCGTGATACCTTTTAGGACGCCTCGAAAATCAACCCGTCGTTTTCCAACCTCCCTCCTCCATTACCCTCTTCGTCTCATCCCCTTTTCCCCATCTCCCACCAACAGTCCCCGTAGGCTACGGTGAGCCCCTGGCGGCCATTCGCCCGTCTTTCCCCGGCATCATGAAGCTCACCTAAGTGGAGAGCAGAACCACTAAGTTTTGATGCGCACTCCAGAGTGCGCAGTGAACACAAGTCTTACATTATGTTATGCATAAGTATGTGCCTATGAGGACCATGGTTCCCCAGCTGAGCCCGGCATGAGTCTGAGCGATAGCATGCATGCCAGGCTATGCAGTGTGCTGGTGCCATTGTCTTGGGTATTTTTGGTGTTTTTTTCCAGGCCAAAATGGTTGTCGTTCTGGAAGTCATAGTGGCCAGAATCGGTTAATGAGGTGTATTTTTGTAGGACTTTCTCTAGTAGCTGTTCTGTGCTGCTGAGAGCGTATTCCTATCCTCGTATCAAGAGAACCTCATATCAATATTGTACCTTATGCCTGGTAAAACTAGTGGGAGGTTTTGGGTTTAGGGGAATTTTCAGAGGGAGGTTGATATGAAGTTCCCTTGATACGAGGATAGGAATACGCCCTAAGCACAAGCACATGCTTCAGTAAACTAGAGAGTAAACGATACAACATTATAGTCGTCATCAGATACCATACATATAATAATGACAACACGAGACACAAGTTGGCACACTACTCAACACAGCAGGAGCACACTCCACAATGCTACTGTACACTTGCTGTTGCAATAGAATTGAAAAGCTTAGTTCGCATGCCGCGCTAGCGCTTTCTGAGTTTAGGGTTTGGCTTGAGCAACTGCTTGACACCATCCGCAGGGGAAATGTCCCACCGCTCCACATGCCTGGTGGTGGTTGGAAAAGGAAGGGCATGAGGATGCATGCATGGGGTGTTATTTTAGAGGTTTGGCCTGAGCAACCAGGTGACGCCGTCTGCAGGGGGAATGTTCCATATCTTTTTTGAGAATTCTCAAAAAACATACTGCTCCACATGCCGGTGAGAGGTTGAGAGGAGGGCGCATGGGATGGGATCGTGGGATGGAGAGACGGGGAGGAGAATGTTGGGTGAGGAGAAGGAACTGCACATTTGTGACTGCACGCCAAGGAGAATGCAAATCAGCAAGGCAGTTTCCAAGCTGGAAGCACAGAAGTATAAGTATTTCTGTTGTTTCTTGCTTACTTGTATATTTTTCCTGTTGATTCGCTGAAGAAATGGTCTGTCGAACCAGATGCTGTGTAGGGCGGAAGAGGAAGGACCGGGGGGAGGGGAGGTAAAGAGGATAGTGAGCGGATTACAGACGACAGGGATGCGTAGACAGATACACAAGAGCGGCTTGATTTGAAGAGTGCTTCAGGAGGAAGTCATACGGTAAGCACTAGAAAGAGTGTGAAGAGTGTGAAGAGAGTGAATGTGCAACGCCACTCATTGCCACTACGACGGGAAGGAGAGGGCTTACCAGCAAGAATGGGTCGCCATGGCAGGCCCAATACGCAGCTGAATCTCCACTTGGTGGTAACAGTACCCTGCAGTTACATTGACATGAATGAGATTGGGAATGCGATACAAAAAGTGACACTTGAAAGGAATATTGTAATCAGAGGGATCAACGAGAGAGTGTAGTCGGATTTTAGTACCTCTGACTCCTGCCAGTCGAGAATCTTCAAGGAAACTTCCTCCATGAACGACCCGAGGTTGGACACGTTCTGCTTGAAGCGATCTCGGCCGTTGAACGACACAAAGGGGTCAGCGAACTCGCAATCTGGTTCGTACAACCACATGGTCATCTCGCCTGATAGGCAAACACGCGTACATAGGCAAGGGAGGCAGGGGGAGGAGGGGGAGGGAAGGAAGGAGTATAGGGAGTGCTATTGACTTGTGAAATCTCCATCTGCCACGTGTCATCTCACCAATCACCTGTCACGAAGTACGACTTGTCATAGTCTTCTCTCAGTGCTTTAATAGCCGCGTCGCGCTCAACCACCGCCGGCTCCCCTTCCACCGTTGCGCCCTTCCCCTTTCCGCCTTCCGCCTCTCCCCTGCGCACCGCCGCCACAGCCTTCCCGAACGCCTCTGACGCATACCACGCGAAGCGCACCAGCGGGGAGGTTTCCGCCGTGGGCCCCGCGCGCTCCTCGGCCTTCCCCCCTGCGCTTTTCCCCGCGCCTCCCGGTTCCCCTCCGGACGCGCGGATGACGCTCCGCCGCCCGCCTGACACCCTCAGCGTCGCTGTTCCGCCAACATCGGCAGAAAACCCGCCAGAGAATGCGGCCTTGCTAGCTAAAAAAGAGGCTCGGTTCGCCACGCCGTCGACCACGCTGGCTTGCGGTCCTAGTAAGAGAGCTCGCGAGGTGGTTCTAGGAGGTGTGAGATGAATTCGCGAGGAAGATCTTATTGAGTCCATTGGGAATGCTTTGCCAGGGTACGTGGCCGCGAAGCGACTGACGGCGACGCCTGTTGCCGCCATACCGACTGGCTGGGTTGCGAAGATAGACAGTTAGGGATGACGGAGGAAATCGACTGCGAAATTTTGAGCGTGGAAACTAGCGGGAACCACGCGGCATAGCTGACGGAATGAGGGAAAGGAAGGGAGGAGTGGTGCTAGGAGGGGCATTGAGTTACTGACAGTGTACCCAATTCGTGCGAGACACTGTAGTAACGTGCCACGATATTGCATTTTACGGTTCTACAGTTGATGGAAAAGCCAGGGATACAAGAATCTCGTTATTATTACTAAAACATTGTACAGCAATACCACCGAATGCGTCACGTGCCCAAAGCACAGAAAATGGCTAGATTATCAGGGTGATCTTTCATGGTCTAGTGCGGTAAGACAGCTGAGCTCCACCTTTCACCATTTCGTAGAATCAACTCATTGATACACCACTCTGCGTCTCAGCCGCGACCGCAGCTCAGCATTCTCCTGCAAAATGAAGGAACAGATCCAACTTATCCATCGGCAGTAATCCTCGTATTGCAATCAACCCTCAGTAACCAATTCTGATCACATACAAAAAGACATGTACCAGTACACTTGTATCACATGTAGAATTACCCACCTTTGTTAGAGCCGCAATCGTAGCCTCCAATGCCTCGTTCTCCGTAATAAGTGCTGCTTCTCTCCCTTCCAACCCCTGCGAGTGTGAAGGATGTAAGAATTATTAGCTACCACCATTTACCACACACCACAAGATAAGTCAAAGCCCAACATGCACCATGTTTAAATGAAACAATGAGAACCAGAAAGAAGATTGCTAACTCATCGCTAAGGCATGGCAGGTTTGAACGACATCAACCAAGTGCTTACGTTAATGTAGTACTTCTTCTTCTCTCTAGCTTGTTGAGCACTGACTCTGTTGCGAAGCAACCTGTAACATCGCACGGTCACATCCCCCAACCATATCCACAGGCACGCAGCAAGGAAACCCTAAAAGTTAGTTGCTTGTTTCCGAATACGCCACCAGATTGGAAGGGCGACCTTAGGAATCAGGAACGAGGTAGACGTTCTTACGTTCGAAGAATGCGAAGAGGAAGTAGAGAACAAGCGGTGGGTAAGTTATCGACTAAACACTCAAAAGCTACGGCCAGCATTCCAGACGCTCATAATAAGCTGTCAACCCTGTCGGGTAATAAGCTTCATAATGTTTTGGGTTGACTAGAGGAAACACACACACGCACCTCCTTCGCTTCGGATCGACTGTCGGGGGAATACTCGCAGCAGCAGAAGGCACGGCGGAAGGCACAGCGGAAGGAACGGCGAGGGATGAAACCGCAGCAGGGATACGCGGAACAGGCGGGAATAAGACTGCGGAAGTCGCATCGTCGCGGTTTCCGGGTAGCGAAGAATGAATAGCGTAACCGCATGGGCCGTCGAGGTCGGGAGCGAGGGAGAGTGACGGACGGCCGGGCGCAGCTGGAAATGCAGGAGCGGTTTCCAAGGAAGCGGCAGGTCGTATCGGCACGGACGGTGACGACGGAACGAGCAGGTCAGCAGGAGACGCGGCGCGATCAGCGCGCGACGGGACGACAGCGCACGGCTCGTTCGCCGCGACAGCGGCGGCGAAATCGGGAAGATCCTCGAATTCCAAACTTCCGCCGAGCGTGTTCGGGTCCGCAATAATGTCTCCTCCCTTTCTCTTCCCCGTCGCCTTCGCGTGTGCTCCACCTGGCGACTTCAAGGTTCGTCCTGCGACCGATTGCGAGCTTCGCCCACCGATTGATTGCGCGCCGATTCTCCCAGCGAGCGCCTCTCTTGTCGCCGCCACTCGCGCTTGCCTCGCCATCGCTGCGGCTTCCGCGTGCCGCTGCTTGTAGAGATGATGACTGTAGAGAGGATTATGAGATGGATGATGTTGGTAGTACGCCGCGTGATACGGGCTCGCCATTGGAGGATAGTTCGCCGCCGGGTGCGGGTAGTATTCCGAGTAGTACGCGCCATCGTGCGTCACGTGCGGCGCGTGATCAGAGATCGCAGCCGGTTCCAGAGATAACTGCAAGTCAGAATTTCGCACATCGGTAGTCGCAACCGTCGCGGAGTCTCGCTTTGGTTTGAGCTCAAGATCAGGGAATCCCCAGGAAAGCTCGTCGAACAAAGGATCGCCGCCGCTGCCGCCGCCGCTACCGCTGCCGAGCCCCGCGTTATCGCCTCCCGCCGGCTCATCAGCACAGTCTATCTCGACCTCTACCGGGCTGTCGTTGAAAAAAGGCGTGGGGATGTGACCCATACTGTCGCGATCGGATCGGCCCGTGCGACGGAATCTCTTCGTGGGCGCAGATGCCGCGGCGGCATGGCGAGGGGGGTGGCGAGCGGTCGGCGGAAGGGGGAAGGCGTAGCCTGGATGCGCCGCTGCGTGCGCGGACGCGTGCGGAGGCATGTGCGGCGGAAGATGCATGTGCATGGGCCCGCCGTACATGGGGGGAAACGGCGCGCCAAAGTGATACGACGCCTGGCCGCCATAGTCTGCGGAGGAGAAAGGAAAGAAAGAAAGGACGGAAGAATGAAAGACAGAAAGTGAGCAAGAAAAACGACATTTTAGGTACGAGGCAAGCAGAATACGATGATCACGTCGCGGTGGATCACATGCGAAGATCGCATGACGTAGTCAAGGTCGCACAGAGCGTGACGCTAACGGAAGATCAAACTCTCTTGGATGCAACATACTTCAAGAGAAATAGTAACATGATAAATAGGTGGGGATTCGATTTAGGAACACGCACTTGCGAAAGGATAGTGTCCCGTTAGATACGAAGGGATCCCCTGAGTCATGCCGGGGAAGGCGGCTTCGGACGATGACTCGCACACGCTCATGTCGCGGATGTCCTCTCCTTGGGACGGTTTGAGTGGGAGTGGAATGGTAGGAGTTAATGGAGTTTAGACACGACGATTGCCCGTACTATCTATAGCGCGGGTGAGAAGTTCGGCGGGTGATGAGTGCTAGAACGAAGAGACGGATGTGCTTCAGGGTTAGTAATCCAGTCTCTCGTACGATGCACGAATCAAACCCAACAACGGTCAAAACTGTGAAACAGTAGGGGAGGAAGAGGAACGGAATGTGTGAATGGGTGGGACAAGTGCGGCGGGGTTCGCGCCAGCAAAAATCTCTCCTCGTCAATCCTCACAACCGTGCATGCCTGCCATTCGCCCCAAGCAGTCTCTGCCTCCATCCCATCCCACCAATCTGCGGTGTTACATGACCACCCTTGCCTCCTCCCTTCCCTTCCCCACCCCGCTTTCCCCATCTCTCCCCTCCCGCCTCCTCTCATCCACCAGTCACACCAAGCCTCACGGCGTGTGCAAAGTTCTGCATGTAGCCCGACGTCGAGCTACGTCGAGGTTGTTGGGCAAGGTAGGTGAGCTGAGGGGTGCCATTTCTGTGTTCAAAGTACGCTTCAAAAATTGCTGACGCCAGCATCGCCATTTGTACGGAAATGAGCAATGATGATAGGCACAGAAACGGTCAACCAAAGAAAATTGAGCGAATCTTTACAGTGTTTGCCAGACCACGTAAGACAAATTCACAGATTGGCATGAATCGTAATCTCGACCATTGCGAACATTTTCATTCCGCGATGAAACTTTCGCAGCCAATAGACGCACTCGAAAAAAACATTTGCGATTTCAGGTTCTGGTCCCAATTCAGTTCTTCGACAGTATCAATTCAAATGTTACTATTAATGCCGGCATTTGTCTTGAGTGGACAGTTCGTCGCCGGCAATGTGTTCAAAGTGCCGCATTCGACGTCAATCGACGTCAGAAGCTCGACGTCGCTCGACGTCGATCTCCGACGTCAAAACCAGGTCCTAGCTACGTCGAAATACTTCGCACATGCCATCAGCTCACCTGCCTCCTCCCCATCTCCCCCTTTCGTCATTGATCACCGCCCACCCGCACCACCTATGGGCCAGGCTCACAAAGGGTCCCCCTCCACCACCACTCCACACCACACCCCCGAGTGACCAAGGGAGCCCACCAAATGAAACCTTCGTACAGTATGAATGGGCCTGTGGTGCACAGTGGATGCATTTCCAGAACGACTGTGTGCAGCAGATCCCACATCCAAACGTCAAATCTGTCTGGAGCAAGCAGGGTAAAAACCTACGAAACAGATGTAAATTCGGACGTCCATTCCAGCCATATCCTCGGGTGAACACAATCGTACCTTGGTTGCTGGTGCATTCACTCTGCAAGCTGACAATTCTGCGTTGCCTAAAGCTGGAAAAACTTCCACTAAAAGGCGAAGCGAAGTAGTTCATTCACTGGCGTTTTTGCCAAGTCAACCACTTTGACTGGAAGGATAGCACACAGAACCGATGTTTTAAAGGAACGAAGGGTTTCGGAAGTCCCGTTTACAAGGGTGTACGGTCCATCCACCAGGGAGATTCGTTAACGAGAGCCAACAAATCCGTGGCGCATAATGCCAGATCTTACAGCCAGCTTGCGACTCTGTGCACAGCACGGCGTATCCTCTACTGAAATCAGTTGTCATTTTCTGAAGGGCTTGAGTGGACAAGATTCGTCCACGGCGCGTCACCAGTCACCGATCGACATTTGGCAACGATTTGGGAGTAAGCTGTAAATTGCAGCTGATAATTGGAAACTACATAAATGCAGGCTTCACACCTCCTCTACAGCCTACAAGGATATCGCTGACCAGGCCCAAGTACGAGAGTGGTATAAAGACGATTTGAAGCTGTTGTCAGCTTGAAGTAAAATGCTTAAGTTTGGCACTTCTGTTCTGTCATTTAAAGAGAGAAAGCACCTTCTTGTACTTGCTGAATTTCCCGCAAAATACGGTATCACTTGAGTATGTAGAGGCCCCTTGCTAACAGCAGGAGCAACACGAGCTATGCCTTGCAAGTGCCCCGCCTTCACATCATAGATTTCTGTCTTTGAGCAGCAGACTCCAAATACAAGGATACACCTGGCAGCCTTGCATCATCATTCGAATCCCCTCTTCTCTTCCTAATCAACTGCAAGTGCAAAAAGGGCGAACGTGTGAACTTAAAGGTGGAATGCAAGCGGTACAATACGACCCATGTGTGAGAAATAAACGAGCTCATAATCAAGAATTACAGTAGAGATCAAATGCATCCGCACCTTGGAAGCCCAATGCCGCTCTGTTTGCTCACAAACATCGCGTATATCTCTCCCAGACATGCTGCAAGAACTCAAAGAAAAGCAGGGAGGAGGGTGGGAAAAAAGCTGAAAGTAATCCTACAAAATTCAGCAACAGCAGATGACTTATAAACTGCCAGCACATTTGTCATTGCAGGTACTTCAAAATACACAGCAAAATGCCGACAGGTAGTAAGGAAACACTGACTGCCTCATTCCTTTGCCGGAATTTCTCCCACCTCTGCTCTGAAATGACTACGATGGCGCATAAAAAAACAAAATGTTCTCATTATCATGTGCCCGTGCAAGGACCTCTGGTGTGCAATGGAGGGTGTGTAAAGCAATGAGGCGAGGTGGCCCAAAGAAAAAACCTTACACTTGTTGCATGCTCGTGCAAGTCATACTGAGCAACGATACGTGCACGGCTGTGAGCATTTAGAAATATATTATGGAAAGTGCCAAAACAAACAAAGAACTCATGCACTCACTTGTCGCATGCCCATGCAAGAGTTTCTCTATTCTCCGGAGTGAGGTGGCGTGCGTATTGAGCGATGATCAGCGCCCGGATGTGAGCATGGGTGCAGAGATAAAGAAGATCAGTGCACTCACTTGTCGCATGCCCATGCAAGAGTTTCTCTATTCTCCGGAGTGAGGTGGCGTGCGTATTGAGCGATGATCAGCGCCCGAATGTGAGCATGGGTGCAGAGATAAAGAAGATCAGTGCACTCACTTGTCGCATGCCATTGCAAGAGTTTCTCTATCCTCCGGTGTGAGGTGGCGCGCGTATTGAGCGATGATCAGCGCACGGGTGTGTGCATCCGGGAGGGAGAATGTAATGGCTGCATCAAAACGACTACCACACATGGGTGGGGCATAAGGGAGGCATGAAGCGGAAATAGATTATGGCAGACACACATGCGATGAGGGCGTGAAGGGGTAAAATCTGTGATGAGGGCGTGTGTGAGTGTGTGCATCCGGGGGGGAGAATGTAATGGCTGCATTAAAACGACAGACACACATGCGTGTGGGGGAAAAAGTGAGGCACCGTTGAGTCATAAGGGAGGCATGGCATGTAAGTGGCGATACAAAATAACGGGGCAGTGGAACTATGATGAGAGCGTGAGAGCATAAGAGCCTGCGTCCCGGAGGAAGCTTCAAAGAGACGTGGAACGACCGATTAGAGCCGCGAGAAAGTTTATGTATGTGTATATATATATATATATAAATGTATATTTTACATGTGAGGCGCCTTTAGGTTCCTCATCTTGTTTTCAAGGTGCGGCGCCTAATTAGTCATGCAACGTGAAAAGAATGACCACCTGATGAGAGCCGGATCCAGGTCCTCCTTTCTGTTAGTTGCAGCTATGACCACAATGCCCCGGTCCCGCTCAAACCCATCCATCTGCACACAGCAAGGGAGTCGGTGGGGAGGCAAGACAAGGTTGGTAGGCAGGCAATGTGAAGGGTAGTACCAAATGCCCCGATCCCGCTCAAACCATCCATCTGCACGCAGCAAGGGGAATGGAGCAAGGGGTGTGCAGCAGCTGAGAGATAATACACATCGTCCTCAGCAGCACAAAGAAGTCATGTTGCTGTGATTTCCCCCTTTCAATCCCATGTCTCCCTCGAATTGCAGAACGGGAGGGAAAGGGAGCGGCAGATGCGCAAGAGGGCAATGACGGTGGTGTCTATGTGAAAAACCTCACCAATCAACCGGTCAAATTCTTTGCTGACGTCATGAAGCTTATCCAAGACGTGGATTGACACGCATCTGTTAAAAAAAGGTAGCGTGCCAACCCACGTCTTGGATAAGCTTCATGACGCCAGCAGAAGCAATTGACCGGCTGATCGGTGAGGTCTTCACATACACACCACCGTCAGTGCCCTCTTGCGCACATGCCTTTCCCTTTCCCTCCCATTCTGCAATCTGAGAAAGAAATGGAAGGGAGACACGGGAGGGAAGGGGAAAGGACAGGCAGGTGTGCAAGACACGAAAAGTTGCTAGGCAAAACAAAACAAACGTCATAAGCAGACACACGCAAAGGAAAGGCGCCAGGAGATGTACAGGAAAGTGAGAAGAAACCAAGTGACACTTCATTTTGTTGCTTCGACCGGTAACTTTGAAATACAGCTGGAGGAAGTGATTACGATACAATCAGAGGCTTCAAGGAGAGCAGCTAGTAGAGCACAGCGAAGCATCTTCTCGAATGTGAAGAAACCTTTCCTCCAAAACACTCGAATGTGTACCCCTGCGTTATATACGATGCGAAACATTTGAGATCACCCCTGGAAAACCGCATATGTGACTTGAGTCACCCCAAGAAGCACAGCTCCCTGAGCAGCACTGAGAGGACCCGCCGCGTCGCTTCATGCAAGTCGCTGCGCGTGTTTTTTGAGAATTCTAAAAAAATCCGCCGCGTCGCTTCATGCATGTCGCTGTCCCTCGCTGTTGCCAGTGGTGTCATGGATGGCGCTTGGAATCACCAAGTCATTTGAAACCACCCATGTGACTTAAGCTGCCCCGAGAAACACACCTCTCTGAGCAGCACTGAGAGGACTCGCCGCGTCTCTTCATGCATGTCACTGTCCCTCGCTGTTGCCAGTGCATCCACCTGCTACGTGCATGATCAAGTGATAAAGTAATGTAATGGGATAGAGTCGGGGTTGGAATGAGGCACATTATTGCATGTGTGGCTGGCTTCATGCATGTCGTTGTCTCTCGCTGTTGCCAGAGCATCCACCTGCCACGTGCATGATCAAGCGATAAAGTAATGTAATGGGATAGAGTCGGGGTTGGAATGAGGCACATTATTGCATGTGTGGCTGGCTTCATGCATGTCGTTGTCTCTCGCTGTTGCCAGTGCATCCACCTGCCACGTGCATGATCAAGTGATGAAGTCATGCAGTGTCGAGGTTTGGTTGAGGATGCCACCAGGGAAAACGATCCAATCGAGTGTAACATGCAGCGCAGCCATTGTCTGAACCCGGACCGTGCAGGCAAGTGCTGCGCTGCGCATTACACTCAATTGGATCGTTGTCCCTGGTGGCATCGTCAGAGTGAGTTGATTAGTCCCGGTCACCATGTCATCCACCCCATCTCCACCAGGCAGATGCCGTAACCTCTTCGATTGGCTCTCCTCTCCCGTGGCAACACCTGCGTATCCATCCCTGGGCTTGCCTGCATTTTCTCCTTCCTTCACCTCCCCTTCCGCCTCCTCCTCCTCTGCTGCCCCCTCTCCTTCATCGAGTGATATGATTAGCCAACCTTTCTTATCAGCCACCTTTTCTCTCCTCTTCTGGACTTCCCCCAATCAACACCCCCCCCCCCCCAAAACTTACCCACCTCATCGAGGAACACGATGGCGCCACCTGGGTGCAGCTGATTGGCCAGCGCAAACACGGTCGACAGCTGGCGCTCACTCTCACCATAGTACTTGGATGCTACAGACTCAAGCGGCACGTACACCAGCGGCACGCTCTGAAGTGAGATGGGGGAGGAAGGGACAGTGGGTGCCAGAATTCCCATCATAGCACTTGATAAGGTGCCTGACACTCGCTCCCCCCGTAGTACTTGGATGCCACGGACTCAAGCGGCATGTACACGAGGGGTACGCTCCGAAGGGAGAAATGGGAGAAGGATTGTGAGTAATGTAAGCATGCGCACACACGGCCAACAGCTGGCGCTCGCTCTCCCCATAACTCTTGGATGCTACAGATTCCAGCGGCGTGTACACCAGGGGCACGCCCGCCCTGATGAGGGTGAGGTGGGGGGAAGGACAAACCAGTTTTAATAGCACGTGCTTGCTCTACCCATAGTACTAGGATGCTAGCTTTTATGACACCGGCGCAGGGCAGGCCATGGTGTGGCACGGCTGGCATAGATCAGCAGACAGCATGGCAGATGGCATGGCATGGCTTAACAGAGAGCATGGGATGGCATGGCAGAACATGGCAGATGGCATGGCATGGCTTAACAGAGAGCATGGGATGGCATGGCAGAACATGGCAGATGGCATGGCATGGCATGGCATGGCATGGCACTCACTCACCGCTCGTTTGGCCATGGCTCTTGCACATGACGTCTTCCCAGTGCCTGATGGGGGCGATGGGCGAGAGAGGAATGGATGGAAGAAAGAAGTATGACATTTAATTCGACTCAAAAGTCACCACATTTGGTCATGGCTCTTGCACATGACGTCTTCCCAGTGCCTGATGGGGGCGATGGGCGAGAGAGGAATGGATGGAAGAAAGAAGTATGACATTTAATTCAACTCAAAAGTCACCACGTTTGGTCATGGCTCTTGCACATGACGTCTTCCCAGTGCCTGATGGGGGCGATGGGCGAGAGAGGAATGGATGGAAGAAAGAAGTATGACATTTAATTCGACTCAAAAGTCACCACGTTTGGTCATGGCTCTTGCACATGACGTCTTCCCAGTGCCTGATGGGGATGAAGGTTGAGAGGAACGGATAGAAGGGCGAAGGGGACGCATAGATGAAAACAAAGATGGCTTTTGAGTAGATTCCAGATTCACCACGTTTGGCTATGGCTCTTTCCACAGCCCACCACAGCCCACCGCAGCCCACCGCAGCCCACCGCAGCCCACCGCGGCCCACCACAGCCTCACCTGCGCGAGGGCGGTTGGACTCAAAGTGGGTGCGCGTAGCCCTGGCAACGCAGCTAGGACACCACAGGTCACCTGAACGCCACCCAAACTCCCAAACCCCCCCACTCCCCTCGTGTTCTCACCTGGCGGCCTGTCAAACAGCACAGCGCGCGGGCGGTTGGATTCAAAGTGCGTGCGCGTGGCCCTAGTGTGAGGTGTCACAAGGCACACACTAGCACTGCATGCACGTGTCACAAGGCACACACTAGCACTGCATGCACGTGTCACAAGGCACACACTAGCACTGCATGCACGTGTCACAAGGCACACACTAGCACTGCATGCACGTGTCACAAGGCACACACTAGCACTGCATGCACGTGTCACAAGGCACACACTAGCACTGCATGCACGTGTCACAAGGCACACACTAGCACTGCATGCACCTGAAAGGCCATAAACGGCTCAAGGCCCCCTAACACCCCACTCCCTTGTGTCCTCACCTGGCGGCCCGTCAAACAGCACGGCACGTGGACGGTTGGACTCAAAGTGGGTGCGTGTAGCCCTGGCAATGCTGTCATACACGTCAGGGCGGAGCAGGGCGAGCAGCACCGTGTCCTCTATCTCGCTGCAGCGGGAAAGGGGGAATGAGGTGAACGGGGGGTGCGGGGGGGGCGGGGGGAGCGGGGGGAACAGGGGGATCACAGGGGCAAAGTGGGTGCGTGTGGCTCTGGCAATGCTGTCATAGACGTCACGGCGGAGTAGAGCCAGCAGCACGTTTCTTACCGTTTCTGCTCCTCATATCCAACCAGATTGCCCCAATCCATCCACCTCCTCTCATCCCCTTTCCCCTCCTCCTCCCCCCCCTCCTGTACCTCCTCTCCCTCCTCCTCCTCCTCCTCCTCCTCCCCCTCCTCCCACTCCCCATCTCCCCTCCCACCCTCTCCCTCATCTCCCCCAGGTGCGTAAACCATCACTCCCATGCGCTGAAGCTTCTCAGCAATTGCCTGGGACATGCCTGTGTGCCCCTCCCCACCACTACCACCACCGCCAGCACCGCTGTTGCTGCTGCCACTGCCAGTGGCACTCTTGCTGCTGTATCCACCCCCACCAATACCACCACTGCCACCACCATAGTAGCCCCTACCATCGCCGTGCCCACCGCTGTAACCACCACTCAAGCCCTTGCCGCTTGTGCTTCTGTCAGGAGATCTGTCAGGAGACGGCAACAGTGAGCCGCTTCTGTTGGCATGACCACTACCAACGCCACTACTGCTGCGGCTGCTGCCACCAGGCCCAGCCTGCTGCTGAGGCCGGAAGGGTGCTGAGCTCTCGATTGCTGATTGGACGGTGCTGACGATGATGTCAAGCTCTGCGGGTGTGAATGCGCCTGGCTTGAGAAACTCGACCTCCTGAGAAGGAAAATAGGGAGAGGAGAAAGGGAGATGAGCTGTCGATTGCTGATTGGACGGTGCTGACGATGATGTCAAGCTCTGCGGATGTGAATGCGCCTGGCTTGAGAAACTCGACCTCCTGAGAGGGGGAGGGGACGGCGAGGGAGAGGAGGAGACGGCGAGGGAGAGGAGGAGACGGCGAGGGAGAGGGGGAGACGTAAATCGGAAGGAAGGAGGAACGCATACATACGGGTGAGATGGAGCAATTCAGACGCAATTCAGGAAGCGCCGAGGAAATCGCACGAAGAAATGCTGAAGACTTTGCCTACACACAACCGATAAGTCGGCAAAAAAAAAAAAAAAAAACAACAAAACAAAACGGGCCGTAGAAGAGGTGTTTCTTACAAAAGGGCCCATCCCCCCATGGCAATTTTCCAATCGATTCCAAAAGAAAAGAGGGGCTTACAGGAGTGCCAAGCCCCACGAGGGGTTCGAACAGCAGCACCTTCACAGCGCCCCCACCAGCCACCACCACCGGCTCTGTTGGTTCCACCTGAAGATCCACCTGAGACTCCACTTGAATCCGTGCCTCACTTTCACCCTGCTCAGGCTCCTTAGCGTCTGTGCGCGCGTGTGCTTGAGCTGGCAGGTGCGCATGGGGGAGCAGAGGCATCAGCACCATCTGCCTTGCCACGGGGCTGGGAGGAAAGATAATTGGGAAGACAGCGGAAAGGGGGCCGGGAGACGTGGGAGCAGGAGCAGACGGGATGGTGGATAGGGGCCGGCAGGTGCGCGTGGGGGAGCAGAGGCATCAGCACCATCTGCCGTGCCACGGGGCTGGGAGGAGAGAAGGGGTAAGAAGAGGGGGAAGGGGGGGGATCGGCAAGGGGAACGGCAACGGGGGCAGAATGGATGGGGGCAGCACTGGCAGGTGCGCGTGGGGGAGCAGGGGCATCAGCACCATCTGCCGTGCCACAGGGCTGACGGGGGGAGGAGGAGGAGAGAGGGGAAACGGCAAGGGGAGCGGCAGGCGGGAATGGTGGAGAATGGATGGGGGCAGGGCGTGGATGGGGGCAGGGCGTGGCAGGTGCGCGCGGGGGAGCAGAGGCATGAGCACCATCTGGCGTGCCACAGGGCTGAGAGAGAGGTCGCAGGGGAATGGGGGAAAAGAAGAGAGCGGAAGGCAGAACAGATTGTGTGGGGCCGGTACAGGCAGGTGCGCGTGGGGAGCAGGGCATCAGCACCATCTGGCGTGCCACAGGGCTGAGAGGCCAGGGGGAAACGGGGCAAGGAAGCCATGGGGTGGTCAGTGGGGAGGGGAAGGGGGAGAATGGATCGGGGCGTTAAGGGCAGGTGCGCGTGGGGAGCAGGGGCATGAGCACCATCTGGCGTGCCACAGGGCTGAGAGGCCAGGGAAAGAGGGAGGGGAAATGGGAAACGACAAGGGGAACGGCAGGGGGGAATGGTGGTGGATGGGGACAGTATGGGCAGGAGTGCGTGGATGGGGAAGCAGGGGCATCACATTTTTTCATTTTTACTTTTGAGGCGCCTCAAAAATTTTGAGGCGCCTCAAAAACAGGGGCATGACATTTTTTCATTTTTACAAATTTTCTTCCTTTTTTTCGCTATTCTCCTGCTCACCTGTCCCATGCATACACAGCCATGCCGCCTGCTCCCACCATGTCCCCAGCATCATCCACTGTCGATGCCTTTTTCTGCACCGCATTCCCAGGCAGGGACGAGTTGAGCGCGGGTGTGATGGCAGGGTGGCAGCCCAAGTGAACAAATGTGACTCATGTTCCCTTCTCCTCTCCCTCGTGTCTCTCCCCCTCACCTGTCCCATGCATACACAGCCATGCCGCCTGCTCCCACCATGTCCTCAGCATCATCCACTGTCGATGCCCTCTTCTGCACCGCATTCCCAGGCAGGGACGAGTTGAGCGCAGGATTGATGGCAGGGTGGCAGCCCAGGTGGGCGATGAGGTGGGTGAGCAGAGCAGAGAGGTCGCAGGAGGCTGGTAGACGCATGCGCACAGAGACCTGGTGGGTGATGGGTGATGGGTATAACAGCAAGGGATGGCAGCAAAGGATTGAGGTGGGGAAGCAGCAGCCAGGCGGGCAATGAGGTGGGTGAGAAGAGCAGAGAGGTCGCAGGAGGCAGGCAGACGCATCAAGGGATGGCAGTGAAGCAATGAGGTGGGGAAGCAGCAGCCGGGTGGCAGCCCAGGTGGGCGATGAGGTGGGCAATGAGGTGGGTGAGCAGAGCGGAGAGATGGCAGACATTGGTGGGTGAAGGAGGACAGGCAGGCAGCTGAACAGTCTATTGAAGGAATTTTTTAGTCGACTCAAATGTCAGTCCAGGTGGGCGATGAGGTGGGTGAGCAGAGCAGAGAGATGGCAGACACTGGCGGGTGAAGGAGGACAGGCAGGCAGGTGAACAGTCTATTATTAAAGGAATGCTTTCAATCGCGGATCAGGTCAGAAGAGAAGAGCCCAGAAGGATGAAGAAGCGCATACATGGGAAACCACATGTTCCATGAAATGTCGGATTACCGTTCACAACCATGTTAGAATGCCGAATCACCGTCCATAACTGCATTCGGACGCCGAATCACCGTTTACAGCCATATTCAATATTATTTTTTCTGCTGACATTTATGCATGCATACCTGATGGCCCTTGCAGGTGACAACTGGAGTAGGTAGTATATACGTCTCTGCACCCACACTGCCACCCCCCCCGCCACCTTCCTCCGTCCTCCTCTTCTCCTCCTCCGCCTCCCGTTTCAGTCTCATTCGATACAGCCTCACCAGCAACCCCCTCCTCGCCGCCCGCACCGCCAGCTCTAGAGCTTCTGCTCCCCCTGCCGCCGAATCTCCCACAGATTCTCCTGGATTCGATTTAATTGATTCTGGTGCTACAGCCCCTGAGTCTGTAACTCCTGGTGTAACCCTTGATGCAGGCTCGGATGTAGGAGGGTTGGAATTTGAAGGTTCTGGAGGGCCAGAATCACAATGACCGTATTCTGGTTCTAGGGTTGGTGCTGATGCTACTGCTGCCGCTGTTGCTGCGGAGGCTGTTGCTAGGCTTGCCAACGTGGCAGACGACCAATGGGTTCTGCTGCTGCTGCTGCTGCGTGCTGAGATGGACTGCGATGCTGACGTGGACGATGCGGGAATCTGTGACGACAGGTGAAGAGCTGCTGCATAAATCCAACGAATTTCTCCACTGACATGGCCAGATTTGTGCAGAGGTGGACGAGGAGAATGCGACGAGGCAGAATCCAGCCGACTCACGAAAAGGCGTTGGAATGAGAATAAATGCCTTAAATTCTGACGCCAAAGGGGTACATGACGTGGCCCCATGGCAATCGAGGATTTACAGACTCCGCGCTACACGTAGCGTGTTGAGTCTGTGAACACTATGTTGGAAGTGCAGGGCCTCGCATCAACACGCTACGGGTCGAACCACGGACACGGCAGATCCCGTGCACAGTATCCCTAAAGTGCATAATCCCTAGACTAAAGTTTTGCGACGCTTCGTTCTGGATGGAAGTCACGAGAAATGCAACTTCCCGAAAAATGTTTATGGAAAGCGTAGAGAACACGCTAGAAGAATAAAAGTGGTGCTCCTTCACAACATGACTCGCTTTACTGATAAGTGTAAGTTTAGAAATGAACGAACAGGTTAGATGGGTATGATTATCATTGGCCACGCGCAGTTTCTGGTTAGCCTGACGAAGCTTCACGAAATAGCTGATTGCTGTCGCCAATCTCGACTCTGCCCCTGGCCAATCCCCACCTTCCCGCAGTCCGACCTTTTTCTGATCCCGAATCGTAGAAAAGCACGTCAAGCCAACCAGAGCAGGAGCGCTTCGTAACCTCAGTCGACTCTGTCCAATCAATTTTCGTTGTAGCCTGCACCACTCGTTGGGGGAAACGAGCAAATCACCACTCTGCTGAATCACCCAATACACGTCATCCCACGCATTGGTCACGCTGGCTCAAGAGCATATTCTGCTCGCGTTCCTGAACGCGACTGCCCCGAACTGTCGGAGCTTGAATACGTGTGCCAATCGGGGAAAGCTTCAGATTTCGCGTCGGCTTCCCCAACCTGGCACCCACAGACTTCCCCGCCAAACTGCCCCGTAACACGTCAGCGCGCTACGTCTTTCTCCCCCCCTCCCCTCACAACAATCTCTCCCAACCTAACCCAAACCACTTCCGCTCGCACCTTCCCCCTTCCCCCAACACCCGATTCGTTGGGGGGCAAATCTCGACCATGGCTGGTCGAATCGAGCACGTTGAACCGTCGGATGTTTTCGATACGCCAAATGACTTTCATGTCCGCTCAGCAGCCGCGTTGATCCCCAAGAGCTTCATCCAAAGCAGCAGTCCTCCCCACGAGCATACCCGTCGCACAGTAGTCCTCTCAGGTCAGGTGCGCGACCTCCCCCGATTCTCCAATCAGGATAAACCAGATTCTGCGAAAGACCTGGCGCACCAGTTGGAGGTCAAGAAGTGCGGAGGGGGAAAGGACAGGGGAAAGCCGCGCGCGAGAGTCGCACAGGCAAACAGTTGGAGGAACCGACGAGGGTTACTGCCAGGAGCAGCAACTGCTTCGTAGGCTGGTGGTGCGATCTTCTGTCTGAGATACACCCGAACATAGAATGGAGGGATGTGTGAGTGATTGTCAAATGTCAACCCAGAAACAGCAATAGCGGTCAAGCCCATACTCATGTATGAGGAACCATCACAATGGCCCTGGCACATGGCAGCTCCCGCCTAATCGCCCTACATGCCGCTTCGTCTAAATTAATTTCTCACTGAATCTGACGACCCTTGGGCACGTCATACGACCTCTCTTCAATCAAACTTCGAACTTCCTATTTCAGCTTGGTCTTTTTAGGACGACACTACTAGTGTCGTAGAGGCTGCGCACCGCCGCATAATTATTGTTCCCCGTTTAGCGACTACCAAACGTCGGCTGTCTCTGATTTGCGACCAAGGACTACTAGGTAATAGTCGTTCTACGAAACGCGGAGCATCTAGAAAAGAACCTGCACCGTACGATCTGAGATCTATGGGAAAGCTAAGCCCCGTGGGGCCGAAGCTGGGACACTGCTACGGTCCGCAGAAGGAGGCCGCGCGACCGCAGCTGCTCTCCCCAGGCGCTTATCAGGTGCCGCTTAATAACTTTTTTCTTGTAACTAGTACGACGCGTATCCGGTGGCTGTCGCGATACGCCACTTCAGTGCGTTTTAGTTTAAGCCTTTATTATCTGCGGATCCTTTAAGAGTACTCTCTCGTTAGGAGACGCGCAATTCGTATTTTCTTGCGTTTTCTTCTCGTTAGGAGTCGCGGCATGCACTGCAGCCGTGTTTAGCGACTCAGATCTAAACCCGGCCGCGACCATATGTGCTTAATTGCTCCAAGTCGCACCGAGGCAATTGTCTGGAGCTTGTCTTCCTACTCGCCTCGTCGTACCGCCCTCTGTCGCCTCGCTTCTGTTCATGTCGACTCACTCATCCCACTTTCTTCCCATCTCGTTCCTACTATCGCTGAGCCGCGCTTCTATCTCTTACCCAATCCCAACCCCGTTTCGTGCGCGGGATGTGTTGGAATGACAGAAACTATTTCCCCGTTTTGTGCCGTAACCCCGTCCCGCTCTCCCTCATTTCCCCCTCCCTCTCCCCCTTCCCCCGCCCCTCTTCCCCAGTCTCCCCCTTTTCCTCCTTTCCATCCTCCCCTCTTTCTCCTCCCCTCTTTCTCCTCCCGCTCTCGCCGCTTTTGCGCGTGAATCTTCCAGGCCTCGTCGCCTCTCCCCTCGTTACGTTGGTGCTCCTCGTCATCCCTGTTCTTTTTCTCTTTTCCACCACTTTCTCCCCCCAATCTCTCCTTATCCTCCCCCATCCCTCCGCCCTCTTCCCACGCTCACCGCTTTTGCGCGTGGATTCTTCAGGCCTCGTCGCCGCTCCCCTCGTTGCTCCGCTGCCACGTCAGTCACGCTTCTTCCGCCCTTCCCATCCCGCCGCGGACCACGACAGCAACGGGGGCGGCCAATGAGGGCGATCCACGTGGCAGCGGGCGCAAGAAACTGCGCCCCTGTCTCTCCGCCCCGCCCCTGTACATATCCTCCTTCTTCTACAAGAACGTCGTTGCGCCTCTGCGCTCCGCCCGCTCCCCCTCCGCCCACTCTCCCCCCGCCCGCCCTCCCGGTTCCCCGCACTCCCCCGGACCACCGACTTTCCGCCGCGCCTCCTCCGCCTGCTCCGCTTTTTCCGCCAACCGCAAGGCGGGAAATTCTTCGCTGCCGAGCTCGCGCCTGCCCCCCCTACTCCCTGCCTCCCCGCGACATCCTTCCCCCTCTTCCCCGCCCTCATCCCCCTTCCTTTCCCGCTCCCCCTCCTTCCTCCCCAGATCCTCGTCTCTCTCCTCCGCTTCTTCCTGCCCCTCCCCCCACTCCCTCTCCTCCCCTTCCTCTCTCCCCCCGTCCCCCGCGCTCACATCTCCGCTCTCTACCCGTCCGCGGACGTTGTCCGGCAAGACGGCCGGCGGAACAACCGGCGCCGGCAAAGTGGAAGCTCGCGCCCTTCGCTCAGGACTCCCGGCGGCTAGCCGGCGGTCGCGACGGCAGCCGGCTGACGACGAGGAAGAATATTTTTATTTTCTGCCCGATATTGAGGACGATTGGGAGGAAGAGGAGGCGGTTCAGAGACACCGGCGGGAGGGGCAGCGGTGGCGGGGGGATATCGGCGGAGAGGCGCAGGGGAAGCGCGCGGACGCGGAGCGCGGGGAGCTGGGGGGAAGCCCCGGGTACGGGATCGGATCTGGGACTGCGAATCTGTATGATAGCAGCAGCAATGGCGGCAGTATCGGCGGTGGGGACGGGTTGAGCAGCTACGGGCAATACCAGGAGTTACATCAACACGCGTTTCATCAGCCGTTACAGTATCAACAGCAGCCGCAGCCGCAAAACTGGTACTCGTACGGGCACCCGGATTCACAACAGCAGCAGCCTCTGCAACCAGGACAGCTGCAATGGCAGCAGCAACAACAACAGCAGCCGCTGCAGGGACAGCAACCGGAGCAGCAACAGCAGGAACAGCAGTGGTGGCAGCAGCAACAGCAGGAGCAGCAGTGGCGGCACCAGCAGCAAACGAGCGATCGGGAGAGTGATTTTCAACGCCAACGGGAGCAGCTTTGGGGGTGGCAGCAGCAGCAGCAGGAGCAGTTATGGCAGCAGCAACAGCAGCAGCAGGAGGCGCAGTGGCAGCAATCGGAATTACAGTCACGGCTGCAGCAGCAACAGCTACAGCAGCGTCAGCAGCAGCCGCAGAGTGGTGACGTGGCAGCAGTGCCAACGTCACAGAACCAGGAGCAGCAGCGACACGTCAGCAGCCGCGGCCAGGAGCAAAAACACCACCACCACAAGCACGGGCATGCACATGGACACGGGCACGGACACGGGCATGGGCATGGGCATGGGCATGAGAAGGGAAAGGGGCATGGGCACGAGAAGAGCAAGGCGGTTTCAGGGTGGCTCCCCCCCTCCCAGGCGCACGTGCGGAGGCAGGTGGCGCAGTGGAGTGTGAAGGCGTTGAGAGCGGTGAAGGACAACATGGCGCTGTCTCTGCCGCCTGAGTCGCTCATTCTCGTGGTGTCGTGCCTTGTGGGCGTGCTGACTGGCTCGTCCGTGGTGCTATTTAACGATACGGTGAGTTGTGCTAGCTTCTAGCTTTGAGACAGCTCAAACGCAACCCCTGTGGACAGTGAGAGAGTACCTTGGGCGTTGTGTCGTGCCTCGTGGGCGTGCTGACTGGCTCGTCCGTGGTGCTATTTAATAATACGGCGAGTTTTACCAAGTTATGGCCTTGCCGGAAAGTGCTCCGAACTTAATTATCCGAGCCTTGCGGTTAAGCTCAGAAGGTTTTAATAATACGAGGAGGGCTCCACGTGTCTGGCTCGTTTGAAAAATTTCAGATTCCACCATGTACCATCACCACTCTCACTCCTCCCAACCGCTCACCACCGCTCCCCGCCACCCCCAGGTGCACATCATCAGAGACACGCTCTTTCAAAACGTGCCTCACGAGGAGGGCTCCGCGTGGCTGAGGGACCAACCAGTGGGCGACGTGTGGCACCTCTTCCTGGTTCCTCTGGCCGGCGGCATAGCCGTTGGTATCCTCAACTCCCTCAGGTCTGGGCTTAAGGATACTGCCCCCACCCGCACGCAGCAGCAGCAGCAGCGCCAGCAGCAGCAGCAGCAGCAGCAGCGCCAGCAGCAGCAGCAGCAGCAGCGCCAGCAGCAGCAGCAGGAGGGGGAAAGAACGGAGAAGCAGGATGGGAAGGATCAGACAAAGTTTCCCAAGCAGCCAGCCTTCTCCCTGCCGTTTCTCACCCCGGATGACGTTTCCGAGCTTAACCGCAAGTCTCGGGCCGTGGCTCGGCCGGTCCTGAAAGCCCTGGCAGCAGCGGTCACGCTCGGCACGGGGAACAGCCTCGGTCCGGAAGGCCCGAGCGTGGAAATCGGGTCCAGCATCGGGAAGGCCACAGGGAGCATCGTCCGGGGAAGCCGCGAGCGCACGATCGCACTCGTAGCAGCAGGATCCGCCGCGGGTATAGCATCGGGGTTCAACGCTGCAGTTGCCGGGTGTTTCTTTGCTCTGGAATCCGTTCTTCGGTCGTCCACGCAAGGCTCCCCTGCTAGCCTCACCACGGCCATGATCCTTCTGTCTTCCGTTCTTGCTGCGGTGGTTTCCCAGGCTGGCTTGGGCGCAGACCCATCCATCCATGTGCCCTTATACGAGCTCCGATCGCCGGCGGAGCTGCCGCTGTATCTCCTCCTGGGGTTGTGCTGTGGGGGAGTGTCGATCTCGCTCACGCGCTCAGCGGCGTTCTTCTCGTCGATGTTTGACGGGTTGGAGGCGAACACAGCTGTGCCGCCCGTGCTGCTGCCGGCGATCGGAGGGCTGGGGATTGGGGTGATCTCCCTGGTGTATCCCGAGGTGCTCTATTGGGGGTTTCAAAACGTGAATGACCTCATCACGTCACACCCACTCGTGGCTTCGCCTGCGGTACGTGCTGTGTTGCTTGCTGTCATGCTGCATGCTTTGAGTGCTGGTGTATCCTGAGGTGCTCTACTGGGGGTTTCAGAAGGTGAATGACCTCATCACGTCACACCCACTGGTGGCCTCCCCTGCGGTGAGTGCTTCAATGGTCTGCTTAGGGTTCAGAGGGGATCCGCGCCTGTCTGCCAGCTATCGGAGGGCTGGGCATCGGGGTGATCTCGCTGGTGTATCCCGAGGTGCTCTACTGGGGGTTTCAGAACGTGAATGACCTCATCACGTCACACCCACTGGTGGCCTCTCCTGCAGTAAGTGCTCCGCAGCATGCTGCTTCGCTCTCCTACCGTCGGTCTTGATAGAGGCGGCATTGGGGTGGCTTCTGATGCTCAATCTCCTCTCGTGTTGTCTGCTCCCCTCCCACTGTCTCCCTCCCCCCATCACCAGCCCGGGTTTCTCCTCCAGCTTTTGGTAGTCAAGGGCCTCGTCACGGCCTTCTGTCGCTGCTCACACGACTCGTACACAGATTTTGGTGCATCTGTCCCCTTCATCTCCCTCTCGCCCTTCTCCCTTCCCCCATCACCAGCCGGGGTTCCTGCTGCAGCTAGTGGTAGCCAAGGTGCTCGCCACAGCCTTCTGTCGCAGCTCTCGCCTCGTGGGCGGCTTCTATACGCCCTCGCTCTTCATCGGGGGGGTTCTGGTGCTCATTCCGCTCCTCATCTTCTCTCTCTCCACCCCACCCCCTTCCCCCCTTTCCTCCTCTCGTATGTCTCTCCTTTCTACTTCTCAATCCCCATTGTCCCCATCACCAGCCGGGGTTCCTGCTGCAGCTAGTGGTAGTCAAGGTCCTCGCCACGGCCTTCTGTCGCGGGTCGCGCCTCGTGGGTGGCTTCTACGCGCCCTCGCTCTTCATCGGGGCGGCGCTCGGGGCGGCATACGGGCGGCTGGCCAGTGACGTGCTGGCGTTCATTGACCCGGATCTCACCCTCACGTGGATCCAAGTGGCTGCTCCCCAGGCCTATGCTATGGTAAGGCTTGCCCTCTTTCCTTGCTCACTATCTTCTCACGTTGACTTTTGAGTTGACTCAAAAGTGCTCCCCAGGCCTATGCTATGGTAAGGCTTGCCCTCTTTCCTTGCTCACTATCTCCTCACCCGCTCTTTCTCCTCCCTCTCTTCTCATACTCTTCTCCCAGGCCTATGTCTTAGTAGGCTTAGCTCTTTCTATGGCTGTCTAACCTTGCTCGCTTTTTCACTCTCTCCGCAATCCAACCCTCCCAACCTCGTTTCCCTGTCTCCCTCCCCTCAACTTCAACCCCACCCTCATCAGGTGGGAATGGCAGCGACACTAGCAGGAGTATGCCAAGTTCCCTTAACCTCCGTGCTCCTGCTCTTTGAGCTCACTCGCAACTACCACATTATTCTGCCCCTAATGGCTGCTGCGCCCCTCCCTTTCCCCCCCTCTCCTCCCCAACTGCCATCAGGTGGGAATGGCAGCTACCCTGGCAGGAGTGTGCCAAGTACCCCTGACATCCGTCCTCCTGCTCTTCGAGCTCACACGTGACTACCGCATCATTCTCCCGCTCATGGCAGCAGTCGGCATCTCCTCCTGGCTCGCCTCCACTGCCGCCCGAAAGCCTCGCCGCCCCCAACCGGGCGGCGTCACCGTCTTTGCTCCCTCCAACTCCCCCTCCTCCTCCTCCTCTTCATTCCCTTCCTCCCCTCCTTACTCCTCTTCCTCCCCTTCCTCATCCTCCTCCTCCTCCTACCCATATCCGACTTCGTATTATCCCAGTCCTCTCTCCCTGTCGCTCGTGCCGGTTCTACCCCCGTCGCCCGTGCCCCCCTCGCCACTGCTCTATTCTGGGGCAGGCTCCTATGCTCCTGGTCCTCCTGCTGCTGAAGCTGCTCCTGACGCTGCTGCTGCTGCTGCTACTGCTGCTGCCACTCGTCCTCCCTACTTGGCTTCTCAGGCCCCTGCTGCTCCCCTTCCTTCATACGCGCCGTCTCAGTTCCCTGGCCCTTATCCTGGGGCGCTCTTTACGGGGGATGTTTATTCTGGGTCAGGGTCTTGGGTGGGTGGAGGGGGAGGAGGGGAGGGGATGAGAAGGGAGGCTAGAGGAGAGGAGGTAGGAGGGAGAGAACGGGATGGTGGTGGAGCTGGTGAGGGTGGTGGAGTGAAGGGGGCTGAAGATACCAACAAAACTCCACCTGCAACTGCTGCCTCTACTGCTGCTGCGGCAGCGGCGGCAGCGGCAGCATCTTTTTCTTCTCCCCAGGGGTACACAGCACCTCCTGGTTCTGCTGCGTATGGTCCACCTACTTCTGGTCTGGTTTCTGGCCCTTACGCTGCATCCAACTCTTCTGCCTACGAATCACCACCCATCTCCTCTGCACACTCCTCCTCCCCTTTCGCCTCGCCCTCCTCCTCCCCTCCCTCCTCTCCTAAACGTGCTACCCTCTCCAGAACCCCTTCCTCTGGACCCAAGGTTGCAAGTGCAGCAGCCGCTGCTGCAACAGCAGCTGCAGCGGCGGCAACTGCAGCGGCAGCAGCAGCGGCAGCAGCATCCAGTGCACAGGAGAAGGCGTATGATAATCCCGAGGCTTCGGCGTTCATGCCGGAGCTAGATCTAGCTGCGGAAGTCGCTGCCGAAGCTGCAGGCGTGGCCGCCGAAGCTGCGGCGACTGCTGCCGAAGCTGCCGTGGAAGCAGCAGCGGAAGCAGCCGAAGCTGATAACGTTGCTCTTGCCACAACAGATGGTGATTCCGCCCTTGCTCCCGCTACTCCTCCTGCTCCTTCTGCTCCTCCTGCCAATCCGCTCGTGCCAGCTGTCATACTAGACGTGGCAGGTGGGTCGGGAGGAGGAGTTTCCCCAGGTGGTTTCTCAGGTGGTTCAGCAGCAGCCATGGCGGAGTCAAACGCGACTGTGATTGTACTGGAAAGAGCAAGTGGTCTTGTGCCAGACCCTCTACCCTCTCCTTCCCTTCCTCCTCCTGCAACCTCCTCTCCCATGTCAGTAAACAGTCAAGGGACAGAAGCCAAGGCAGCTCAGGCTGACGCGGCTGCAGCAGAAGTGGCAGCGGCAGCAGCGGTGGCGGCAGCGGCAGCAGTTTCGGTGGTGGTGGATGCAGTTTCCGCAGTTTCGGGGTCACCAGAAGCAACAGCAGCTGCAGCAGCAGCAGCAGTAGCCGCAGCAGCAGTGAGCGGTGTGACAGGAATCGCGCCTGCTAAAGGAGCAGGTGATAGTTCAACAGAAGCAGGATCCACTGAAGTGGGTGCTAGCTCTATTCAAAGGCAAGAAGAAGCTGCAGCGGCAGCGGCAGCAGCTGAATCGCAATCAGAATTTACATCAGAGGGCCCAGAGGGAAGCAACAACGGGCTCTCACAAGAGACCCCATCTGCTGGTTTCTCCTCTCCTTCTCCCGACCTCCCAACCGCAGACCTCCCTCCTCTTCGAATCCCTTCCCCCATCAACCCCCAGTCCGGCTTAATGGCTCCGTCCCAACCCAGCTCTCCTCCTCCTTCTGCTCCACCCTCCTCCCCATCGTTTGCACCCTTCCCCCCGCCGCCTCCCCTTGTTGTCGTCTCGCGCGACGACGGCGTGTCTCTGGACGTGCGCGACGGAGTGTTCTTAGAGGAGCAGCTTTTAGAGGAGCTTCCGGTGGCAGTGGCAATGAACACATCCTTCGCAGCAGTGGGGGTACGAGCCATGGTGCGGGATGCTGTGGCTTCTATGGTGGCGCACAGGCAGTGGTGCTGCTTGGTGCTGCAGGATGGGGGGTACCTGCATGGGCTGCTGACGCTGGTGGATGTTCAGGAGGAGGCGGAGAGACAGCTTTCGGCTGGGGGTGCTGCTGCTGACGTGGAGGCTCTTCCTGTCATTGCCATCTGTCACCAGCATCCTGATTCCGAAGCTTTCCTCCGCTTGCCTTCAGAATCAAATCTTTCTCCAGATGCCAACAGCAACCCTTCGTCCTCTAACTCGTCTGGCATTGCCGCCCGGAGCCGGCCGTCTGAGGCCATCGAGGTGACTTTCCCGGATACCACTCTGCGGGCGGCGCGCGACCGAATGACGGCTCGCGGGCTTAGGCAGCTTCCCGTGGTGCTGCGAGAGGAAATGGTGGTGACGAGAGAGAGGGTGGGCGGCGATGTCTCAGGGAGTGGCAGCAGCAGTGGGAGTGAGAGCGAGAGGGGAAGTGGTGGTTACAGTAGCAGCAGTGGTGGGAGTGGAAGTGAGAGTGAGCGTGGGAGCGGGAGTGAGAGTGAGAGGGAATACCGAAGAGGAAATAATGGATGGGGAAGTGGAGGGGGGAGCAGCGGGAGTGAGAGAGAGGAGGATGATAGCACGGATGGGGAGAGTGGTTCGGATGGCGATGACATCAGCAACAATGATGATGACATGGCACCTGTAGTGCGTCTTCGGGTGCTGGGGTTGGTGGATCGAGACGACATATCGCTTGCTTGCAGGTACACTTCAGATGTAATTTCAAAATTTGTAACTAACCGCACCTGGTTCCACTTGCCTGTCAGTTTTACATCCTGGCTGTTCAGTTACCTCCCCATCATCCACCTCCCCTCCACGCCTGTCCGGTATTCCTTCAACTCACTCACTCGTCTCTCTCCATCTCTTTTCTCATACGCCCTCCCTTCCCTTCCAGGGCGGAGGCCACTCGCCGCCTTCTCTCAGCCCTCCCTCGGGATTTCCGTTCCTCTGGTGGTGGAGGCAGTGGGAGTGCAGGCATGCAGCAGACACAGCTGGACAGCTCTCTCTTCCCAGCTGCATGAGCCATACACTGTCAGCATGTAATCTTATATCTGCATCATAGATTGGAGGATGTGCGAGCACCTTGCGATGGTGCCTGCTCAGGTCAGAAAGCTTGTGGATCGTGGACCTTCCTGTTGGAGACATGGTCTTGTTGGGCCAAATCTGGGGTCTAGGTGGAGGTCACTGTGATCAGGGTGCTTGAAACATGGTGCTAGTTTGAGTACATGATGTACCATGATGTGCCATGCCAACATATTGTAGGCAATGTCCATGTGAGTTGCATGTGTTGCTTTGCATGTGAGTGTACTAGCTCTCCTGTGCAAGTCCTGCATGAAAGCAGTGTTGTGAAATCCATGGCAGGAAACCTTATTCCTGTAAGTACGGTACAGAGGTATTGAGTATGGTTGTAGTCATGTGGCATCTGACCAAAATAGCTCGGGCTTTATTGAATCTTGTGCATTAATGTCAGAGATCTTGGATCTTCTGCAACGATGCCTGCAAGGAAGCGCTTACTTAGCAACAGAAGCTGAGGAAAGAGCACTAAAGCTAGAGCCTAGATAGGGAGGGCTATGTGTAAACATGGCTCCTCCCAGGAAGATGGTGAGGAGCCAGGGCTAGGTAGACAAGCATGAACATGAGCATCACGGGAATGACCAGCAGCGCCGAAGGCGGAGGAGCGATGCTCGGAAGAAGCGCTGGCAGCACTATAAGCAGAAATAGGAAGACGGTCACCACCAGGATTGCACGACGAGACATCATCCGAGCAGCTGGAGGGTTCGTCCCCCCGACTAGTGCGGTTCGCCTCCCTGATTGCCCATCAGATTGATGAGACTCTTGAATATCTTGCTCAGAGAAACCCAGAAGCTCTTCCGCGGGTGGAGCTCTCGTTGCAGCGAGCTCCGAAACGGCGTGAGCGAGATGAGCCTCGACAGCGTCTCCGTGTGACCGGAATTGGTTGCTTTGATACGACATGCCGGGACGACGACGCTGCTGCGGCTGTCCTCCGCGATTTTGGCCGCCGGACATTGAGGAGGAAGAGGCGTATCGATTATCTGCCGGGAACGGTTGGTCGCCAGCTCGCCGAAGCTCGTCACGGTAGGAATTTTGCCGTGACGGTCTTCTCAAAAGGTCTGAAGAAGGAGACGACGAGCTTCCGGATGACCTTCGCTGAATTGGGTTATTGGCGGCGCTGGAGTGGAGAGGATCGGAGTAGGAGGCGAGTCGAGAAGCGGAAGTCGCGGTCGTTTTATGTCCCATGACATGCATGGAAGAGACGTCGGATGGGGACGTGAGCGCAGACGGGTTAGGCGATGCGTGCAGATCGACAGCTGCAGGAAGAAGCAAGGAGGGGTGTGAAGTAAAGCGCGAGAGGTCGAACACTGACCTCTTCCACCTCTGGTCTCCACTGGAGTCCATAACAAGTGTTGAACGTTCCAGCAGAAACGCGCCGCAAGAAAACTGAATCGATTATTGGTTACGGAGTCGTTAAACAAATTGGCTCACTTGTCCATTAATAGGGACAACAAGGAGACGATGCTACCAGATGAGAGGTAAGGTAGATAGATAAGCAACTCCTGTCCAAAACTCAGTTGCCTTGGCTGGAAAACAACAAAACCAAATGGAAGCTCGCTGCGTTTCCCAGCGGTCAAATTTGTGTAAGGAACGGTTGTAAAGGGTACTGAGCAACTACGTTCCGGTCTCGCCTGATATTGGAGTGGTGGTGGAGGGAAGCATAGTATGTCTCAGCAGCGGAAGAATCAAATGTAAGATTCTAGGGAACTGCAAGAGAGTGGAGCGTCTTTTGCGTGGCTGGGAAGAAACCAAAACGACGCACTTTTCGCCTAACAAGGGCAGGTACTCGTGGCCCTCGATCATGGGCTGGGTGCCGAACCTCGGGTGGGGGGGAAATTGCTGCGATGTAAAGTGGTTTGCAAAAGCAAAAGAACGGTTTGGTACGGATTTCTTGTCGAGCCTCGTCCAAGGCTGGAAACTGCTTTTGTCAAAACCATGATATGACCCGCGGCCCTACCGCGGCAAGATCAGAGAGCCGCGGGGATGGGCTGTTTCAACTTTCAAGGAACTCTGGGAAGGGAGGAGCAAAAATTGGATCTGGGCATCCGCGCAAGCTGTAACCAAAGCAGCTGCGGGGGAGGATTATGTGTGCGGAACGGAAGGGAAATGCGGACGCAGGCGAAAATAGGGGGGACCGCTGCCTCCTTCCACTAAGCCGAACTCCGCCGGGTGAGAGGTTTGTGAAAGCCAAGCCAGCAAGCCAGCCTTGACGTGCACACTATATGCTCATTTCATAGTTCTTCCGACTATTAATCTCTGAGTGTACTAACAAGCTCTTGTCCGTACGCTACAGCAGAAGAGCACAACAGCAAACAATACCGTTTACTAACATGATTTACCCTACATTGCCGCATTCAGACGAATGTGCTTGTATAGTATTTTGATAGCAGGTGCGTTGGGGTTCTACAATATTTCTTCCACATTACACTAGATGTCATTATAGCGAGCAAAAGGTGTACAGAAAACACAAATGGAACAGCTGGGATCAAATCAAACCAGGCCGACTGCTAGATGCAACTGAACTCGATACTGGACGACTTGGGATTTTGGGATCTGAACTGTAATCATCTGGGTAAGCAGCAAAGCAAAAACCCACTGCCCATAGTCGAAAACAAACGGCACACTGTGCAAATGTTGAAGAAATGCTGCATGTAATTACAGCTGATGCTCACCCCATGCGCGCGAATTTGCCTTGCGCCGGATGGACACGCTGCACCCGAGGTTGTTTCCCCAGCTTCATGCACCCACATTACAAGCGCGTCAAGCAGAAGAGACCGAAGTCAAGCAGAAGAGACTGAAGTCAAACTAGGTAACTAGGTAGCAGGGTCTTGTTTATAAGCACATGCGAATTCTTTTTAGCTAGCTGCGAAATTGACGAACTTATGCGAAACGCTTGATACAGCTTATATGCCCCCTTCACAAGGCAACCGGGAGGGGCTCAAACAGGCATCAGTACGCACAGACGTCACATACATGTTCTGTTGTCCAGAAGCTGACAACCCGCTTTCCTCTGACTGCCGGTGCTGTCAACACGGGCTTGCTGTAGATATTCATGCTTCTCGACCTTGGCCGCGGCTTCACCACAAAATACGTGGCACGACCCGTATCTCCTTGTTGGACAAGTGCGGCAGCAGATTTGCACAAGCAGCCGAAGCAAGACATCTGGCATCCAGCATTCCTTGTCCCTCTGGTGCACCCAAATGTTGCGGTCATCTTCTTACGAGCTGGCATCGAGGGCCGGTCCGAGTTTATCTAAAACACACTTATTTTTCCCGCAGTTTTGAGATTTGGCTACTGGGCTTAGCGGATAGTCACATTAATTTAGCGTGCCCACAACGGGATAATATTTGCTCAGCTTCCTGGATCGCGGAAACTAAAATTCGTGGATAATGACGTCTGCCCCACATGTGTTCGCGCAACGATTGACGAGGTGCGCTGGCGTCCACAACGAATCGAGTTACTGGTTGGGCTGGGAGGCTGTCACAAAAATGATGACGGGGTGTAGACAGCCGCAACTGCTAGCCACCCCACCACACCCAACCGAAGGAACCCGCCTCCTCCTCCTGACGTCGCTCGAACCAAACCATACGGTACCAGCTGACAGGAGCAAGCCTGGACCAGGAGCCCAATTCACCGCCACGCCATGCCAACAGTACCAGCTAACTTCTTCATCCTCACCAACGCATGGATGGCATTTCCGCGGCTGTGACAGGTCGAAGCTCGTGAGAAGGCACGGGGATGGCAGCAGGTACGGTGGTGTTGTTGACGGACAACGGCCATCTGCAGCGACAGCTTTGCCGCGTAGGTGTGTGTTTTCCACCAATTGCCAGGCGATGCACCTCATACCCAACCAGGGGCGTTTCTGTCCGTGCTCGCCGCACGAGCCTCACCTAGCCGCACCTTCATCTGAGCTGTCTCCCCACACCACACACCTCCCTCCCTCCCCGCTCCCCCACCCCATCCTTGGTCTATCAGAAATTGCTGTAATCGCGTACAAAACTGTGCTGTACAACACGCGGCACACGCCACGTGACTCACTGTCTGTACATCTCACAAACAGCGAACATCTCAAAAATTCTTCTCCTGGTCACACACATTTGAATGACCAGCTCCTACTAGATCGCGTACAAGTTGATTGATTTATCCGCAACAAAAAAATCGAGCTTTTCATACTTTATCTCAGATTCCAGCACAATGTATCGACATCGAGTTCAAGACGACGTCTGCCTTGCACCACAAACAATGTCGCCATTTACTCCTCGCGATCGAGCCGAAGAATTTACCAGCCGCTCCCCGGACAGCGTTTCTGCCGCGACTCTCGACCGCAATAGCGCCGACGGAAGCGTTCATGCGGAAGATTTCGCTGACCGCCTCGCTTTCAGCTCGCAATGCTACCCGGAACGATCAAGTAGTAGCATCGGAAGTGGCGACGGGGGAAGTCATCGTGGAAGCGGAAGTGGCCACGGAAGCCCACGCAGTAGCATTTTCTTGACTCAGCAGCACCGTGATTTGCATCGTCAACAGCAGGAGGGTTTTCCTCCGTCTCTTGCGGCGGAACGGCGTGATCCGCGGTCGAACCGCGCTGGCACCGGTGACGGAGCTGTATACGCAGCCGAGATTGAGTACGGCTACGAGCGTTACAGCCATCCCGGCGCCAAGAGCGGCGCTATTGCCGCCGGAGGCGGAACTTACAGCCAGGTCGATCCGCGCGGCGGCAGCGCACGCGCGAGCACGTTGGGTAGGCAGGACTGGAGCCGCGATAACCCCGCCGCGTTTCGCGCTTCGGAATACGCCGCCGGAAGCGGGTACAGAGCCGCCGCCGCCGCCGCCGGAAGCCGCACGCGGTACAGAAAACCCGGTGCCGCAGAGACGGGGTCGCGTTCCGACATTCGTTTTGGAGCCGCGCGAGGGGGAATGCAAGGCGCGGGGACGCGCGGAACGGAATTCA